TCCTCACACTAGGCTGGTTAAAGCAGCGGCCGTCCTCTCCAGACCTGTCCTCACACTAGGCTGTTTAAAGCAGCTGCCGCTCTCCGCAGACGCATTCATCAATTTTAACATACTGTGTATTAAACATAGATTTGTCCACATAAATAAATATTATCTTACATACGAGTCATGTGTAAACCGTTTTTCACTCATAAACAGTGGGTTTGGCGGCTGGATTAACGATCTTTGCGAGGATGGGCTGAAATGAGAGAATTAATTTGGGGAATGAACTGACTTGAACCAGTGATCAGGGTGCTCCCAGCCTCGCACTTTACCCCTGTACCACATCATGATGTCAGTTGTACAATCTGGGATTGCACTGAATCCACAGGAAGTCTGGGGCTTCTACTGAAGACAGTCCTTTACATATAACTTCCCCCAAGCATACCTAGTTGTGCTTGTGGCGGTTGAGCTTCAGCTCTTTGCTCTCGCCTCTCAACTGGTGTACAGGTTCCTGAGCCTATTGGGCTCTGTCATATGTACATTTGAAACGTGTGGTGTGGTGGAGGCTGTATGGAGTCAGCCTCCACCACATGGCTGCCTTGTACTCACCTAATTGTGCTTGCGGGGGTTGAGCTCTGGCTCTTTGGGCCCGCCTCTCAACTGTCAATCAACTGGTGTACAGGTTCCTGAGCCTACTGGGCTGTGTGTGTGTGTGTGTGTGTGTGTGTGTGTGTGTGTGTGTGTGTGTGTGTGTGTGTGTGTGTGTGTGTGTGTGTGTGTGTGTGTGTGTGTGTGTGTGTACCCTTGGAGCTTGTGTCTGAGTTATGGCATATTTGCTTTTCCTATCCTTACTCGTGTATGAAACATATGTGGGTGGGACGTAAGTGTGGCACAGATGTGGGTGCAGGTATGTAACAGATGAATGTGCATATGTTCAAGGGTGGTGTTAATGTGTTTTGATGTGGTTGTCAGTGGTGGGGAGGGGTTTCTCCACTCCCCTCTACCTCCTCCACACACATGAGAGGAGGGCCTGCAGGGTGAGTGTAAAAATAGCCTGAGAGATCACTGAAGGTTAATCATGCCCCTCACCCTCCCCTCCTCTCTGCTGCCCAGAACTCCTCCTAGTCATAGCTCTTGTTATTGATGCAATCACTCGGTGAAATATATCTTGTCATTAGTGCATTCGTCTAGAGGTAGAGTGAACACCTTTTTGGTTGCTTTCAAGCCTTTTCATATCGCTTTAGGAGTAAGTGCACAGAACTGGTGCGGCATAGTCTATGACGGAGCGCACATAGGCTGTATTTAATTTAAAATTTACCTTTTTGGTGCGTCTGTTCTTGGTGTACCCGTTGGGTTGGAGTATTTATTCTCTCAGCATATTTGTAGAGGTAGGTCTACCTCACTACCTGTGGCAAGTGTGGCTTCCCTGTGTGTGAATGACCTGCGGGTCCCAGCCTGTGTTGGAGGGTGCTGGGAGGGCGTTGTTAGCCTCGTAAAAGTATGCTATAAGCTTTGACCTAGTTAGATTTTGGCGTTGTCTTGGCTCTGAGGTTCGTTTGTTTATGCCTATGTTAAATTGGCCAGTTTCACGGCAGTGTTTGTAAGTAATAATACATAAATAAATAATGTTTATTCAGGTAAGGTACATACATACAAGAGATTTTACAAAAAACTTCTACCTACTACCTTCATTGTACCTCTCACGTTAATTATCTTAACGCTCGATATGTCGTACTAAGTTGTGGCTGTATCTATACAATGCAATATAACCATTCATATTTGGCTTTATAAATTATTATTATTACAACGGTATTATAAAGCGAGCAGACGTGTTCTGTCTAGACGTACTCAAAACATGTGACTGTGTTTATCCCTGTTGTGTTAGTGAGAGTATTGCAGTCATCGGGAGGACAAACCCTTCATGCAAACTGTACCTACTATCAACAAGAAGAAGAGAGGGACATCTGTGACCAGGGGCTGGCAGTGTTGGGTGGTGCTTGGGGTGAAGGAAGGTCACTCACTGCTGCTGTTTTAGATTCAGCTACTTCAGACAGAAAAGTTCCAGGTAGCACGGGCTGTGAGCCCGTAAGTGGAGGCTCTTTGGAGCCAATATTTGTATCAATAGCTGATACTGGAGATCTGGGGATGGATGAGGAGTCTTTATGGTGAATTTCAGCCTGGGAGGGCTGGCTGTACCAGTTATGGAGCTGGTGGGTTAGTGTAGACCTCTATCTTGAGGTTATCTTGAGATGATTTCGGGGCTTTAGTGTCCCCGCGGCCCGGTCCTCGACCAGGCCTCCACCCCCAGGAAGCAGCCCGTGACAGCTGACTAACACCCAGGTACCTATTTTACTGCTAGGTAACAGGAGCATAGGGTGAAAGAAACTCTGCTCATTGTTTCTCGCCGGCACCTGGGATCGAACCCAGGACCACAGGATCACAAGTCCAACGTGCTGTCCGCTCGGCCGACCGGCTCCCTCTCTAGGTCTAACTTATTTTGAAGAGACTCACTGATTTAACTTGATTGATTAAGATTGAGCCAACTAGGAGGTGGCACGGGCATGAATAGCTCGTAAAGACTCGCTGCTCCCACGGCCGCTTATGTAGCCCTTAGTCTGTGTGTATTTACTATTTGTATTTAAAAATTAAATTATATGATGCTCTTGAAGTAGAGAACAGGATATACAAGTGGGCCATGCAAGGTGCTTCAGCAAGAAATTTTGCCTAACCAAGGATTGCAAGCAAGTCAGTCTTGTATACAGAGAGCAAGTCACAGTAGAGTGGTTGAACACAATTAATCCAACCACGTAATAATATTTAGTCACGTTATATTTTAATTAATCATATCTTTTTAATATTTTTCAATTTGCATAGGCCTTTTAGGTAAAACAAATTTCAACAATCTTTATTATAGTGCTGCCTACAATTTGAATTCCCTTTGTTGGTGACAGGAAGCCTGTGTACTTAAGCTTATCAAGGTTCTTTAGGCCAGTTATTGACCTCCCCAGGATGCAACCTACAACAGTTGCCTAGCTCCCGGTTACCTATTTCCTATTTGATGAACAGATGTATTAGGTGAAAGAAAGCATGCCCAACTGTTTCTGCCCTTCCTAAGGGACACAACCAGTGTTTCTGGGTTGTGAGCCGAGCATGTACTCATCACTGAGCAAAATGTGTTCTATGTGTAGGTTTGTCCTTGGCTGGCGTTTTCTTCAACACTGTAAATTCTTGGAAGAGAATTTATGAATTGTTGTTCAGATGGCGTGGTGGAGGTGGGACCCATTAGCATGTGTTGGTGTGTTTATACCGGGTGAATGATACCAGTCACGGTACAGTTTTAGAACCATGGTGAACTGCCTTGTCACTGCACCTGCCTCCCTCTCTGTCCTCTCATGCTCACGCGTTGCTTCCTTTCCTTTCTCTCATCTCTCGTTCTCTTCTATCTTCTCCAGTCCCAATTCTTCTCCAACTTTTTCCTTGCCTGTCTTTCTCTTTCGTGTATTTTTGTCCTAGTCATACAGTATTTCTGTCAAGTCCTCTTCCTTCGTGTATTCCTCGCCCCTTCCTGTCCCTCGTTTATTCCTTTCTTCGTCACCCCGTATATCCTCTCTCGTGTATTCCTCTCCTCCCCCCAACCCCATTTTTTGTTTTTACTTTGCAGGTGCTGTTGCTGTTTTCAAGAGTTAGTTCGGTGGATCCGAATGTGTACGCTGGATTCTTGGAAATCTCACTGAAAACGTTCATCGTTATTCTGTTGACAAATCTGGATTTCCTGGTTATAGAGCCAATTTTGCCACCCGTTGGGTAGCAAAGCTTTCATTGAGCTTTTCTTCCAAGCTTTGAGCTTTTATCCAAGTTTTGAGCTTTTATCCAAGCTATGAACATCGAGCTTTTTCAAGATTTGTTACATGTGTCCAAAGAGAGATGGTGGTGTCCAGTGGCATAATGGGCTATAAGTCATCAGCTCACACCCGAGGTTGATGGGTTCAATCCACACAGTAGGGCAGAAGCATTTGGGCAGTGTTTCCTTTCACCTGATGCCTTTATTCACCTAACAACAATCAGATATCTGGGAGTTAGACAGCTGTTATGGGCTGCATTCTGGGGATGTGTGAAAGAGGTATATACAAGGTACAATTAGATAAAATATAAATTAGGTCGAGTCATTAAATTAGACAATGGCAGTTGAAAAGGTGGAGGTTCAACAGCTAACACTCGATTCTGCAGACACAAATAGTTAAAAAATATACACATGTGCACCCCCCTCCCTTTCCCTAAGCCACCAGAGACCACTCGCCCCAACTTTTTCACCACTTGCCCCCCTCCCCCGACAACAACCTTCACTACTCCCTCCCTCACCCCCTCCTCAACCACCACTTGTAAGAACATAAGAACATAAGAACAAAGGTAACTGCAGAAGGCCTATTGGCCCATACGAGGCAGCTCCTATTCTATAACCACCCAATCCCACTCATATACTTGTCCAACCCGCACTTGAAACAATCGAGGGACCCTACCTCCACCACGTTACGCGGCAATTGGTTCCACAAATCAACAACCCTGTTACTGAACCAGTATTTACCCAAGTCTTTCCTAAATCTAAACTTATCCAATTTATACCCATTGTTTCGTGTTCTGTCTTGTGTTGATATTTTTAATACCCTATTAATATCCCCCCTGTTATGTCCATTCATCCACTTGTAAACCTCTATCATGTCACCCCTAACTCTTCGCCTTTCCAATGAATGCAGCTTAAGCTTTGTTAATCTTTCTTCATATGAAAGATTTCTAATTTGGGGAATTAACTTAGTCATCCTACGTTGGACACGTTCAAGTGAATTTATATCCATTTAAATATATTTAATTTATATCCATTGTCTAGCTATTCTCAGTACAGTATCTGAACCGTTAACATATTTCAACCATTTGCATTTGAGATGGGGTCTATATAATTTATAGACCCATATAATTTATTTATATTTTTATAAAGATGTACATATATTTATTTTCTGTTTCAGTTGAGTGAGACGGCACCACCACCACAACTGGCCAGTACACCCAGTATGGCTCCGGTGGGGGAAGACGAGTCGTCTCGTGATTGCCCTGAAAGCCCAGGACACGACACTCAACACGTCAATATGGAGACCTGTCTAGAGGTGACCTCCTTACATGAGCGTCTGGCTCTTCTGGAGGGCGATAACGCCACGCTTCGAGCATCGTGTGCTTCCTTACAGCACAAACTCTGTGAGGCAAGGAAAACATTTTGACATAATTAAACTTAATGGACACTAGAATATTTAATTAAATTTTTTTAGAAATATCAAAAGTAGGTGTTTCTTTTGTTGTGTCACTTGTTCGTCTGTACAAACAATGAGTCACAGTGAGGATATGATAAGCAAACCACATATCAGAATATGGAGAAATGGCAATGTTTTGGTCCATCCTGGACAATTATCGAGTTGTGACTTGATAATGATCCAGGACGGAGCAAAATTTCGGAGTTTCTCCATTTTCTGATGTGTGATTTGGTCATCATTGTTTATCTGTTATGTTCTTGTAAATTTTGAAACCAGTACTGTACCTGTATTTACCATGCCGTTCACATTACAAATTCTTCAGCCTTGGATGAAAATATTTGTTTGGTTGCTGTGTGACTAATCACAATCTCATTATAAGCAAATACAGTATACAGTATTCTATCTTCTCAAAGCTCTTTACAGGGATACAGGGTATATATATTTCTGGAGCTTTAGTTTATTGTTTGCTATGAAAGAATTTGTTGTTTAGCCAAGCTTTGACACTAATTTGAAAGTGTAGTGATGTATACAGCAGTGTGTAGTGTATAGAGCAGTGTGTAGTGTATAGAGCAGTGTGTAGTGTATACAGCAGTGTGTAGTGTATACAGCAGTGTGTAGTGTATAGAGCAGTGTGTAGTGTATAGAGCAGTGTGTAGTGTATACAGCAGTGTGTAGTGTATACAGCAGTGTGTAGTGTATAGAGCAGTGTGTAGTGTATAGAGCAGTGTGTAGTGTATACAGCAGTGTGTAGTGTATACAGCAGTGTGTAGTGTATAGAGCAGTGATAGTATATCTATGACTACAGTAAGGGCAGCACAGTAATAATAGCACAGTAATGGGTTTTATTCCTGTAGTAAAAGTCCATCATGTTCCAGATCATATGCGTCTTAAGTGAACTCTTAAATCACTTGAGGTTCCTCGGTGAAGGTTGTTGATTAGACAAGTTGTCATTTTGACCGTCAGTGTGCAGTGCCAAGCTACTTGGCCACACTGCACTTTATCAGGGGTATTAGAAGAATGATTTGTGTGACCTATTTATGGTGAATGGGCGGGTGTCGTTTTTAAGTTACTGTAGCTTTATTTGGGTTGCTGCCACCCCATGTAGTGAAAGTGGGGAATAGTGCATAATGATAATGATTGATGCTCAGATTTACACATGTTTATTTCTTGGTGAAGGAAGTATAGTAATGGAAAGAATTTACCAGGTTGTAAGCAACACAGTTTTCCAAATTAAGATACATTCTTGATGTGGGCTTTACTGTTAATAATAATTACTTGCTAATAGCTGGTAATGGTTCAGCTTTCATTCACAATGTTGACACATTTTGATCCTACTATGAAAAATCATACCATGTCAGGAGATCAATAATGCTCAATAGACAATTTAAATAAACTCTAATTATACTGATAAATTTAAATAGGTTTTTTAATGCAAAAACCTTATTTATTTTATAGTTGCAGGCAGATTAATGCAAACCAATTATAGTGTTTCTATCCTTAAACATCTAATACTCTTTTATAATGCATCATAATTTTTTCTTAGGCCGAGCAGGATTCCACTGTTTCTAGTTCGTGTAAAGAAACAGATGCAACCAGATGCCAGACTCCTTACAGGTGTGTTAGGTGTGATCAGTTGTCTGAGGAACTGAGGCTCGGTACATCCAAGTGCACCGACTTGCAGCGCCTGAATCAAGAATTGGAAAACCAAATTACTGAACTGCAGACAAAAGTAGATTCATTAGAAACAAAAGAAATATATTTAAAAAATCAAAATGCACATCTGGATAAAAAGTTGCAAGAGATGCTGAGTGCAGGTGAGAAACTCAGTACTGGCATGCACGAGTTGCTCAAAGAAACGTGCTCTTCTGCCGTGCCCACTGTTCAGCTGGTCACTGTGATGCATGAGCAGTGTGCCGCCTCAGAGCAGCCCAATGTGCTCTCCCAGCTAGACACAAATTCCTCATTGTCCCCCCAGGAAATCTTCGACCAATGCCACCACAAGTTGGAAAATTTGGAGAAGGAAAATGAAATGTTACGGGTGAGTGTTATGGGTTTTTGACCAAGAACTATTTATCTGTTTTGTTTTAGGATAGTGAGCTAGCTTTGAGTGATTGTTTTTAACACATTATCACATAGGATGTGTATAGTACCCATGAAGAAAATAGTTTTCTACAATATTATCTCCATTCTAACCTATGATAGATGGCTCAGCATCTAGCTCCCTCAATTCATAGTGAAAGGTTTCAACATCTGTATTACATCCATATTTTCTTGCAGCGTATATACATACACACACAGGCTGCCTGTCCCTGGCAAAATGTGTTATTAAATTATAATTATAAGTAATGAATTATTATATTACCAAAGGAAATTCTCAATATTGCACTTTATAAATAAACTGGTCTATTTAATAACAAAAATTACCTTTGGTTATTTACTCTAGTACAATTAGTATTGGTAATTTGCTTATTTCTCTTAAGTTCTCTAAGTTCAGTAAATGATAATCAGGGTTTTCATTCTCATTCTAATGTTATATCTACAGGAACAATGTCGTGCAGCAGAAATGGAGAAGACTGCTCTAAGGACGAATATACGTAAGGTTAGTGCCAATTGGTTTGAGCGTAAGACCCGTGTGAGTGATAGTGACACAGAATCTCACCCCAGTGGGGAAGGTGTTGATGGCCAGGATTCCTCCAGTAGTTACGAAGAGGTGGGAATCCAGGTGCCAGAGTCGGTGCCAGAGCCCCGTCTCATGATTAAGAAATTGGAGGACATTCCCAAACTTTTAGCAGAAATCACTTTTGCAACAGGAAAACTTGACCTGACAGAAAGAATGTGTTGTGAACTTAGAAGACGTGTTAAAGATTATGAAACTGTCATTGATGACCAGGAAATTATAATTCATGGTTTGAAAGATCAGCTAGATACGTACTTTAATGATAATCAGAAAATGTCCCACCAATTAAGTGCATTAACAAAATTGTTCGAAGACCTGGAACTTACTGAAAAGACACGCGTTAATGCAGTCAATCCTCCAGATAACAGTACCACATCTTTCACTAACTTACCATCAGAAGAAGATTTTAAGGCAATGTCTAACAGTGTTAGTAAGACTTATATTAAATTACGAGAGCTTATATTTGAGAAAAAATCTCTTGTTACAGAAATAGAGCGTTTGAAAGTGCTCAATGTGGAACTCCAGCGACGCGTAACTCAGCAAGAAACAAGGCTCGTTAGTGTTTCCGATGCCCTTCACACCACTTGGCTGTTAGTTTCAGACATGAAAGCACAACATGCCAAACTCCACTCTGAAGAGTCTGTACTGCGGTACGAGCTGAAGGAAAAGAGAGAGCTCCTTCATCGCTTGAGGGATGAGTTAGAGTGCTCACGTGAACAGTGGCATAAAATTCGGCAAATGAATTCAGAGAGTGAGGAGGCATGGAATACTCTTAGAGAGGAACTTAATGAGCGAAGACGCATTGCAGAAAGAGCAGCAGAGACAGACGGTGGAGAGTACGCTGCAACAGAAGACAAAGGGGCAGTGGTTGCTCCTCATTCTTATTCTGAATTTGAACCACCTGTAGATTTATTGCTTGATATGGCCATTGAATATGGAGTTGTTGATGCTGATGATGACACCTCCACATCAATGGTTGCTGCTATGTCAGGAGAGGATATGCATGCCTCACGTTTACAAGACCTGGAGGAGCAGTGTAGTTATCTGTACCAAAAGCTGATGGCATCTACAGCACGTTCATTGACTCTGGCATCCAGGCTGTCTGCTCTTCATCAGCATTATGGTTCCAGTGATGAAGATGACGATGATGAAGAAGACGATAATGACGACAACGATGATGAAGACTACGAAAATGACGAGGAAAACTACGACATCAATCACATGGAATCAGAAATAGTGAGCCCTGAACCAGAGAGCTCAGACACAGCATATGTGAGCGAGGCAGACACAGGATCAGGTGCTTCAGGTCCTCCTGGGAATTTGTCTGAGGAAGAAGGAACCACTGCAGCAGGAAGTGCTGATGAGGCATTTTCCCCAACAGATGAACCTGCAGAGGCTGAAGGTGATCTCAGTAAACGACTCATCAATTTCCTTCCTAGGAAGATTGAAATTCTCCACAGGGATAACAAGAAGCTTGAAGAACGGTGCAATCTACTCCTTGATGAGAAGACTCGCTGCGAGGCGCAGCTGACGGAAGCCCTTGAAGCCGAGAGGAGACTTAGGCAGCAGATGGAAGAAAAGTTGGAACATTTGGGCAAGTGTGTCGATGAGCTCAAACTAGAACGCAATGGCAAGGTACTGTCACAGATAAATTATGGTTTATATAGATAATGTGAGCTCTTTGTGAACTGCAACTAACCATCTTTTAACTTTTGTGAATTTTTTTACAAAATGTGTTTGATACCAAACGTTTTGTGAACCCTATTTTTGCTGTGATGAACCTAAGCTTTCATAGGTCAACTCTAAATAACATTTCATTTGTATATAATGCTACAAACAAACTAGAAATAATTTGCCCCTTCTAATAAAACCTTGAATCCTTCAGCATATATATATAGTATATATATATATATATAAATATATATATATACAGTATATATACAGTATATACTGTATATTATTATATATATCTCCTGCAGCCTTTTTAATGTTCCTGCACTGCCTTATGTTCACATATTTTGGTGTTTGAAATATAACGAGTGTAACGTTGTCATGCAGTTTATTTCCTGTTTTCCGTCATAAGTTTAGAAAATCTTGACCTAAATATAATGTGTGTGCTGTACCCAGATAAATTTGTTTTTGTTTTTAGTGTATTTTATTGTATTTGTTATATAAGTATTGTAATTGTAGAAGGTTCCTGACATGCACTTAATTAACATATGGTAGATTCTATTGACAGCATGATTATTATGTAAGGTATCTCATATGTCTGGAACCTTGCCCCATACACTGAGACCCTTGTCCCATACATTGGGACCCATGGGACAATTGACAACATGGGCGTTTTACTTACGTTTCATTGTTCCATGTTATTCGTAGAATATGTTCAATGTGTCCAGCATTATGAATGACAGATGATACGAGGTAGCCAGATAGGCGTGGTGTTGGGTGGTGTGGTGTTCCAGTCTTATGAGAGAGTGTCCAGTATTGTATTCCCCCCACCTCATTCCTTGAGGTTATCTTGAGATGATTTCGGGGCTTTAGTGTCCCCGCGGCCCGGTCCTCGACCAGGCCTCCACCCCCAGGAAGCAGCCTGTGACAGCTGACTAACACCCAGGTACCTATTTACTGCTAGGTAACAGGGGCATAGGGTGAAAGAAACTCTGCCCATTGTTTCTCGCCGGCACCTGGGATCGAACCCGGGACCACAGGATCACAGTCCAGCGTGCTGTCCACTCGGCCGACCGGCTCCCTAACAGTAAACTCCCTCTTGAGTTTGGCAGAATTCCACATGACTGGCAGCTCCCACAGGACTCATTATGCCTGAGAATTTGTTCATGGGAAAATGTGAATACAAATAACAGTTCACTTTATGTCCTGGTGGAGTTTGATGTTGCTGTAGTCATGATAGGATCTGTTATTGTGAGGATACTGTAGCACAGTCGCATATTTTAACAACTTTTGTCGTATTAATGTTATTAGTACAGATCAGAACTCGTTATACAGTACTGAAATGCGTAACAGAGGGATTTTATTCCAGTGTGTGATTGATGTTGTCAAATACACCACTTTTAGGGAAGAATATTTAAAAATAAAAGTTTTAATTCTATTTAGCTATCAAAAAAAGGCATTCTATCACTTGATTCAATAAAACCTAATTATGTATAAAATAGCACAAATATAAATTTTTTAATATTAATTTCAGTTTTTACAGAATGGCTCCAGTACAAATCTGTTAATTATACAGTACTGTATTATTATTGTTATGATTATAACAAATAAATATAACAGTAAATTAAGATACAGCCAGTGACAGCCTTATGTAATGCTGTACAGTAGTTGATATTGTTTTAAAGATTACATGCATCCATTGTGAAAATTTGGAGAACTAAAATTTAAAATGATTCATTATACTGTATAGTCCGAGACAAATGCCAAAACTTATGATAACAAAAATTTTTGCTGCCTTGATACAAAGGGTGACCTTTAAATGTTAAATGTTGGCTGAGTTCACCTAAATGTTCCCATCACCTGACTCCACCTAAATGTTCCCATCACCTGACTCACCTAAATGTTCCCATCACCTGACTCCACATAAATTAGATGCATATTAATTTAGTATGGGACTCGGGTTCATAATACAAACATCATTTCACAAGCTTTATTATCAAGCATTATGGCATAGAGGCAATTAATACCCTTATCAATAATTAACCTTTTCATATCACAATAGTGCTATAATTATTATTATAATAATAATTATCTCATAGGAAAGGCAAAATATGAGCTTAGATACCTTGCCCTTTAAACTATCTCAAGTGAAAATGCTGTGTGTGTGTGTGTGTGTTTTAAAATCATTGTCATTGGTTCATAGATATTGTCTGTCACTCATACAAATTGAAATAATACATTACAACAACAACAACAATCGTGAAGATGCTGGGAATAATAACTTGGATTACGTTAAGTGATGTGGAAAAGTCTCACTTCTCAAAAACTATACAGTAGTTGTATCAATATGATAAATATTGTAGGGAAAAGATGATTCCCTGTAAATCCCATGAAGTTATTTACTGCGTTTAATGTTTAAATTGTATGTAACGGGGTTTAGGATACACTGTACTGTACTGTATCAAGTTCTTTATATATGTTCTCATCAGTTTTGCCTTTTTTTTAGCTTAATTTTTGTATATTTTTAACACAAATCTTTGTAGTGTTGTAATTTTTGGGAAAATGCTAACTATGAAGATTTGTGCTTTAGTAATACTGTATAAGGAGTGGATTTATTATTTAGACTTTGAGAGAATGAGAAGCTCCTCGGATACTAATTATAGCTGTATTCATTCTGATCCCAAAGAACGGAATGAAGACTGGCACACAATATGGATTTATATACATTCATGTCAAGTCATATTGGTGTTAGGAAGCATTGGGGAAAAAGCTCAGTCGAGCCTAGAGTAGAAACATGGTTAAAAACACCGTCTTTCCAAGCAATTATTTGGCACCACAGGGACTGCCAAGGAGCACTTGCAAACCACTAAATAGCCACTTGACTGCTTCCTCTGACAATTATCAGATGGCAGCACCCACCCCAACCATTGATTTCCTTCCTAGTCTCTTATTACATACTGATAGACACATAGAAAGCTTGTGTCTATCAGCATGTAATGAAAATCAGAGAGAGCGTAGTCAGAAAACTAGAGCATCTGACTGAGGAATGTAGCCTTCATTGTCAATCAAAATTTATTTTCTGAGCAATTCCACCCAGATGCTGTCTCGGCAAAGGGTCGGTTCATAGACTCGGTGTGATGGAAAAAAATGTACTGATGCAAGTCAGAGTGAAGACAGGAAGCAGAGCCATTTGTTAAATGGATGCCATGAAACTTTATCCAAATTACTTCCATAAGCCAAACACTGAAGAAAGGCTGTACCAATATGGTGGGAGCAGAAGTCAGTGCTTTAATCTATGCAGGAGACAATGATGAACAGCTTGAGATGTGACGCTGGAGGCCTCTAAGGGATTGAATGGTCTTGGAGGCAACCAAGGAAGTTGTAGGAGTTGGAGAAAAAACCTCAAGGCAAAAGGAGACCGTACTCAGCAATAACAAAACATGCAATGAAACCCTCAATTGGAGAATATCTACTGCTGAACAAGAAACCTTACTGGAACAGAGAAGACAACTGCAGGTAGCTGATTGGTTAATTCAAGAAATGCACAAATGATTGGTTGCATGCACATCAGAAGCATTCCAGAGAATGTGTACTTTCAAAGCAAGAACTAGTAAATATAGGCCTGCTACAAAATAAAAACAAAGTTAAAAATTATAAAAACAAGTCACTTCACTAAAACCAGTACTGTATATCCTCTACCCAATCATCATGGGAACCAGTCATCAGAATGTGAAGATATCCAATGCAGGGAATCAGTTGTCGAAGTCAGCGTTGTTGTCTGGTGGTGGAAGGTAACAATGGTGGTTTGTGAGAGTGATACTTTGCAGTCCTTGTGCTAAGTGGAGCTTAGAAACACTGGGGGTATACCTTGAGTTACCTTGAGTTGGTTTCAGGGCTTAGCGTCCCCGCGGCCCAGTCATCGCCCAGGCCTCAAGGGTTGACAAGACTCGACAAACATTTTTGACAAGATCCCTGTTGTGCTGGTGTGAAATGTGACCCTGTCAGACTGTCATGACCATGTCCATTGGGCTCAAGATTAATCTTTGCCTTATGGAACATCTGAGCATATTTCAGTTTGTTTTTGCTAATATTTATAAGTTATAAATAGTATTGCTATAATGTAAATTCTATGCTTAATACTTTATAATATCCATGACTTATAGTAAAGCAGTAAACTTGAGTGAAATAATAATAATATTCAGTAACGCCATCTTTAGGGAACAGGTCTATATTAAACCTTAAATTTGGTAGTTAATGTTTTCAGTGATCATTGATAACTATTCAAACATTTCTATCATATCAATAATTGTGTTAATGCTTCAGATAAGTGAGGCAGAAGAGAAGCTGAAGCAGAAGGTTGCATCACTAAGCCAACGAGAAGAGGAGTATGAAAACCTTCAAAAGGAGATAGACCTTCTCAAAGATAAATATGAAGAGAGAGGGAAATTACTTCATATAGCATCTGACAGAATTAAAGAGGTAAAAAAGAGTTGGGGAAAAATATAAAATTTAAAGGTGCTGGGGTGGGGAATTAAGACGAATGAGAATAATGAATGCAATAAATTAGCATGTAATTGATACAACTGTAGAGGAACAACTCGGTCGATTAAGGCAGCGTCTGGGATGCTCTCAGACGTAGGTTCGAATCCTCGTCATGGCCCTTGTGGATTTGTTCATTTAAAGAATGATAAAGGTGAGGGGCAAGTGCAGAAAAGTTCTCTTCATTTTCCACTTTCCTCCCTCTCCTGCTTCTATTCTTTCTTTCCTTTTCTTCTCCTGTTTTCTACTGTATCTCATCCTTTTTTCCAACCTTTTCTCTGCTGCTGATGTCATAGATAAAATCATTGCCAGGAAAGATGGCTAAAACAGTTTAGTAGAAATGACAATAATGTTATCAGAATTAGTGTTTTACCTAAATATAACTCTATATAAATATAACTCTATATAAATATAACTAAAATATTTACACGAGTTTTAGGTTTGCATTATTAGATTTAATATGTACTGTACTGAAATATTTTCTATCTAACCCATAGCTTGAGTCAGCACAACATGCAACTGAAGCCTCGACGAAGGTCACCCTCTCTGAGCTCAGCCAGGCCCATAAGCAAGTGAGTATTGCTTTGTAGTATTAACACCTGGCCAGTGTCACTCTTGACCTATAGTAGTTGGGCTCAAATGCCCCATGGTATAACCGGAGCTTAGTTGTAGGCCCAAACAAAAAGGGTTGCGTCACACAATGATATGTATCCAATTAAAGCTACCACATACCGCCTTTACAATGGAGTTGTTAATGATGTCCGGGGTGCTCGATTCTTGTGGCAAGAAGACTTATTCATCCGCTTTAGTTACGAAGAGCACAGGTATTATGATTGGTGCAGACTGTGGTGGTGATGGAGAGAGGCGTGTTGTTGATGTCGGTGGCCCCATGTGGTCACCACTTCTCCTTATTTTAGTAATATCATACTACTGCTGCTCTTGGCTCTTATTACAAAAGTCTTGTACCACTAATTTGACTATAACAAGGCACAAGTAGTTGTGTTAACACAGTTTTAGCCTCTACAAGTTCTGTGAAGCACAAGCTATGTCCTCACAAGGCAACGTTTATACCGTGCAGTACTCTCTTTGGCTAATGTCGTCTTCCCCAGTGTTCATGAGATGGAAGTTGTGTTAAGCTGGCCGGACAGATTTGGAAAATAATTCTCTTCTACTTGATATTCTCATTTTATTTTGAGAATTACTTGATTACTTGTGTGCCAATATTAGCACCCCAGTTAGGAATGATATTATTTTGGTTAAATAATTCTAGTATTATTAATGATGTCATGATTTCTGAATTTGCAAGCCCATGTTGGCAGAAGCTTCGTGGCTCTGATCCATATACATAGCCATAAACAAGGTGGGGGGGGGGTTCCTATTTTATGTAGCCATAAACCACATGGTTTATGGGATGGTGCCAGTGATCTATGATGCAAGTTTATAGTTTATATACATTATATTATAATACAGTACACTATATTACATAACATTAGATGATTTTCCACAACACTAGTTAATAGATTCTTTAATTATTTTCCAGAATTCCATTGAAAATTATTTTGACATTAGATTGTGTTCAGATACAAAATAATCACATACAGTATACTGTACTGTATAAAGTAGATGTTTTAGGAACATGATGTTCGTCCTTCGGAGTCGAAGATTGACCATGACTTCAATCTTACGTTGAATGTCGGTGACCGTGTGTCCGAAGATTGCTGACGAGACCAATCTGGGCCCGGAAACCTAGCTCAAAAATAAAACACGTGTTGGTGGGTGTTGCTGTAGAGGTGGAGGCTGCTCTAGCTTTGCATGTGGCTCATTTCCTTCGGGGCTCCACAGTCTGTCTATTTTCTGCCGCACCGGGCCCTTCTTATGGCTTTGCTTCACCAAGTTGGATGGTCCTAAGCAAGAAACTCCCAAAGCGCTGGAGTTGATGTCCAGGTCTTTGAGGGTAACTTTGATGCAGTCCTTGAATCGTTTTCTCTGCCCCCCCCCCCCTCACCCCACACAGATATACTGTACTGTATATATACAGTATAATGTTATCATGGATCTTGTAGCACAGTAGTCAATGTCCTCAACTCACAACCAAGGGACTCGGGTTCAATCCCTGGGTAGAACAGAAATGCTTGGACACATTTTCTTTCCCCTGCTGCATCTGTTCACCTAGCAGCAAATAGGTACATGGGAGTGAGTCAGCTGCTGTGGGTTGCTTCCTGGGGAGCGTCAAAAGTTGGCTTAGGAGGACGTTGACAAGTACAGGCTTCCTGTCCTAGACAAGAAGAATTAATATAATGTCATCACTTCTACATGATCAACAAGAGAGTTAGGTGATATGTAGATCACATGATCTTTCTTTCCTTTTCCAAGTAAAGTTATTACAGTCATTCTTTTTAATCATTGTGGTGACAGTATTTAGTATTTGTGAAAGTCATACAGACGTAGCAATATCTGCCTTTACAGATTAGTGAGCTGCAGGCACTTCAAAGCAGATTAAACAGTGAAGAAGAGCAACTCAAAGAAGAAATGCTGAACTTGCAGGAGCAGCTTGCAGACTTGAAATTCCAAGTTTCGTCAAAGGAAATGGAACGGGAAGCAGCAGTGAAGGTGGAGTGCTTGTGTTGCTGGCAGTTTTGTTTCCCTTTATGCACCTTTACTCACTCTGCTTCTTTCCTATTTACATTTTTTTGTTCTTTTTATCCATCAATATTTACTCGGTTACATTTTTACCCATATTTACCTGTTGGCCAACATATCTAGGAAAGGAGGAGGTCTGTGTCACAGATAGGAAGCCTGTGTCACTGATAAGAAGCCTGTGTCAGAGATAGGCAGCCTGTGTCAGATATAGGAAGCCTGTGTCAGATATAGGCAGCCTGTGTCAGATATAGGAAGCCTGTGTCAGATATAGGCAGCCTGTGTCAGATATAGGAAGCCTGTGTCAGATATAGGAAGCCTGTGTCAGATATAGGAAGCCTGTGTCAGGGATAAGAAGCCTGTGCTGGTATCACAAAATGCTAATGCAAAAACAAGGAGAGGCAGAATTGTATATCTAGAAAATTACTTAATTGTGATACGGGAGTACCTAACAGACAGGAAAGAAAGGGTCACAGTCAGAAAAGGTATATTAGGCAGGAAGGATATAGCACGCATAGTTCCTCAGGGCTCAGTCCTGGGCTTGATGCTATTTCTAATGTAGTACAGTAAGTGTGAATGACATACCAGAAGGAATGAACTCGTTCATGTCAATGTTTGTAAACATTGCAAAGCTGATGATGAGGATACAGACTGAGGAAGACTGTAGAGTACTACTGGAAAACTTGGAGTATATTGGAGACAAATTGGAGTAGTTACGAGACAAGTAGTTGCTAGATTTTAACTCTTAACAAATTTAAGATCACAAAAATCAGTTTGTTAAAAGAAAATTGGAAAGCCAGGTATGAGAAAGCATCCGGGGAGAGACATCATAGCAGCACTAACATCAGAGGCACTTGTAAACAGGATAACATAAACAGCATACAGTACTCGAACAGAGGGGGACACAACAATGGCTCTCAGAACTTTAAATAGGTTTCTTTCAATTTATTGAAAGTGGCATTTATTTTAAATTTGAAGCATCTTGGATACTTAGAACATATTCTTATTAAAATATTTCAAGTATTCACATATAGGATGGAAATCAACAGACTGTTAAGGAAAACACAAAACATAAATTATATAGACAATATAAAGAAAATGCTATGGATACAATATTTCAGCAAAATCATGAGTTTATGTGAAAACCTAAATTTATCTGGTGGTGGCTTTTCTCTAATGGCCCTATCAAACCTGTGGCATGTGAAGACCTTTCTTGTTTTGTGTGATGAATTTGTCCAAGTATTATTTTAAGTTGAGCCTTTGGATGCTTTGAGAGCTTCAGAACTTCGACTGTTTTGTTCGATTATTACTCTCAATGAGAATACATCTTTCAATTCGATGGTTCTTCACTGTCACATGACTTACTGTGTTTATATTGCAGGAAAACGTAAAACATTCTGAAGCGCTTACTGCTGCAACATCTGAAATTAATGAACAGGAAGCAAGAATCACGAAGCTGGAGGAACAGACTGCATCACAGAAACAGCTCTTGCTCTCTCAGGAACATAAACACTCCTCTCGAGTTAATGAGCTCACAGACAGTTTAGCCGAGCGAGACGCCCATTGTTGTGATCTAGATGAACGGCTACAGCAGGTAGTTATAAAGACCTGTATGCAACTCACTGGTGATTATAACGGCAAGAAAATTGTTCGATCTTGTATCACATATTTAGCTACAGTGAATTGGTTGATGAGTGGAGATGTAGCTAGAGACACTTGTTGTGCATTAGTTTAGCTCTAGGTGTTTGATTCAATTTGTAGATGTGTAACCTAGTCCTTTTGCAGTAACATTTGAATTTGAATAGACCATATTGAACCACTTTTTCTGAAGGCAAATCATCTTATTTTTGGTGTTGTGCCATACACTTTATGTTGAACTTGAACCACATATATTTTCAGAAGTAAAAATAAAATTGTTGACTACTTAGTCTCCCCATAATGAGTGTGTTTACTGTACTTACATGTACTCATTTCCTAATTCTTGCTTTTTTTCTTCTTTACCCTTAAAGAAGACAAGAGTAATGTATGAACCATTACAAGAGGGTAGTTTCATGACTAAAAATTAAATAGTTTTGTTTGTGCGAGGATTAATATTAACCTTACCTCGCGCTGGCCTCCATCTGCCGTTTTTCCGTCGCAACCTCCGTGTTAGAAAGGTCCGATCTTTATGTAGATACAATTATCTATTACTTCTGTTATGACTTGATACTCTTCTCATCAATGGGACCTCAGTAGCTCTTAAGTTAAGATAGTAAGGAGAAGAGAAATTATTACATGTATACCATAGTTTTTGTTTGGTGGTACTCGCAGGCCGAGGCTTCATTGACGACGACACAGCAGAGCCTCTCTGAGACACAGAGTGAACTAAACACAGCCAAGGACTCGTCTCACCAGCTCTCTGATGACAACATGCAGCTCAGAGAAAAAATTATCCAGTTGCTTAGGTAGGGTGAACATTTCCAGCTTTAAATTCCTTACAGGTAATCTGTTTTGAGAGTTGCATGCTGTCTGTCTTCCATAGAAAAAAATCCAGCAACTAATAGTTGAAATTACAGTACACACTTTTTTTGATCCCCTAGTACAGTAATTGAGTGTGGCATAACTGCAACTTTTAATAAGAGATTATTATTTTATATCACACATCATCTGAAATTAAATTTTATATGAAACAAACCAGTCTTTCAACTAACAGCTATAATATATATGTACAGTATATGTGTATATATAATGTGGGTGTTAAAACAAATAATGTAGAACCAAATTTGAGACAGGTTGAGGTAGGAAAGATATTAGAGCACAGAGAGGCAGATGGTCAAGTCAGATCACACTTATAATCTATTTATTTTTATGGAAGGGTAGACGTAGTAGGCTTGTATGTGCCATTGGTGTAGGTGTTATGTAGTGGGCTTGTGCATGCATGTCTGCCTGGCGGGGGATGAGAGGAAGCTATGGTAATAGGGGGAGGCTTGGAGAACGTGTATGTACATATCCAACAGGGCTGGACATTGGTGGAGGGGGGAAGGGAAGTAAGAGAATGGGAAAATTTTCTTTATCGCGGTCCTTTTTCAGTTTATATAAGCAACTGTGTAGGCAAAATAAATTCCTATGGGAGACTAAGGACAGGTCAAGGCATCTGTGTGAATCTGCTGCTTGCCCACTTGTATACAATATGTTGCAATATGTTTCAAGTTTGACAGAAAAAACATCATTGCACAAGATCCAGTTGCTTGTGAGCATATTTATATGCATTTTATTTTGATTTAGGACAATAATCTTGTGAATAAATTATTTTGTTAATAATTTTAGCAACATATTGTATACTGAACACTAAACCTCGCCCACAGTTGCCTAATTTTTAATAGTTATGAGTAATTTAGTACTGTATGGACTCTCACTGAAGTCATTAGCATTACTTATTTATAGGTATGGTGCTTCTTTGTGCTGTTTTTATGGATAAAATTATATAATTATCCAATTCTAATGGCTTACTCCCGGTGCATCTCAATTGGCCAGTTTTTATTTACCATATATTCAATAATTTCAAAATAATTGTTCTCGTCGCTATTGTTATTTCCCCGAGCAGCAGTTGTTAATGAGTGGTGTTGACTGGCTGTCATTATAAATGTTTTCAAGTATTTTTTTTAATCTGTATTTAGAGTTGTGGTTTCACACAGTGGAGTCCCTGTATTTCCAGTGTTTTTCCTCAGTATCCTTAATGTACTGGCTTGTAATTTTTGTGTTATTACCATTAATTTGTTACTAATTGATGTGTGATTACTAACTTTCTAAAAAACAGAGTTTGAGTGTGAATTTGTGTTGTACATTGTTCAGAGAGAAGGATGCCCTCTGGCAAGCTAATATTCGTCTAGAAGGTGCTGCGGGATGCGGCCGATCTTGGATGGACAACAGCAGTGCCCAGAAGTGTCTAGGATGCAATGTGACATTCTCTCTAACACGTAGACGTCATCACTGCCGTACCTGTGGCCGCATCTTCTGTACCGGCTGCTCCGACAACTGGATCATGACCCCAGCGTCAAGGTGCCAGCCCACTTGAATGAAATTGATGGTAGTTTATGACTGGGTACTCACAATTTTTTCAACTTGAGTTCATTTATTACTGAATGCAAATGGATCATATTCCTTAAAATATAGTTTTATTATATTTTCTGCATGTCATCAGTGACTCAGTGACGGGAAGACAAGTGTGGTTGTCCTGTCATTGAAATAGGATGCCTTGAGATTTTGTATTGCAAGCATTTAAACTACATCTGTTTACTTTAGTTGGAGCTGAGGAGCTATTGGATATCTTGCTACAATCATTATTAGCTGACAGGCCTAAAATCTCTTAGACCTTGACTACTTTGAACGTGTACAACATGAGTTTTGCTCATTTACTCAAGAAAATTATGAGCTACAGCAACTATGTTACCCAGCATGAATGTTCTCTCGGGTAAATAAACACCCGTTTTGGCAGATAACTGACGTTCTTGGACATGTGATGTACAGATAACCAAGCGTGTGTTGTGGTAGCTAAACCATTGAAGGTACTGTAGTGCCTTGGAGTGAATCATAGTTGGTGACTAATCATTTATTCCTTGATAGTATAGTAGATCTTTTAAATAGTACAGTATAAAATGGGTATTTTAATTAAAACATTAATTTTAGTGAGTGGTGGAAATTTAGTAGAGCCACAACCACTTAACAATCTTGGATTTGTATAACCCAGTACAGTACTATATGTTAATACTTAAAAATTATTCTGTGTATTGAAGGATTGTAGATACACAGCCTTTGTTTCACAGGTTTGACTAAATCATAATGCAATAGAAATATTAAGATATTGAAAATGTAATTTAGAAAAAAATTCAACAGGACAGTAATTACTTTACATTCCATATACCAAGTATTACAGTATACAGCAGTTGACTTATTGACATTTTTCACAATATGTACTAATTTTGTGGCCGTTTTATTGACAGTCGAAGAGTGAGGGTCTGCGATGACTGCTTCTCCATACAAGCCGAACTGGCAACAATTATAGCATCTCCAGCCACGCAGCTCTTCACCAGCACACTTGAAGGATGTAAGGCATAAAATTAATACATTTTTGCATAGATATGTGGCAACTCTACTGCCCACCACTGTGACACACTCAACCTCCCAGTACCTGTATTTTTAGAAGTGGGAAAATTTTAAAGCGGAATACAAGTAAATAACCCAACTCTTGCATATGAAATGAGTGATGACGTTTCATTTCATGTCCCGGTTGGTTTATTGATTTCAGCCACGTTATTGTGACTTATTTATTCTCTGCATATACAGTAATATACGGTATTACTATTTTAATCCCTTTTATCTCTGGGCTAATGCCCCCCCCCCTCCATTTAAAGAAAGTAGGAAATGTAATAATAACAAATGAAGGCATATTACTGTATTACAGTAATGTCACTTAAGTACAATACAGTTCTATTATTTAGGCTAAGCTTGGAGTATTTCTTTAGGATATCACTTTGTAACTGATTTCCTAAGTCAGAACTGTTCGTAATCAGTGTTCTAGAACCAGTTTCACAGACACAACTATTATGTAATCTCTGCCCTATTTATTTGTGATACTCTGTATTATAGTACTCTACATTTATGCTGTCATTTGCAAATATTGGTTATTTGGCAGTGACTGGAAGTTCATTGGAGAGTGGAACATTGGCAACAGATACCTCAAGATCTTCTCATCCGCTACCCATTGGCTCCCAAGACCCTGACGACGATGAGTTTGCTATGATAGATGATGATGAAGTACAAAATTCGCGGCTATCATCAAGTCCAAGCAGTGGGTCTCCTGCAAGCAGTAGTGATGTGATAACAGAAACACGGGCTACTAAGGAAATCCTCACCCCAGATTCTTTAAGTTCTTCACCACCCACAAATGCTGAGGTAAGTTGACAACAGCCTCCAGAAAGTTTGGTGCCAAACATGTATTCTGCATCACGAGTAAGGATTGTAATTGTCTACAAGGCAAATTGAAAATACACCCAATTATGACCAATCCTAAGACTCATACCCTGCTTGTTTGATGAACAGGGAAGCAATAAGTTTTGAATGTGAACTGTTAATAATGAAACATTGTTTTAATTATTATTAGTTTTCATGTGATGTTACTTGTAGGCGTGGGTGGGAGCAGGGACACGAGTCCTGGTACCTGTAGACCTGCCACCTGGTGTCATCCTTCACTGGAACTTTGTGTCTGAACCTAAGGTAAGGTTTACTTCTCTAAGTACAGTACAGTATGTACATGATAATTTTTGACGCGTATATAATTACATTTCCTTAGCTTTGCATGCAAACCAGACCATGGATCACATTTCGTATATATAATGCATTCGTAGTACTTCACTACTTTTATCTTACAAAGTGCTCTTCACTATTTCCTAAATCAAAATTTGTATTGTGTGTTATATATGGTAAAAACAGTGCATCTCCACTCAAACTGATTAATTCATGATTGGTCCCATCTGATGCATAAAACTTTGACTTTTATGCAATAAATTTACGATGTTTAGCTGAAACAATGATTTAAAACTCTCTTGTATGTAATTTAATTAAAAAAATCACATGGAAAAATTATATTGTTAAATATTTCATTGAATCGCTTGCATTTTTATTGTGCACCGCCGCTCATTCATATGCAACTACACTGCTGGAACGTTTGATTTTATGCCGCTATACCAGAACAGCCTTTATTCACTACATGCGTTATTAATCTATAGTCATATAATTCCTCACTTGGAAGCTGAACTCTAGAATGTATATTTAATCATATAACATGCTTCATGACTGTACGTTTATTTGACTGTCTATGGGAGTAAGATGTAGTTATCCAGTCCATGATACTAGATACAATTATGCTTCCCAAATTTGTAATGCTCTATTATATCTGCTTTTAAAATTGTGAATAAAGGTGGCATTTACAATACAGTACAGTAATATGTACCTCTGCTCGTATGAAAATGCTATAGCTCCCAATTTGCTACCAAATCATTAAAGACTAGTTTGTTACACAGTATCTCTGTGGGCTCTTTCAGTGGCCATGGCAAAATCTGGAATGGTCTTATTGATTTTTTTTCATCTAATTCCACTTGATATTTTAATTTATTTTTTTTCCCCTCGGTTACTACCGTATCCCCCATAATGTGTACCAAGGAGTTGAACCCTCTAGAATGTATATATTAATTTGTCTTGACAGAGTGTGTCATTTGCTGTGCTGCACCAACCTGAGGCCAACAGCCATCAAGAGCCAGAAGCTGGAGCAGCTAGTCAACAACGGATACTGATTCCAACCACGAGAGTAGCTTCAACACAAGGAGCTGCTGTCAAGGGTCGTTTACTTACCAAGCAGCCAGGTGTATACACCCTTGTCTTTGATAATTCATTTTCCAGGTGAGTTTATTTTTGTAGCATATTGTAGACCATAATTATCAGGTGTAATAATTTAGTTCTTCAGAGGTAGGTGTTAAAATTTTCCAGGGAAAAGAGTAAAACAGGTTTAAAGCATTTAGGAAAATATGATTGTGTTAGCAATCCAGGAGGCCTGGATTGACGACCGGGCCTGGTCGACGACCGGGCCGCGGGGACACTAAGCCCCGGAAGCACCTCAAGGTAGCATGGCAAAAGTGCAGTACCGTCAATGAAGCACAATGAAGTACAGTATACCATTTATTCAGGAAGACGAGTGGTAGTGGAATGAATGTTCTACATAAAAATGGTATAAATATGAAAGAGAGAGAGGAGGAATGCCAAGCATCAGATTCTTGTTGACATAATATTAGAGAAAGCTTGGAGAATAAAAGCTGGAGCTCGTAAAAATTACCATAAATGTTGTATATATTCCATTGAATAAGACATTTGATAAGATATTACAAAAAGCAGAAAGTACAGAAACAAACAGGAAAACTAGTTTTGTCATTAATACTGTCTCTTTAATTAACTGATAATGTTGTTAGACGTTAGAATTATACCCATCAGTCAGTGATGGTAAAAAACTGTGCTCAAAATTTGTCAACAGTACTGAAACAATAGGCAAATACAGTACTACCAATACACCAGCTCTGCAAACATTTTCTACACAGAAGCAAATTAAAATACCATTCCATTTCTGTTACTTAGGTTTTTTTTCTTACAGGTTTACTGCCAAAAAAGTTACTTACAGTTTGAGATTAGAAAACCAAGAAAGCTCGGAAGACACATCAGCAGCACATCCTGCGCCACGCACACCCTCACCAACACTTCCTACTCTACCTTCACCCTGAGTCTTATTACTGTGAGCCAATGTGATTGTCAAGTTATATATTTTAAGTGTGTATGTTATGCCAAGGTATTCAATGAATAATGTATGTTTACCAAGTGGAGAGGTAATAGAGAATGTTATGTATTACAAAATGTTTGATATTAATAGCAAGCTTGGTGGCCCAAATGTTGATATAGTCAGGTATGATGGGCCACATGTCCAATTATCTCACATTAATTTTTAATGCGAGTTTTTTAATTTTTGGTTTAAAGGATTTTTTCTTAGGAAAATGATTGTTATAAAGTTGATCTATTATTCAGCAACAAATTTATTTCTACACTACACTGGTAGCAATGCATTGAGGAAAATCTATTTGCAGTGTTTAGTGTATCACTGTGATACGTTTTGCATTATACAATAACTGCCAGGAGATGCCTATTTGGTACATATTAAAAGGATAATCCTCTCTAATGTGTGGTGTACAAGTATTTTTGTTTTTATTATTTCTGATTAACTTTAGTCAATACTGTGCCAATTTAAGGGACCTAGTATTATTGTTTGATCTGAAGTTTTATTTATTTAGATAAGATAGTGTATGTAGAAAGTTTTAAAGGAAAGTGAGTATTTTAAAGACTATTCATACAGTATTACTATACTGTACAGAGAGTGCAAGTTCCATAAATTGATACTGAAGAAGTCATGGGAATGTTCCCATAAGTAAAGAATATTGACTGTGTATAATTTACTGCATGCTCATTTAACTTTTGCTGAAAACTGTTTCCAGGCATTGGTTAGTTAGCATTTATCAGTAAAAATACTGGTTTTAATTATGATAGTAAAAGGAGCTTATGGAATATATCAGGGCATTTTTACTTTGCTTGTGTTAACACTGAAATGTTTCATTTTGATCTTCAGGTGATGTACAATTTAAAAGAAATATTTCCATGCCCACAGTTGAGCTAAAATTCAATGGATCTTAGGTTTTGACTGATGTGGTAACCAGGGCTTGCAGGTTACTTATCGAAGACAATTGTCTATTGTACAATGCAGTTGACTTGAGATTTTTCTGCAAGTCTACAGCATTTCCTACATATAAATTTTTTGTCTAAGCAATTTTGGACAGCACAAGTGTTTGGGTGCGTTAGGAAGTTTAAAATGTGAATGATGCAAGTTTCTTGCACAGGATTGGTGTGTGTGTGTGCCAATGATTCAGGCCACCACCTTTTTAATTTTTTTTTTTTTTTTTTTTTTTTTTTTTTTTTTTTTTTTTTTTTAATTTTCTGTTTCTCTTCCTTCCACATGTTTAATATATATCATGGTTTTAACTGACTATATATTTTGTTTACTATAACTTAGCCTTTCCATGAAATTAAATTTAGGAACTCGAACAATGATTCCACAGCTGTATCAAATACCATGTTATGTACAGTATGACTTGGCAACTAAGGCAATATATAATCTTAAGAGTTTTATAATGATATGGTATATTATGTAAATGTTCATGTATAAATATATTTTGCAATGTTAATATTTTGCTTAATAAATGATTATAGTCTGTCAGTTGTTTATACATGTGTATAATAAAGACACAGCCATTAAAGAAATCAGTTAAAAGGCACAAATAAAATACTGCTTAACACCTACAATATATATATTTCATTCAAACTCAAGTTCTGAAATGGAAAGTAATACCACACACTTTAAAAATACAAGGATGACTGCACTTTCATTTCATCCTAGAATGCACTATCTGCAGTCCAGGAGCCAGATTCACGAAGCAGTTATGCAAGCACCTACGAATCTGTGCATCTTTTCTCAATCTTTGGCGGCTTTGTTGACAATTATTTAATGAGCCAGGAGGCTGTTTATAACAATACAAACATGAACACTTCCCGATCAACTGTTGTTAAACAGTTTAATAAACGTAACCAAAGCCATCTAAAGATTGAGGAAAGATGTACACGTTCGTAAGTACTTGCTTAACTGCTTCGTGAATTTGGCCCCAGCAATACATGCCCTTCAGGCTCCTATACTAACATCATTCTTTACATGCTGTTTCAAATGCCTAATTATTATTATTACCTTTTTAACATACCACTAAATATCTCGAGTCTCGACTACAGTATTGCTCTTTATACTACAAGTAAACATTTGAGCAATATCATCTGCTTCGGGTAACAATACTCAAACTTTCAAGTGGTATTTGGCTGCCTTTAGACTGTATATGACTGGCCCTGAACTAAACCCTCACCGTTATCATAAGACTTCAGTTTAACAGTTATGGTATTCCACATGTTTTATACTGTCACTATCAATATTTCTTCATGAGCTACCACACTAATACCTGCTGTACTGCTTATAACACCCTATAAAATGTTGAATATAATCGTTACACACACACACACTGAGCAAACCTGTGAAACGAGCCAACAAAAACACTAGCTCTCCTAGCCTGCTTACATCTGATTTAGTAAGCCATACAATTTGTGAAGTATGCTGGTAAATTACTGTTAATATATATATATACATGTATGAGCATGTGCACACGTGTGTGAACACATGAATGATATTTGTGTATCTAAAGAAAACCAAAAATAACTCATTTCAATTATATTGTAGAATGTAATCACAAACAGTTGAATATTGTTCACCTAAACAATCAAGGATGCAAACCCATGAAATATATGATTCATATAAACAATTCCACTTTTTAAATTCAAGCAGCATGAGGAAACTAAACAAACAGCAAGTAATAAATAACAACATTTACCTTCACAGCTTCCCTCATAAAAAGGGTGCAACACTTCACGGCCCAGAAATGGTTACCAATTGAAGCAAATTAAAGCCTCATAAAATGCACTTCACTTTCCCCAGATGTGCATGGATGGCCTCTTCATTAACCAGACAATAAGCACTTCCAAACTGAGAAGTTTAAAAAAAAAAAAAGCATGAACAAATAAAGCTAAACTATTACAAGATCTAGTAATTTTTCAGTGCTCTTTTTACAACTTAATGGTTTACTTTTAACCTTCAATTTCTTCTGAATTTATTATGATAATTAGATTAGTGTATAAAATGGCAGACAAATTTGTTTTTCATTTAGCAACCATGCCATCCAGCACTTCACACCAAATTCATGTTAAAAATCTCCGCTTAAACCCTGGAGAGAGCAAGGCATTCAAAATATATATATGTATGTATGTACAGGCAGAGAGATTGATAAAAATACAAGATGTATATGCACAAATTCATAGTTAGGTAATGAAATTCTGCATTCCACTAATTCACCTGACATATGAATCTTAAGTTATGACAACAATTTTGGCTCATAATTATTCCTATTAAATTTAAAACGGAGGATGACAAGTGAGCATTACGTTGCTCAAGAACATTCCGTGGGAACAATGATGCTCCAAACCCACAAGATGAACCCAAAGCCTAACAATTATCCACCCAAATTACATGTGTGCAGAATAAACAGATGCTTCTATTGTACAAAATTAACATCTTTATAAAGGAGTTTACATGAAATTTATTATATCACATGGAAATAGGTTGAAGTAGGTTTACTGAAAGCTACTATATAACTAAGTAATTTCTTAAACAAAATTTACCTGACTCTAGGACAGTTGCACATTCAAATAAAAGAAAACTCTCCTTGCCTACTTTCATGAAAATCCACTGAATAGTTTGGAAACTTGCAATAGCTAGCTAGCATTATCTGCCTAAATCATACAGTATATTGTACCAAGTGAATAGCACACATCTACAATATCTTGTGTACATCTCAAAACGGGGAAAAAAAAAAATTGTTTTTAAATGCACATTGTCAAGATGCTTCACCTGTATTCTTGGCAATTTACTAATTTAGCCAAGCACTTAAAAACCTTGGTATGCTGCACTTTGGATCCTGGGTCATAAAATGGCACACTTGTCAATGCAATTATTTCAGGCTAATTTCATTTACAAATCTACAAACTACCATACATCCACTCACAGCCATCACCAAGTTCACAAAGTCAGCGACTACTGTGCAATTTAGTACTTAAATTCCAGATTGCTCTTTTGCATTTCACTATAAAGTGATGCAGTTTACTGCTATGGTTGCAACTGACCTTTTGACTACTTGTATTATTAATTCAGCATGTCATCCACTATTTCTATACGTGAATTCAGGGCAAATACAAAATAATCCTAAATGCAAATTCATTCTTTACACCCAAATCAGAGTATAAAAATAAAGATTTGAAGCTTCTGAAAAGCATTTATCCATCACTAACTGAACATTCATAATTATCTGCACGAGAAATTGGTTAGAGGACCAGTTCCACTCCATATGGCAATGGCTGGCTATGCAATAAACGCAATCACACTTACGGGTCCAACAAAAAGTTAAAACAATGCTAACTAATGATACTACCATCAATATACAATTCTCATTTTATGTGATAATCTTCAGGTAAATTGCTTCCAACTAATCTTGCCTACTCTATTCACTTTCAAGTCTGGTACTTCCATCCTTTAGGAGCATTAACAATGACTCGGCCAACAAGATGTGCACACTTAAAATCTAAAGCTCTTGTAAAAATTATTACACAAGCAAAAAAAAAATTTTTGAATGTTAATTCATGCTTTTCTTTTGTACATTAATATTACATTACCTTGCAATACAATATTTATAGTTCTAAACATATCACATTCAAATGTTAGCCATGTTAATAGACAAAAATTAAGATAAATGACTGAATGTAGGAAGCTAAGTTCATAGTTATACATTAGAAACCTATATTTAAGACTACGTCTGTATCCAATATACATTTTACAATAGAGGCGTTCTAAATTTCAGCCCACACAATTAAGTCACTGTAAACCTTTATCCTAAAAGTTGAGGAAAAATCATTGTGAACCACATAGGATGGTTTAAGACGTTAAATTTCGTGACTGCCATCATAAATTGGAGGGCAGTTACAGGAGGATACAAGAAAATTCCTTTCAGGTCTGCCACAAGATGTCAACCAAGTATAACACACAAGGTTGACCTCACCGAGTAGCAATTCTCGTAAGAATTAATACTAACGTTACTCTATACAAGGCTATGCCAGGACTTCATAACCTAATGTACAAAGGCATGGGAAATGGGCAGAGAAAAAAAAGGGAAGCAAGGAACCATAAATTCTACTTCCCTGAGGGATGATCAGGGGAGACAGCCGATGCTCACTGAGGAGGGATGGATGAGAACACTTGGTGCGTGTGTCCAGTGCCCTATGTCCTGCTATACTTGTTTGAGAGGAAGACAAAATTAAATCATAGATATAAAAGTACTACTGTATACAAAATTTTTGTTGTACATTAAATTGCATTCAAATATATGTTTTTAGAGCCAAAAAGAATAAGAAGAAATAAAATTTGCTTCTCTGGTAAGGTCACCTTCACCACCTCCCTCACAACCTGCCCCCTATTGAAACCTAAACCCAGTAAGAGACATGGTGCAAAAGGGAATTTTACTGTACAGTTGAGGCCATTTCATTAAACTATTCATGCTAGCTTACTCACAATGGCACAGCATGGTTTTGCTGAAAAGGAACACAGCACAAAGAATTTTTTAGGGCACCCAGCCAAAACAAATTCGAGAATACCCACAGCCAGTGGACACCACCACCAAATTCAGTATCGGAAAACAGCACCTTGCCAGAGAAACAAGCCTGGAGGTACCAATCCTGAAAAGCAGAGACTGACAATCCTTACCGATACATCACCCCCTCCCTACCTACAAGAAAATAATCCCAAAGGAAAACTACAAAAGGAAACTAAGCCTAAACCAAGCCAGAAATATACAAGAGGGACACAAACCCACAGAAAGGAACCCGTGGACACGTCCCCTGAACCCTACCTGATAGAACAAAGCCAGAAGTCAGCCTGTAAGAATACAGAGTGTATTAGAAGAGTATACAAATCCAGCATGGAATCCACAATTAGTAAGGCAAAATAATATATTTTAAAAAAGAACTCAAACATGTCACAAGAAATGTCCCACAGATGTAGATACCCAAGTGAACACGAACAACATGCAAGATACAGAGAGAAATAGATAAATTGAAGTCATTTCCAGGGAAAGGACAACAGAACTATTGGGCACAGATGAAAGTTGAAAATATAATTGTGAAAAGGAATGTAAAACCTACGTAGCGAGATCAACAAGTTGAGTGAATCACAGGTGGTGGAAGCAATTGGCATAGAGCCTCAAGAGCAAGTATGACAGCAATAGAATGTTGGGAGGTGCAAATGCACCAGATGCATACTTGTTAGGTGCAACTCAGCAGCTGGATTTCATTCCCCATTGGCACGAACAGATAAGCACAATGTATCAGTAGCACCAACTCCCACACAGAAAGCCAGACTGGAAATTTCAAGCTCTATGTATTTCTTTATCAAAATTACGAGACCATCCTCAAATAATTTGAGTGAAACTCGAAACACTGACCAAAATACAACAAACAACAATTGCAAGCTTCATTACTGTCTCCATGTGGGTCTGCTTGTGCCATCAATCAACATTCTTTACACTTTTAAAATTGGACACATACATTTATCTATTTGTTATCAATCATTTGTGCACCGCACCTACTCTACCAACTAAACATTCCACACCAATCCTTTTAGACCACTTTAATAAACAGGATCATCCTCAACGTTCACAAGATTTCACTTTATTTACAATCAGTGGCTACTGACTTTGATCAGACAAATTTATTTTCATCTAAGACACAACAGACTCGGTAATAAAGAAGTCACACAATGTGAGGATGGAAAGGAGGAAGAGGGAGTGAAACATGAATAGGAAATATAGAAAAGCAAATTATATTCCCTATAATATTAGATATCTAATGGTATCTTTGCAGATATATATATAAAAGGTAGCTAGTGAGGTAATGGAAGTCACGCAACAAAACTGGAAAAGAATGGACATTACTGGAAAGCAGGGATGTAGCTGAACAATAGCAATTTCAAATGCTTTAAAAAATAGATGCATAATTATAAATAAATTGGTAATGTTGAATTAGTACCACTGTAAATCAACCAATATTTAGTATATTTTCTTTTGTGAAAAGAACTGGAAAATTCTTACCATTAGAAGCGTGGGCTAGAAGGATTGGCCCCAGGCGTTGTTGGTGCGCCAAACTGGTTTCGAACTGCCGCCGACGCTGCATTCGCCGTGACATTTTGGACATGTTCATTTCGCATCACTCCCTGGGAGAACTCGGCTTGAGCCTTGGCAAAGCTGGCCCCTGTACTTCGGTAGATGCGATGTACCTGTCACAGCAGGTTTGGAGCATCAGAGGTAAGTGCACACACAGACATGACCAACTCACTCTTAGATATAATAAAATTTTCCTATATTAGGCTTTTACATAAAGTATTTTCATTTTACTACATGTGTTTTAAACAATATATATTTTTGGCCTATCTGACAGTATTTGGCCTAAACAGACACTATTTTACTTTATGTATTTTAAATTTTATAAAAAAATGTTTAAACTTACACAAATTTTCAATGAAGAAAACATTAATATGCCTTGATGTCAAAGCAAGCATCTGTAAAGCAACTACCAAAGCTCCATAAACCATGTGCAGCTAAAGCAATATAACAAAGTACAACATTACAGGCAAAATGCATAATCCAGAACATTTATACACCCTCTCCACCCTCCCTAATATCACCATCCTCATTATTCTCGAGGCTTTAATTTTAATATTTCTGTGGTATTCTAATGCACTACTCAAACATCCACAGAAAACAAAAAATGCATTAAATAGACGAAGAGAAAACCCGTGTCCGAGCACAGTCGAGTAGTTTCCATACAAATCAATTTGCATACAACCCATTGAGAGTGGCTGTATGCAAACAACTTTAGAACTATACAAAATTTCTATGTGGTTTGACAATGCACAGGGAGACAATTTTAATTTTAGAAAACTTTGAAACCTGTGCTGAGACTGCTTGATTGAGTTATTGGGCAACTCTATGTATAAATTCTTAGCTCCAAATGCCACCATAGCTTTAAAGAAATAGTGTACATTAAAATACAGTAGAGCTGGCATTTACCCCTTGTCAAATATTATGTTACCAATTTTGCATTTCAATGCCACTAAAATATGTCATCCACACTCCAGCAATAAATGTTCCGATGATGCTAACACACATCCGATTGCAAAATTTGTGGTTTTTGGTTCCCGAGGAATTCTATTTGCATCAACCAATCAAAAAACTTAAGACTTTTTACTGGTGTATAAACCAATCACATGCGCACATTTCTATATTTCTCATTTTTATTTAGGATGAATAATAAATGAGGAATGTTAAATCCTTCATAAACTTTCATATACAGTATTCATCAATGTTATGCATAATCTATCAAATACACTTCCTTTTTCATCTATTCTCTAGAGAATTCCTTTATGAATATTTTGGCACCAAATTTGTAATTATAACCCAACAAACAACACAGAAAACGCAAAGTAATTATAAATACTTTACGCACCACTGAGCAAGGCCCTCGGGAACCCAGAAAGTTTACAGTCGAGAAAATGCAGAGTGGTCGCACTGCCAAAATATTAACGTGAATAAAACATTGAAATCAAGGATGGAGGCAGTTTATCTCATCAAATTTAAAATTTCAGATTGTCAACAACAATCCAAATTTTTCTCTCAACTGGACTGAATACATGGTTACATGCACCTTGCATACAAATTTCCATTTTTTGTGATATTATGCTAGAAAAAATATTAATTTATCAGTATTCCCTCCCCCCCTAAATTATCTTTAGGTAATGAGCACATAATGCCACACTGCAATGGAGGTTTAGGCAACAGCTTTGTCCCTTTGTACCCAACCACCTGGGCTGCATGGTAGAGCAACGGTCTCGCTTCATGCAGGTCGGCATTCTATCCCCAACTGTCCAAGTGGTTGGCACCATTCTTCCCCCTCCCCATCCCATCCCTTATCCTCACCCCCTTCCAAGTGATATGTAGTCATAATGGCTTGGCACTTTCCCCTGATAATTCCTTTCCTTTCCTTAGTTCCTTTGTTTCAATATGGTGAAAAGGTAAACAAGAGTGTCATCCATCAACAGATTATTACTGTACACAAGTACACATTTACTCACTGGCATACACCCACACCAACCTCATGCACTAACCGGCCATCTGCAACAATTTTAGAACCACAACTAACTAAATAATTTATCAGAAATTATCCTCTTGAAAATTTGCATTTCTTTTTAATAGTGCAACTGTTCCCACTCTATAATCCCATATTTGTTTTACCCACCTTGAAGCTTCCCTAACAATTGTCTGTGGGTAATACTAGCAAAGATGCAATACTGGCAGAGCATACACAACATTACCATTAAAACACTCGAGAATTGAAGTCTGCCACCACTAACTTGATCCACTGTTATATCTAACATATTATATCTCTAATATAAAAATATAAAATTTAATTCCTGCTCCATCACCTCAAAATAATGCTGGATCACATATTATTAACAAATTCAAACCTGTTTTTGAGGACCTGATCCACTGAACTGCAGACAGCCTCTGATCAACACCAGACAATCTCTCACTAACCTTTAAATTCTTCCATTTACTCTATCATTCCTTAAGCTAATGTTCAACTGATGAAGTGCTCAAAATGTACTTCTGGCTCATTATAAAACTGCATACTGTATGTTGTTAAACAAGCAATAATATAGAATACATTGGTCCTGTAAGGACTTTTTGTTTACAAATGAACTGTTGTGTCATGCTATTAAATTTGACCCATATAGATATAGTTCTCCATATTCTGAGAAAGTTAATGTGTTAAGTGTATTGTGACACCTCTAGACCAATTACTGACTTTTCCCAGGCTGTAACCTACAACAGTTGCTCAACTCCCTGCTACTATTTACTGCTAGGTGAAGTCTGCTGCAATAATTGAGCCAGTGATCTTTCAGCTATGCCATGACAGTGCTTACTACTGCACCACAGGACCACATGTAATGTGTACCACTTCATATACTGTACCAAACAACAGTACATCCCCCATATTGACATAATGAGCCACTACAAAGCACACACAAACCTAGATTTAATAATGAGTTTTAGCACTTGACTGCCTGCTTCCCGAGCAACACCTTCACACTGTTACTAACTTGGAATCTAAACAGAATGGCACGTACACTCACCGATATGAACAGTATCTACTTACCTGTTGCAAGTTTCATACCATATGACCAAAATGTTGAAAAATCTGCTCTCAGATAAGTGCCTAAATAATTATGAGAGCCGATTATGCACAAAATTATTAAACGTGTATACTGTACTATATTCAGTACAGTATATATTTTGTTTGACATGACAGTATTAAGCATTTTACCCTTTGCCATTTTTAGGATTACTGTAACAGTACTTATTTTAATTAATTTTTTTTACCTAGTGCATCACAGCCATCATATGAAACACAGAATACTCACGATTCTCACATTGCTGCCAACTAAACTTTCTAATTGGCAACGTTTATTTACATTTAGGAATCTTAGAGAGAGATTTCTATATAACTTTTTAAGAGTACCAATTTTGAGATTGAAAAAACTGCAAAAGGCTTAATAAATTTCAAACTATATAACCTTCACAAATTTTATAACAAAAAAATAAAAAAACAGTACATGGCTAGCATGTTAAAACGGAGCAAAAATGATAAATTTAATGATGGTCATTATAAGCATAAGCCAAGGCCAAAAAGTTAATACCGAAAACAGAAATTAATGCACAAAAGAACATACAGTATATGAGCAACCTGCAATGTTATAACAGCATACAAAAGTATATATATACATAAACCATAACATAAAAATTACCAAATAGTAATACAACAAAACAATTATAAATGCTACTTACCCAAAATATTACCCTTTGTTTTCAAGCTATCATCACAGTACTATAATGCGAAGAATTTCCCCTTGCCAAAACCATAACTAGTAAACTAACATTAATATGTATAAACTTTCTCACCTACGCATGATTAGTACAGCACCAGCAAGCTCTACAGGATAATCTTTATATGAAATCATTCATATGTTCATAATCACTGGTATTATTGCTGATAATGAACCAGTCTGTGAACTTCAAACCGATACACTAAATTAAACAAAAAAATCCACTAGCAATACCAATTTAAAGTGTACTTTCATTATGCTAATGTGTCATTTAAGGCACTAATCACCTCAAAAAGCAGTAGAGCAAACTATAATGCTAGCATGTCTGGAACAATCCCAAAATAGTAAATATATTAACTACTGTAATACTACAATTTGTACTGTACTAACAAAAATAAATTCCCTCCTACAGGAGCCAGTACAGTATGTACAATATTAGTATACTAAAATATAAACCAAAAATCCCACCTACCCAAATCAGAGCGTAGGCCACTGCAGCAGCTAGTGCTGATGCGCCGAGAGCTATCAGCACCAAGAACACCCCCAAACCAATGTAGCCCGCTTTGAACGACCGACTGACTGCCACCCAGCCGCTGTCATCACAACAGTGTAGGAGGGTTAGCAAGGGTTGCAAGACCAACTTGTGTTACAGCGGCGGCACCATACCAGGACATTCCACTATTGCTCACTTGCACGCATGCACACACACACACACCTCTGATACGCTGTACTGGGACTGGCCTCCACACTAACATACTTACCCATTACCAATAAAACTTGACGCAAAGCAAAGCAAAATTTATAAGAAAAGATTACGTATTACATGTATAGTATATGCAGTACTGTATACACACATTATACAGGATGCAAATTTTATATATTAATATATATGTATTATTATATATATTATACTATATATATATGTATATATATATTAATATTAGTGCTGCAGTAATATCTATTAATACAATATTGCAAAACAAAATGTAAATACCAAAATGTTCACACGACCTATCAAAACCCAGTAGCCTACAACAGAAGCAATTTATCCTTAATTTATCCTTAAAGAATCCTCCACCAACAGTAAAGCACTAAAAAAAATTATCTTGATATCTCTTACAGTATTTATCAATTTGAAAAAAGTTAATTCAAAATCATGCTACAAAAAATATTACACTAAACTTTATTTTTTATTTAAGCCATTAATCATAAAAGCTTTAATCTGCAAATAGCAAATCTGCTGAAAATAGAAAATTCTATTTGCAAAGCTAATACTATAATACAATTTATACTGTAATACAATACCAAGATCATTCACAAATGTGTCTCAACAAAACCAAGTGCATGATCAACCTGCAGCATTTCCCAAGTCCTCTCAAAGTAATAAAACAATGGCAGGGAACAGCTACAGATGGGAAGGAACAGAGTTTAACCCCTTTTATTATACAGTACTCGAGCATTTTTGGTTACCAAATTCTCTCATTTTTCTGTTATGTTCCCAATCTTTATTTTCTATTATTAAAGAGCTCTATTTTTTTTAATAAAAACAATTATATTCTGTGCACTGTTTATGTGCTAATGTCAAGTACTACATGTTTAATGTAGTACTAACTACTTGACTTTAACTGTAGTACTTTAATGAAAGCTAACTAAAATGAAAAATCATTTAGCAGATGCTAGTATTTAAACAAAATTCATTCAACTTTAAAACAATATTAATAACTTACAATTTTGCAAATGCCACACAGTATCCACCTGTGACAAGTATACTAATGAAAACACCAGACTAAAAGTCTCATGAAAATAGCATTTCTTGAACTAAAGGGCAAGATTGAACTTTTGAAGACTTTGATTGTTACAGGTTCACCAGAAATTAATTATCAAGAGGTTCACCAGAAGATAAGCAACAGTTACAAGAAAAACCCACACAACACTGTCCCAGCCACTAACACAAAGTGCTATACTTTTCTGTATTAACCAAGTACCATCACCACTCGTGGCCAATGAAGACCCTCCTACAAATACCATCTTGGGCAATGCCAATAATGAACACAATAGCTACCATTTAGTTCATATACAACTTTTGGACAGCCTAAATCCATACACCACTCAAAACTTGTTTTTACAAGTTACTCTCTGAATCGACAAGAATAGTTGTCCACAATCACTATTGAAATTGTTATGAATTCATCAATGTTTACACTGGTCAAGTCATAACATGAAAATCTACATATCAGTGCAGCCTTAACAGCAATTTAATCCTACTGTTTATTCTATTTACATATACATCATGAGAAAAATTAAAAATACTGTAAATTACATAATCTTGGTTAATACAGAAAGTAAGACTCAATAGGCTGCAAGAACTGGTGAAGTTTGTACCTCAGTAAGGGCAATAAAGTCTGCCACTGTCAGGATCACCCACCCGGCAGCTACCAACAGTAGTGCAGCACCGACAATCTTCGTCTGCCATCCCGGCGAGTTCACGCATGATATCCCAATTAACACACCACTGTTGGAGACCCTTGTAGCTAAACTTTTCTCCCTCATATACATTTAAAAGTTAAGGCAAAAAAAAACATGGTTATATACTGCACGGGTTTGAATCGAGGTTCTCTTGAATTTCCGAGAATCCTGAATGATACTTATCTTTCAAGAAACTCGCCAAGAACAACCTCATTCATTGACAAAGCTTCTCGAAGGCTCTCTGTAGAGAGTACATGCATCATAAAATGTGAATCAAATTAATTGTTCACTTAGTCTCCACTTAATACAGTCTCTAACTTTCTTGAAATATTTAGACATTGTACAGCCATTTGAACTACTATTCTAATGTCTTATTACACCAGAGCAATGAAAGCCACCCCCAAGGCCAGCATATTTCTGGGTACGAGCCGCACGGTGATAACTAGTGGGGGTGATGAGGCGAGAGAGGGGTTGTACAACACTATGCTACCGAGGATTAGTACTACCATGCTTCACTGTGGGCATACTGTACTGTTCAGAGGCTGATATAAATGGTCTTATTGAAAATATGATGAACATTTGAATACTCTATTATATATGGTATGGTTCTAAGACACATTCCAAATACGTTAAATTTATCTGTTCTAGTCATACTTTATACAAAAGCATGCAGTGATAGCCTTTCTAGAGCACCGTCTGTAACTGACTACTGGGAGGATCCCTTGGCATCACAGAACACATGTAAAATGTTTGGTGCAGCATGTTTGTTCACCATTTTCAAGACGACACAAAGCCAAGGGCTACATGGCCTTGCAGTTTTGACCCAATAACTGAAGGAATTTTTGAGGACACTTCTTACTACTTCACTAGTAAGTGCCTACCTAGCGAGGGTTCCAGGAATCACTGCCCCAATGGTCCGAACAGAGACTCAACAGCGTGGTCAATACAGTACCTTAAATCAATGACGGTCCTTCCTAATTTCCATTGAAGCTAATTTGCACTCAATATACTTCTTTTTTTTAAGAAATTGCTTCTACATTGTAATCTTAAATCACTCCCTTCCAGTATTTTCCATGTATAAATTATGACGCACATTTGTCTGGTCTCCAGGGTGTACAATTTGAGCTGCCATTACCACACAAGCAATTAACAAGAATCAAACACTCCAAACTTGAATTTCGAAGGATCAAAAATGGTAAAGATCCCCATCTAACCAACAGACTAACGACTTTAATTACGAATGCCAAGTGACAATTAAGTTATGTAACAATTCTGTACAAGTTTTGCTTTCTTTTGCTGTACTTTTATTTTAACACTCAAGCCATCACATTCAGTACATTAAGCCTGTGGTGCATTTGACATCAGCATCTAGGTGGCTCGTCATTTGACAAAACTATCATTTTTAAATACTTTATCAATAAAGCCCTCTGGTAACCAAACATCAATCACAGATGCACAATTCAATACATGCTCTTTGGCACAACACAACAATGATAAACAAAAAACTACCAGTGCACTGAAAGTGTTCCACAAACTGATACAACTTGTGCATTTGTGACATTCTTGCTTCAACCCAACAAGCATGCGAGTCAACTCGTGCAATGACCACACCAAAACCCTACCAAAAAAACAATAATAGAGTATTTTGTTTCCTGTTTACCAAAGCAGAAACTAATATGAAATGTACTACATTTGTCCCATGGTCTCTCCCCCAGTGATGCACATTGTATAAAAAAAAAATAGTCTAACATTAAAAAGAGCCAAAATGCCATAAATTTCATTTTTATTACACTATTAAATGAAATTCCTAATGCAGAAAGTAGGTCACAATAACGTGGCTGAATATCAGACACCCAATCCACATATCCGAAAATAAAGGATGCGATGACATTTTGTTTCAGCCTGAACCATTATCAAGCTATCCAAAGAAAGAGTGCAAGACAAAGTCAATGTATCAGGGAAAGTAAGATAAAAAGACAAGAAGGTTACAGTATACCACAGATGCTAATAGAAATATGTAAACCTGCAAAAGGCCTAATAGTGAAGAGAGGTTAAAGTAACAAAAGAAAAAGCAACACCAAAGAACGAAAAGAAAGAACCTAAAGCAGCTAAAGCCAAGGCAGATTACATTTATTAAGAAGGTTAGAGCATTTAACCGAGACAGGCGAGAATCAACAGCAACAAAGTCGACCCTCGGCAAACACACAACTTAACGATCCCTATTGTTATTTGGTTACAACTTGTTACAAAGTTTTTACATCTTGTTAAAAAAAAAAAAATGTGTGTCATAAAGTTGTTACAACTTGTTAGATAGTTCTTACAAGTAGTTTGGTGTTCCAATTTGTTCGAACGTTGTAGCAGCGATATAGTTTCATCGTGCGTTTGGCAGGGAAGACAGTTTCATATTCATCACATTGAGTGCAAGAGCCAATTCAACACGGCAACATATGAAGAGTAAAGGCAGGAGGTATCTTAGAACATCAAATCTACAGGATGATTTAGAGTCCCTAACATGACAGAAGAGAGCACCGTTTGTGTCTACCAACATTTTCTAGTCTTGTATACTTTCTTTACACTCTTTCCTTACAAGACTCAATAATGGTTCAAAACAGACCGAATCATCATCCTTTTCCTTCATTTTCACGTGTGGGGGTTAGGCATCCAAATTCTTAATGCTCAGTTGTTGCTTTAGAAACAATCAGGCTCTTGTTAACTGAATACTGTACTACCAGGCACTAATTTTGTTTATATAGTCATGACCTGATATGTCCATCACCAGAGAAATGGGAAAGGGGAGGGCAAAGGGCGGCATTTTGTGTATAGTACATCGAATGTCAAATTCTAAATATCATTACAAGAATGAGAAGCCAGATGTTCTAGTTACAGGCAAGTAATTTAGCACATTAAACAATCATTAAATTTTCTGAATAATTGTACTAAAACTAATATAATTTTATGTTGAGGTACGTTCTGACTGTACAAATGGACAACGGAAATATGCACGTAACTCACAGGTAACAGCGATAGCCTAGGGAATTAAATGCATGCTACATAGTTATCCCAATTAACATTCCTGAGGCAGCCACCATGGCCTTTTGTACCAAAAGAGATTGCAAGTAAAAGCAGGTAAACAGTAATCAAGAGTTATTCACCGAGCCCAGCTTGACCTCTAGGCAAGGCACTCACGATGGACCTGCCTAAACTACCTTGATAAGGAGGATGGTATCAACAGCCGCTACTGCAGCAAAACCCAGAGCGATCATGAACACAATGATGCCAACAATGTAGTTAGCCGGGGTATTGTCCTGACCCAAAGTGGATAGTCCAAGGATGAAGCCGCTTGCAACACAATAATATTTAATTATAAATACAAGATACCATGGATTACCTAAATCCATCTCAAATTATATTTATCTTAATTTCAGAGTAAAATATATACAATAAGAATACAGTACTTGATAAATTAATAACCAAAATTTTTTATATTGTACTAGAATGAATTATTGCTTATATACAGTATTTTCAATAAACAATGACCACTTTACTAGTTACTCAAGTATAACTACTATATCCACTGCTCTATTGGTCTGAGCAGCCAGTCATACTGAATACAATGACGTGGGAAGAGTTGCAAAGACAAAATAATATATCGTGTTAAAAACCAAGAATCTAAAATTTTCAAACTTGACATTAAAATCAAACAGTGTCATGAAAAGCAAATTTTCATGCACTGTGTGTGTGTGTGTTTTTGTGTGTGTGTTTTAGAGGAGGAAGGAAGAAAAGTTTTATCACTAATATTTCTATTGCTCGTAAAATTTTGAAATGATATACACAACTCGTCCTTTCTCTTGGTTTACCCATCAAGTTCCAAATTATAGTACAGTACTGTAGATCATCGAGCCAAAATTCTATGAATCACCTCTTAAATTGCAGTACTGATATATGATAGGTCTATCCTGTTATACACAGCTCCAGCATGGGATCCCAGCCATGAAAAGTCCAAATAGAAATTATTCAGAGAATTTTTACAAGATCTGGTGTCAGAGATACGAGTCGAGTAGTGAGGGCAGATTAAAAGATCTCAAACTGTGATGCTAGAAGGACCAGAAGTGATATGGTCACAATGTATACAATGAGAGGAAAAGCTGAAGCGGGTAGATACGATGATCTCTAGACGAGCGAAACCAGAAGGGATGCAGTTGGAAATTTGGAAGGAAAGTTGCAGAAACTGTACCTCTTAACTCATGAACGGCATACATGCTTAAGGAAATGACACGCCCAACACACAAACCTGAAAATAAAGAAATTGACGACATTTTGGTCTGTCCTGGACCATTATCAGTACAAGACTTTATAATGGTTCAGGACAGAATGAAATGTCGTCAATTCCTATATTTTCAGATGCGTGGGTTGGGTGTCTAATTTTCAGCCACGTTATTGTGACTTGCTGTCTTCTGAAGGAAGCAAGTCAAATTTAGTGCAAATGGTAAGCAAATGGAACATGCTTATTAAATATCATGGAAGCTAATTTGATTCACAACCTCAAGAACAAGTATGATAAGAGCCATGAAATGTTGACAAGTGTAAAAGTTATTTGGATTACCTTGTTATCTTTTAGACAACAGCTAGGAATGGAACTGAGCCTCCCTCCATGAAGATATAAACAGGGACAAATTGAACTAATCTGAATATTCCTGAATTTTACAAGTGGCGTACTGGCGAGGCAGGGGCCAATATGGTGGTGTGAACTTAGAGATTACCATCACCACCCTCCTTTCTAAAACTTCCCATCTTATTTAAAGTTCTCATTAAATCTTTCTATCTTGTTATACTTTATGATTAAATCTAACTTGGATAACATAAACACTTTGATATGAACTTAAATAATGCATCAGCAAGAAAATCTGGTGTGAGGGGGGGTCAGCAGGAAGTTTAAGGGTGCCCAATCTTGCCTCTACTGGACGTTTCCACACCTTGTGGTCATAATATTAGTTAGACAAGTCTTAATTTAGCTAGATCTATGCTACAGTAGGTTGGGTTCTGATGCATTATATTATAATGGCTAATGGCAAATTGTTTGTTTAAGTTGGAAATAGGGGGACCCTTGATTTGAAACCTCAATAATCACCAATCAATCTGCAAATCTCATGATGTAAATTAGGTAAAGATCCAAATAGTTAAAGTAGGTGGGATTCAACTGAATCAAATAATGTCAAGAAAGAAAATTATATTCAGCACTTGACAAGTCTTAATAAAGTTCTTCTCTGTCAATGCAAGGAATTACAAGGAGGGAATTAGTGGTACCTTTTCCATCAATAATCACTGTGGCTATATTAGGCTAGAACACAACTTGACAACAGTACCAATTAATCCAATTTCATTCAATATTGTTCTTTTATGCAATTTCCACTAGCATCATTCCACTAACAATAAGTATGGGGCGTTGTAACAGATCAGTGTTACCATGTAAACAAATTCATGCAACCTTTGGGTTACTTATGAAAATCTTGGCTTAATTCAAATAGTAAGAACAAGATAAACGAGGACAGGGCCCCCTTGTAGCCCCAAAACATCAAAATAAGATAATGAAATACAGCTCTTATTTGGAAGTGGCCAAAAGTTTTAAAAATTCTATACATCAACCTATTACCTGAAGACCCACATGTTAATGAAAGACCACAAGTCTGCCACTAAAAAAGGAATGCATAGTCTGGCAAGTTTCTATATTAACATCTTTAGACACACATTAGAATGGTAACTGATCATTACGATATCCTACAATACAGCTAATAATCATCACAACATCCTTCACCGGCCCTATAATCCCTCATCATCATTGCAGTGTCCTAGGATACACACAATACATCATCATGGCATCCAATGATGTGATACTTTTCGCAGCCAAGAATATGCAACAAAATGGCAGCCTCAACAAAGTTTCCTGCCGAGTTATTTCTTCATTGAAACCACTCCAATTCTGAAGCAAGCTACCCGTCGTCATTGTACACAGTATTGTCCTGCTAAGCACAAACCACTTGACTTAAGATGGTGGCCAAATCATCTACAAGGTGTATATGGAACCAAGAGAACAACAGATACTAGTAAATACAATACTTGGGTGACTACATAATATTAACGCTGCAATACACACATTTCTTGTAAAGATCAACGTCTCGTGAATAGTCAGTACTGTATTTTTATTTGCCTATCCACAAACTATTACTAAATTTTTATGCAAGCGATTTATACTCAGATTTACACACACATACACTAGGTTGACTAGGTACATGTACAGTATTTGCATGTTCACAAAATAACCAAACACAAACGTGTATGCATACATTTATACCTCTGAGCAAGAACATACACCCTCATATATAAGTAATCAATTTAAAGAAACAATTACATTTAATAATTCATTTCCAATAAACTTTATACAACTTAACACCACCACAAAATGTATTATACAACAGGAAAAAAATATTAAACCAGATTTATTCACTTGCACACACTTGAATTATCTTTGGCAAAAACATTAACAGGTCAGGTTATCAAATGCTTTATGAAAAGTAAGAGATTTATAAAACTATACTGCATGTGCTTTAATCTAAATACAAAAATCCCAAGTTTGTACAGCAGAACTTTAGTGTTGCATTTCATTTATTGCATAATATGGGAGCAAACAAGTGACAAACAAGACTGACTGGGACGAGGAAAGTTAATCCAAGGAAAACATAACGTAACTCACCAACTCCCCGTTCCAGGAATTCCAATGGCATTCACTATGCTCACGATCAGTTGAACGGAGAACACGAAGAAGAATACCATGAAGTTGAAAGAGCTGTCACTCCTGAAATTAACGATAATATTTATACATTCTGACCCAACAGCTTCCTCTCACAGGATATGTATACACAAGATTCAGCATGTATGAAAGAGGCGAGCACCATCACTTATGATGGTGAAAGTGATCCTACTGTTTGTTAACACACACTTTAGGAGGCTAGAGGTGAGTGGCTGGATATTGAAGTGCCTACAAAATCAGCCTTGATTTTGGCCTTGATTAGCCCTACAAAATCAACTGATTTAGTCTGGAATCGAGAAGAAGAGCAGGATCATCATCATCATCATGAATCGTGTGAAGCTAGTATGGAGATGGTTAGGAAATAATCTCGAATATTATATCTTAATGGAGTACAGAAGTGATTATAGTATTGCCTCCCCATGTAAAACCTGCCAAACATGTCGAGTGTGTTTGTCGGTTTGTCCAAGGTTGGATGCAAGATGCTTGGGGCTTGCCTCATTCACCTCTGAAGGATGGACTGGCGAGTGGTGGCCCCATTGCTCACGTTAAAAAGGGGTCAGCTCCCACAGTGATGCCCAAGAATTTGGTGGAGATAAAAAGTTGCTAGCCAAGACACTACAATTTCATCATTTTAAGCCCCCTTGAAAAATACATAAAGTAAAAACTGTGAAAGGCTGGATGAGGTCGTCCCCCATGGCAAAACCTTTTAGAGTAGGTCTGAACACTGTCTCAGTATGTTCATAACACAGTATTTAAAGAGCCAGAAATAAGTGAAAATGATTTTAAAGGTCTTCAAAGAAACTGCTGGCTCTGCTCTATGAAGCCTACTAAGTGAGCATGCCACTTAATAAAAAAAAATTCGAGGAGTATCATACCGAATGTATGACTGTCTGTGCATTTTAGTATACTGTACTCAAATTTCAAATTTGCAAACAAATTATTGGGTTCCCACCCTAAAAAAAAAGTCTCTCCATTAATGGTCATTTGCCTTTTCTAAATCCAAATATGTCATGTAAATACTTCCCTTGTCAAAGTAAATATAGTAAAAACAAGTCATTTCACCATACCTGAAAGCCTTGTAGACTGGCCTGAACCAGCATATGTAGGAGAAAGGTGTGAAGAGGATGAAGTAGAGGATAGCCAAGCCAAAGGTCGAGCCCTCATCAAGCTGAATGAATAATCCAAGACTTCCGAGGATGTTCAACAACAGCATCAGAGCATGAACTGTCGAGAAAACATGGCTCATAACTATCAAATATTATGTATATTGTATCAAGAAAATTCACTATGTTTAAATGAAACAGAGTTGCACATACAATGTCTGCTGGTAATCGTTGATCTTAACATTTTACACAGTATACGTGTATTAGAGCCACTAGAAATATAACATTCCAAAACTAATGCATTGTATAAAACACGTGAATATTACTATAATTATTAGCATTTTCAAACAACGACAAGTATTGTAGTATAAAGCAGAACGACGACCAACTGAAATACACTGTACAAATTATTGATTACAGAGCTACGTACACATCCACAAGTAGTACAGCATGCGGACAATCTTCTGAAATTCAAGTGGAATGTCAACGTTGATATCTTGATAAAAGCAGGGGCCAACTGGAAATGCTGCAGGAAGTGGAGGCCAGTTGTCCTGACGAGCTGCAATGGAAAAACTTGTCAAGAATGTGCCCTGAAAACTCCCCTTTGGAATTTCAATCCCCCAAAATGTGCATAAAGTATACGAAATCTTGAAATTACTACACCATTCACATTAAGCTCAAGAACACCTTTTGACGAGTACTGTAATAGTTACAGCATTGTAGAACACTAAACCCACTCGCGAGAAATCTAAAATTAAATTTTCAGCCGTCCCCGAACCGTTCTCCCGGCAAGACTAATATCTGGCCAGGACATACCAAATGGTTCATTTCTAAATTCCATTATGTGGATTTAGTTTATTAAGACACCCTATTCTGAGAACAAATCAAACCATTTAAGCACCAGTAAATTTATGATTTGTTTACATTTGATAGACTGCATTACTGTGCTGTAAAGGTAAACAGCATTACCCTATCTGCCAATAAAAATACCGAATACAAATTTTTCTTTCCTCGATCTGAGTTTAGCTCTTAAATAGCAAACTATGTACCTGAAAATATTATCCCCTATCTATAGTGCTGGCTAAAATTCGAGAGTTATGTAACCGAGAGCATTTTGCAATTCTTTTTAGGGCAATTGGCCAGATTAGAAAAAAAAGCAAATTCCATATATTACAGTCTTTTATGATAGCCACCATTTACAAAACCAAAACCTACTTATGCTTTCCACTGTTACTGCCAGAGGTGCTGACAAGTCTTTTCTGTTAAATGATATTCTCAAGTCCTTCCTGGCCATGGACTGGTGATTGTCTTGAACTTGAGTGGCTTTGAGTACCGTCTTCTCATTCTGGTAAACACAGTCCTCCTCATCTCTCTTTACAACTCTTGTTTCTTGAATTACATGAACTTGTTTGCGAATATTACCTTCATTATCCGTATAATAATGTTGATGAATATGCTTCACTATACTCCGAGATTCAAGACGAGCTTGGCTTTCATGCAACAGCTTATTTCCCATTTTCTTATTGTATCCAATTTACCATTTTCTAATGAAACACCTTACAGCATCAATATAAATGACAATCTTAAAATTTTCAATCTACCAATACATTCATGATAGCTTCTCAATCCTTTTCATTTATATTATTGAAATATTGGTCATTCCTTGCATGTTTGTACAAGCCAAAATTATCACACAAAACAAACGACATAACACACCAATTCAATTTTTGAAAATGGTAAACCTGCTCACAAATTTCGTCTCCAAGTGTTAGAAATCACACAACTACAAGTGAATGTGTTCTTTATGTAAACTCCACACCAACACTGCACAAAAACAATATGCACAACACAAATGGTTAAATGCCTTCAAGCATTCAAAACTTGGCAAATTCCCAAATTAAAGGAACACTTCCAATGATAAAATAATAAACATCAGCATAGCCACCGAGCAGCGCGAAGTACACACACTGCTACACAGACCAGGAAGGGCCGTGCAGGAGATAACGACATCACTGGCCACACTCGCCCAACTAAAAGGAGTGCTACACCTGATCCCACAAATGCTTACACAACAGTTGCCAGTTTGAAGTTTATTATACTCTATTGCACTTAACATTCAATTCCTTAAATAATTGGTAATATAAATTCAGCATGGTTATATGCATTTTGTAATATACACTGTATGCTGTGCTGTATATAAATTTAACAGGCGGGCAAATTACTGTACTTGAAAGTTTGAATACTGTAACGGATATTACAGCCCACAATACTACTGTAAAAAGACTGCATTACTCCGTAATATAACTGCAGGCATGGTAATGGGATATTATAAGTAAAAATCTGGTTAAGATTCGTGTTAGTTTGTGTGTGTCAACACCCAGAGGAGCAGCAGCTGTGCCTCACACCTGTGCCTCACGTTCCCCCATCATGCCACTAGTCCTCTCGTAACACCTCTAACACACACTTTCATTTTTCCTGCAGCATTTTGATTTTGATATAAACTACTGTACTGTATGTATTAAATTATATGCACAGTATAAGTACTGCACAGGGCATTGAATTTAACTGTACAGTCCTGTATACTGTATTTATATAATATGCAAACTAGCCAGTAAAAAATTATGTTCTGTTGATATTTTACAACTCGGGGAACCAGCACACACTAAGTGTCCAATTTGTATGTTACTACCATGTATAAACATATAAACCTTAACCAACCTAACTAATTGACAGGTTGCACTAATTGACAAATGCACAGTCCACAAATGTGTACTTTTTTTTAAAGTACTGTATGCTAATAACTTTTTTTGAAACCAAATGGTCTCCTTGTTAATGCTACATTCTATTGGAATATTCAAGATATTACCGTACATGTTAATGATTAAAAACAAATTAATAACAATGTATTATAATAAAATATTAAATGACAATTCTGGCAGCCTAATGGACCAAGGTCTAGAGAAACTCAAGTCCTTCACGCAATGAAGTCATTTCCTCAAGGTTCCTAAGTGTCAAGGCCCGGAGGTCACAGATTCAAGCTAAGGAAACGAACTAGCTGAAAAATCATCAGAAAACTTCACTGTTGCAGAATGATAGACAGTTGAAACAACGAGAAGGAGGCGGCGGCCAAAACCATCAATAGTTTCAAAACGTCACATGACAAAGCACTGAAGACGGGACACCATGAGCATTACTCTCATTCTGTGACCCCGCTTAGGTAACTACAGAACCTTTGCAAAATTGTATGCAGAAACTATCATAACAGGTGTTAAGAAAACTAGACATGGCAAAATTGTAGGAGTTGGGCAAGTTTTGTATCCAAGGCTTAAAGAAAGAAAAAGGTGTGAACTTGGCCGAGTAAGTAATTTATGAAAATCTAATAAGTTCCAAAACAAAAACTAATATGCAAGAGACTTTGGTTCTCTGGTATCTGAACTTCAACGGATCGAGCAAAGTTAGCCAAATTCCAGCAGAACAGCATCAAAACACACATTATGGCTGACTAGTACAATACTTTAAGTATGAGGCACTGAATTTATTGATTTGCACAATATCAACCTCTTTCAAGTCTTCATTAAATATGGGTTCATAGCCTAATGTTAATTTTCGTGGCCCTTCTTAGCAGAGGACCGAAGTTCCTAGCAAATGTTTTATGGTTTTTTTAAACCGTTCTACTGAACAGTCCATTACCTACCTTTTCTTTACTAGTTAAAAAAATAATAATTACAATTGCTGGATAAAATTGGAAACATAACATTTCAAATTCATTTCAGGAGTCATGTACTTAATAATAATAATAAGATAAAAATATAGTAATCTTTTTTAGAATAATACTTATTCTAAACAAGCATGTTTTCAACACCTACCTCCCGCTGACCCAACATTACGCAGCTCCTCCTCTTTCCGGGCTAATTCTTCAGCCTTCTTCTCCAACTCCTCTTGTCGCCTCTATAAAATCAAATGGGGTACAACCAGTTAAATCTCAAACAAATGTAGTTTTCAAAGACAACTGGCATTTTTAAAACCCCTAATAAATCCTAATTTGAAGCACATGTCAATGTTGCTTCAAAATCACAAGAACCTTTCAAGTCATTGAGGTCTATGTAGTACAAATACCACAACTGAATAAGAAGTAAGGGGTGATAGGAAAAGAAAATACTCGCAAAAGTGTTCACGGAGAATCTGCAAGGTTTCCTCTGAATACCTTGTATTCTTAGTCCCCCACAATTGCACCAGAGGTAAGAGCCCTTACTAAAAATAAGCGTCTCATTATGTATCAACTTTTAACACTCACACTGTCAGACACTGCACCAAACAGGTATTCTTAATAGGCACCATATAAGTAGCAGCATCATATATTTTACATATACATTCACAAAGTAAAATATGAAGGTAATCATTTAGGAGGTGCATACTGGAGGTAGATTTTACCTCAAAGGTTAAGAGATGGGACTATGTTATTCAATGTAATTAATTTAAAATATGTAGACATATATATCCAGTAAAACATTTAATGAACTGAAGTATGGCCCATGCAATGCCCAAAACATTTATACAAGTACATAAAGGATTCTCAAATATGCATATGCTAATAACCCGATAGAACAGCAACAATACGTGAAGTTTTCCAAGCATAGATATTCTGCAAGCTGCTATAAAGTGATTTAAACCTACAATGAAATTGTCTGAGGGAATAAAGCTAAAATAAAGAATATCATCGGCAGAGATGCTGCAGCATCATGGTGGATAGTCTGTTTTCAAACCTTGAAGTATATGAAATATAGTATCAACATTTTCTATATTATTCTAACTTTTGTGTATATTGTATAACACAATGGAAAGAAGTGTGAGCTCGCAACGACAACCTCCAGTCACACTTGTGCATTACACCAACTTTTATGTTCATATAGTTCTGGAAAATATTCTCCCACACTGCAACTATGCTCAGGATTCACTACCTAGGCACAACAAAGAACAGCCACCACCATGGCACTGGCTAACCAATTAACACTGTTACGCTATGATGTACAGGCAGGATATAACAAATCCATGCTATTAAACAAAACAAAAAGGACAAATCTCAAGTGAGGCATGCAATACACACAATAAATAAATGGCAGACATAAATCGTGTAAATCTGAACGCGATACGTTGTTACAATTTTGCCTTATTTAGTGGCTATTCTGTTGGCATTGGCATTTACATTACAAAATATACATTGGCATTTACATATACAAAAACCCCATTTATTTATCATTAGAACATTTAATGCCACTTTATGAGAAGCAACAATATTACACAAACTGGTTTTAATTCATTTTTTGTTTAAATACTGAATAAACTGTATACACACTAGTCCAGTAAACTTATTAGAATAAAGAAGGCATCAAGGCTTTCAAGAACATTAATGTGCATAAAACTCATGGCAGTGATCAAAACCACAAAATTATCCAATTTTGATGAATTTTATAGTCCAAGTAATCTATTAATGATGACAAATGACTGTCATTTGAACGAAATGACTTTGAAATGACTGTCATTCTTTGTCAATGTATGTAATTGGATGATATTTGTAATTACAAATAATGACTTTGTTCAAGTTTGAAGAAAAAATCATTTAACAGGATAAAGTGTTAGGCCAACAAGATTATAAAGCACTTTAAAGGAATATGAGCAGACTAGAAACTGGGATACAGGCACAGAGTGAAGGGCTCTAGCCACTTAAGACCATCGTGAACATAACATGCCAATCCTGCAATTCAATTCAAATGTATACTATCCTCATTTTAATAGATTACAAAGCTCTAGTTAGATAGTATTGGGCTGACAATTTAACATAATGGCAGTAGGAGAGATGAATAACTTGTTAGATAATGCAGGAATTAAAAGTTATCACAATTAACTATTATATTGCCAACAATTTGATACTAAAATGAACGACGTAGGTCGAACAATAAGGTCAGAAGACTGGAAAGAGTATAAACATTAAAGTGTGACAGAGTGATCACTGGCAACGCCCGACTGACTTTGACCTTTGCTGCGCGGTGCATCAGGCCAGAATTGGGGCAGACAAAGTGATAATTATTAAAATGACATGCCTGGAAATAGTGCGATTGATCAGAAGCCAAAATAAAATTGTACATTAAATACAATGTAAAGACCAGAGTCAATTATTGAAATGTTTAGACAAACCAGTTCTATATTGTTGCAGATAAATAGGTAAACCTAGTGGCTGAATCAGACAACAAATAAATTATTCCAATTTGTATTCGTAAGGAACACTGGACTGTCAAATGGTTAATGAAATTTAGCAACCAATGCAATTAACTATAGTGAAATGTGTACATAATATCCAGAACTGTACAGTACATGTTTGATAAGTTTATTAATGAAGCTCAGGATAACACAAGCAACTGTACTACAGGTAGCAACACACAAGGTACTGCCAACACACACACAAACATTTAAAAAACAAAATGAGCCTTTTTGAAACTTCCCCTTAAAGTTAGGAATGCCATTTTACCAATGCCACCAGTACAACCAGTATTTTTGTATAAGTAAATTTAGCATGCATGAAATAAGTAAATTTCATAGCAAAAATTTCAGCAAATACATAAATCAACAAAAATATGCAGTACAGGAAACATTAAAAGTTCGTGCATGTGTGCACACACATTTGTCCATGCAAGTGAGGCCAGAGAAGTTACAGGTAAAATAATCTATGGGACAATTAACTTCTTTCTGCTGTACTAATAATGCAACAGCTTTGTGAAGCTGGATTCTCTGGCAGTCTGCATGTTCTCACCTTTAATTCCTGGGCCATCAAATACAAAAAAGAAGGAAAACATTAGTTGCTTGCTTAATTTAATTTAAATAGAATCACTACTGTTAAGACCAAAATTTGCACAAGGGTACTTTAAATTCATTCCCCCCCCTCCCCATAACACATGTTAGAATAAAGCATTTGACAACAGGATTGATTCACAATGTAATACTGTATTTAGTTATGAACTTAACCATTACCAGAAGCATGCCATCAAAGTTAAGGTAATATATTCTAAAAAAGATGACATGTAATGGAGCAGGTTCTTCCAGTTAGTATTCACCGCAGCTGATATAAAAGTTGCTGGTTAGCCCCTAAATTACTTAAATAATACTGCTTTTGCTATTATTACACTGCATATATATACACACACTATCTATATATCACCTACATTGTCATGCACCATTACAAATCGCTAAACATTTCTGGCAAGTGTAATAATCTTATAACGGGTTATCAGAGTTCAGCCTAGTCTAATTTTGCACTAAATTCTAACAGCACACATTAAATACAGGCTATATAATATTTTCTTCATATTTTGAATGTTTCCACCATGGATTTTTTAAGGGCAATATTCTATTGGGCTGTCAATAACAATATTTGTATCATAGAATTGATAAAATATTGGCACATATTTGTGTCACTAATATCACTTAAATATTATATTCTTTGTACAATAACACTTGTTTTGCTGTTATTACACTATACACACACTACACATATAACACTCTACATTTTTGTGTACCATAACAAACCACTAATCTGGTCTGGGGAGACCAAACAGCATAACGCCATCACACGCCAGACAGCTGACGACACTACCTCACTCGGCAACAATCCTCCTCCCAACATACTATGCACATTACCAACTCTCGACACAATGCTGCTATTATTGGAATCCTGGTCTTAAGGAAAATTATTCATTTAGTTTATTTTGCAAAGGAACAGGAGCAGTCATTCACAAGCTCTTCTATAATACTATTGCAAAATAATAGCAGTTGCATATACATTTCATTTTTAAGCGACGCTGTGGTCACAAGCTGAACAGCAGTGCTGTTAGCTCATCCTGCATGCATCAGCTCTAGTTGTCCACTCAGCACCGAGGCCTTCACACCCAAGAATGGTACCCACGATTTTTTTTTTTTAAATGGCCACTGTTTACTGGAGCCCTGAGAAAGCCAAATGTGAACCCCGTGTAGCCGCGGTCCTTCTTTTAAATCTTGTGCAATACTCTAAAACAAATATACAGTCTACATGATGTGTGCCCTCCAGTCACATAGGCCAAAATCATATACATGTGATTTGCACCCTGGAAGGGATAGTCTATTCAAAAAAATTTATTCGATACCAAATAAAACAGTCTGCAAGATTACAGCCCAGATCTATTTTCCTTTGGTTCACCTAAACATTCAAATATAGTTTTGGAAAGTTGCACTACATGGCACTATATATATATACAGTAGATGCTTCCCATCACTACCTAAATCATTATTATTCAAGGACAATGCCCACTCAAACAATTTAAAACTGTGAAGCAAATCTTTAGGCCCTGCTATTAATTAAAACACACTACAGATACTGTAACAAAGGCAAGCCAGCACCACAGGAAATTACAGTAATGATCAGCCTATCACTAATGGCCCACGACACAAATCCTCTTCATCAATTTACCCCAAACTGCACCAATGCTCACCTGAAATTCTGCAGTGGTGACTTGCTGTTGGGCCGAGGGTGTGTAAGTGGGAGGATTGTTTGGTGTAGGGGTGACAACTGCTGGCTGCCCACTCACCACACCACTACCCACAACTGGCTGTACATACGGGGCAGCATTTCCACCGGTGCCAACCTTGTAAGATAAAAAATATACATTAATACCAATATCATAAGCAAGAAAAGATTTATTAAGAGACAGAAAATGAGCTGTAGCCATGTCCAGTCAATTCTACTGAAATCACCTTCTGTTAAAGAAGAGCAGTTATCACTGCTTTTCAGTTCAAACAATTAGCAAGTTGTAAAAATTAATGAAGCAGCACACATGCAAATGAGACAGAATATTGAAGATCTGAAATATTTATATTGCACAGATTATCATTCTGGTGCAATACCAGGCACACAAAAATGTGGGGTGATAGCAATGTGGTGCACAAATTACGGACCAATAGCCCTAACATCACACATCAAAATCTTTGTAAGAGTGCTAAATAGATAGATCACAAATCACATGGAATCACAATGTCTACACATCCTCGGACAACATGAGCTCAAAATGGGGTGCTCTTGCCTCTCACGACAGACTGATCACTATGACACTGCCTTACATGCCATGGAAGGCAAGCAAAACAATGTATTACATACAGAATTTACAAAAGCTTTTGACAAATGTGACCATTGGTGTTATTACGCACAAAATGAATTCAAAAGGAATTACTGTACTGGCAAAGTAAGGAGATATACATCATAAATTACATCTGGAAAATATTAGAGGGACTGGTTACAAATCTGCATACAGAAATAACGTCACACAAGACCAGGAGGCATGGCAGGATGCGCAAAATAGTCCCGGTGAAAAGCAGAGAAGTAATAGGTACACAGAACTGCAGTATTAACATAAAAGTGCCAAGACTCTTCAATACTCTCCCTATATACATAAGGGGCATGAAATGGTTAGCCTCTGTGTTCAAAAGAGAACTCGACAAACACCTCCACAGGATACCTGATTAACCAGGCTGTGATTCATACATCAGGCTATGAGCAGCTGCATCCAACAGCCTGGTTGATCAGACCACCAGCCAGGAGGCGTGGTCAGAGACCGGGCCACTGGGGATGTAGATCCTTGGAATCAACAAAAGGCAACCACAAAGTAAGGAGTAAGCTACATCATACTTTTGTTAGCAGACTCAAGAGCTGTTCCTTTCCTAGTTCATGTTCAACCATATTATACTAATTTTCCCTGGAACACAACCCGCTACAGGTATCTGGTTTACAACCAGGTCTCCCATTAATGTTGGATGAACAGGGACACACACACAGTTTTGCCGTTTGTGAATTCTGGATTGCTGCTTAGGCAATTCCCACTGGCCAGGGCTTGAACCCACGTACAGGCTGGGTACCAATGTATTATAGTAACTATACACACAAATTTCCTCGAGCATTTAGCTGCAAAATCTTTTACATATCTAGCTAAGAATATAAATCTTTTACATATCTAGCTAAGAATATAAATCTTTTACATATCTAGCTAAGAATATAAATCTTTTACATATCTAGCTAAGAATATATTTCCATCAATCTCTACAGTATATTTCAAAAGAATAGTAAACTATTTCCGTGCCAGTTTTATAATAGGATACTAACTTGCCAATGTTAACAGCAGTTATTTGTTATTTCTATACTAATTTAACAGAAAACAGTCTTGTTATATGAGCGTGGATAGTAAACATGTGTCAGTGATAAGGTTATCAGTCTTATCATATTTCATGTAAATACCTTGAAATAATTTTTTTATGAAATTAGCAATTATGGAAATGGTTCAAAACTTCATCACTGTCAATATAAAGAAATCCCATAGCAGTACTTTATGTGCTTTTCTGAAGCTTCTAAAATTTGTGACATTTCCACACTCCATATCTTTCAAAACTCTTGACATGGAGGCCCATCCAAGCACCCAATATTTACTCCCTAAAAAAAACACACACAAAGAAGACATTAATGACCTTACAGCCATCAAAAGAGAATAAGCTATAAGATTCGTAGACGTCACTAAAAAGGCATTCAAATTAAGCTTATCTATCAAGTCGGGTTCATGCCTACTAGCTAAGCTCATATTTCAAAGATATAATAAACTTTTTTTTGTCCACACTTTCCTATAATACACAGATTGAAGAATTTTCTTAAAATAGGAGTCACTGCTTAGTTAAAATTGATAGTTTAAGTACTACTGTAAATATATTTATTTTTACTCCATGTACTCTTAACATCCTATCAAATTTCATGTAACCGAGATAGTTGGGTTGGGAGCTGTGACTATTTGGCATGGAATAACCATTGAATCTGCACACTATCAAATCAACTAAGACCTCACATTCCAGTCTCCCTTCATCAAAATAAATCAAGGCAATCAAGTTTAGTGTAAAGGATCACTGGAAATCAATGCCGGAATCTAGAAATCAATGCGGAATTTTTATATTTAGTGCACTATGTGCTACTTACTGTTGTAGTGGTGTTGTTACCAGTTCTCTGGCTGCTGAATGGGTCATATTCTTCCAAGCCATTTTGAGAAGAGCCTCTTGTAGCCTGCTGGATTGAAGGTTCCTGAAAAAATATATGGCTAAAAGATCTACACATTGTTTTTCCAATATATATCACCTTCTGAATGCCAAAATGCTAAAAATGTAAGTTTGATTTAGACAGTTGATCTGTTTAGTCCAGCCATTATTGTAATGACTTGTACAAGTTATGAACAGTTTCTGAATCAGAAATATATTCTTATTGGCATTTGGTAAAAAAAAAAAAAAATTATTCACAGGTTGTCAAAATAATTCCAATGAATACTGCATGCATTTAACAGATGCATGCTATACAGTATGTGATATGTAATGTTAAAACTACAATTTCATGTAAATTTCATTAAAAATCATATTACTGTAATTATGGAGCTGACTATTATGTAAACTTAAGGACTATAGTAGTGTGTTTGGATATTAATGCTTTAAACACTGCACTGTGCACCTGGTTTCGGTAAAAACCGACTAGTGCAATTGTCAAGGACACATTTTGATGTTTTTATAAATGTTCAGGTAAAGTTAGTGTCAAAATGTTTACAAACTCAACCATTTACATTTCAAAACAGTGATGAAAACCTTAAAAAACATTAAAATATAGCCTAATTATAACAAAATACAGTAGCACAACTCTCAGTGCGCCTTAAGGTGTTCTGTGCCGTACAGTGGTTGAGGAAGCACCACATGTCCACCCCAATACTCCTCCCCCACCCCATGCTGTTTAATGGGACATGCTGTATTATATATATAGATAATCTCAAAAATTATTATTACACCAAACATACAGTATATCGCCTAACACTACGTGTTCTATTAATAATTTGATCAACCTATCTTGTACACCATCATTTTGACACTAACTTTACCTGAACATTTATAAAAACATCAAAATGTGTCCTTGACAATTGCACTAGTCGGTTTTTACCGAAACCAGGTGCGCAGTGCAGTGTTTGAAACTTGGTTACCTTACCTCAAGGTAAGGTAACCTCAAGGTAAGGTAACCAAGTTTCAATATTATCCCAGAATACCCAAATGCAATTATCTACAGGCAATGTCACCTCTCATAATAGCATATACTGTCCAGTATAAGAAGGAACACTGCAGTAGGCTTACTGGTCCATGAACATCATGTCTCATTTATACCACGTTATTTTCACTTGTTTACCTCTTCAACCTAATTGCAATTTATCAAAAAAATTATAGTACATGACATATTAGTCATCTGCAATTAGTGCATTGCTAAACTAATGTTTACCTATTTACTTTTATACTTAATCTAAATTTATCCAATTTAAATAATTGCAAATGGACTAATTTGACATTTTCAACAGACGTGTACCGTTGTACAGTATGTGTATCGGTACAGTATTATCAACTTAATTTTTGCAGTAATGGTAAATTACATTAGCTACTTTTCTTTTACTTAAGAGCAGGTTTAGAGCTCTTTCTTCCACAGTTAATCATAATCCTTACCAACAACTTGAATGAATGAAATTGCAATGGCAGCTTGAAATGTAGTTAAGACAGTCAAATAAGATCTGAAGCCTGAACACCAGTTAATTGAAGAAGTAGAAACAGAGATAGAAACAAAGTGTCAAAGTTGAACCTCAGCACGAACACAAGTAAGAGATTACTCCTAACCCCATATTACTCCTACCAAATCCTACACCTTTCTTACCCATCCCATCCCTGTTCCACTCACCCCATTTTCCACCAACGCCCTTTCCCACACGAGGGAAGAAATAGCCTAAGCTGCAACTATCCTTTCGAGATGTATATTGTCTTGATAAATGTACTTGAACTTTTCCACATGCCAATTACCATCCTGCTCAACGCTCGCTCAATACTGCTCGTGTCATTTAACTACCCACTCTTTGGTCTTGCCTCTCACCTCTCCGCTTATCCCCTAGTGTGACAAAACACTTAATATCTCACTGCAACACTTGTATACAGCTTCCACACTTGACAAATAATGCCACGGCACATTGAGTTAAATTATGAAATATTCTTGTAAAGACCACAAAATAATTTACCACAATTTACACCACACACACACACACATTTATGCAAACTTGTGCAGAAATGTATAAACTTAAATGTTCTCAAATGTAAATATGAAAACAGAGCCACGATTGGGGGGGGGCCCAGGCGAGTCATCTCAAGATACCATCAAGAATTATCACTGCTGACTTAACTCTTTTTCACAGCCTGGTTGAACCACCGGACACGAACCATGGCCTAAAATTGGCAGAGTGGGATAAATCCTATAGTCAAACATGGGGTCAGGGGGAATAGGGTAGGAAATGGGGGGTATTATGGGGGGGGGTGTCACCGTCATATGACAAACCCCCAGCTGCTACCGTCCAATGGTAACTCCGCTCAAACTCACTCTTTCCCCCGTTATCTCCGGGTTTAATGGGGCTTTAAGGTCGTGGATACTCACAGCGAAGGGGTCAGCGAAGGGGTTGTCGTCGAAGCCTGACATTATGCCGCTGTTTTGTCATAAACTAGTCATTCACTGGCGATTCTTTCGATCTGTTGTCGTCAAACACCTCGACGGTCAGTGTTGCCACCACCCAATGCCACCATTACCTTTTCCTTCGCTACTGTCTCCCTGCATTTCTTGCCTCATATATACAATTTACCGGTTATAAAATACACTAATGACTAATTTAATTCATTTAATGATTTAATCTAGTCTTCCCGTCGTTACATATAATGTAAAAACAATATTATAAATTGAGGACGGATATTTCCTAAGGTGGTCCTAGGAAATGGGGAAAATCTGAATTCTATTGTCGGTGTGGAGGAACAAAAGAGGATCAGACTGAACCTAGGAACAGTGTTCAGTCTTAAAATGTTCAGATTTCCGAGTTAAAATATTATGACAGGAACCTTTCACTCGTGCTTCATATTCCCTGTTGTACTGTACGTGTAGTCACGTTAAATTTTTGTCTGATATGCACTTCCTGATAACAGGGAAATACGTTGTAATTTTAGAATCAAATTTTAGTTTAAAAGGGATCCATCTATATACACAATTTAAGCATATGAGATGCGGTTATGGGGAAACTTTTAAAAACATTATCCCAATTAATTATCTACTTTTCTCCCAAATTACAAAAGAAATTACTATATATATAAAATTTACTCGTGAATTAGTCATTGAAAATGATAAAGGAGAAAAGAGCGCCAATTTCGTAATGTGTCGTAAAGACGCACTTATAGAATTATGGTACAGTAGTTATACAATGGTCTTCGTGGTGCAGTGGTAAAACACTCACCCGGCGCTTTGGCCTTGGATTGACTGGGCGCCAATCCTTACCTGCAGCCTCTATTTACCCAGTAGTCAATGGTACTTGTTAAGCGATTTGGCGGCTCGTATTCCGGGGAAAATTAGGATTAGGGACCTGCTCGAAACGCTATATGCGTACTAGTGGCTTTACAAGAATATATAATTGTCAGAATTAGGAGGGGATATCGATATCTATGGCAGGTGGCTGCAGGTGATGAATCCCCCAATGGTGGAACATTCCAATTGTAAACTATGTGAACAAGAACTGGAACATATACTCTCCAACTCTATATCTGTGATTGTCCTGTTATCAGTGACTTCATACCTAATGGTATGAGGTACTTTGAGCTCTGTAATTACTTCATACACCTCAGGAATATTGGAAGATATTCTAGTGTTGTACCTAGATTTTGCTAGTGGGGGGCTAATAGATCAATCAGCCTTACATTTTATGTTCTCATCTGATTTTTAGTCATAGTTGATTTGTTTTTGTATTAAGACAGGTATTATCTCCCCTAATATTCCATGTATGACTAACCATCTTTGAGATGGGAATAATAGTTGAACTTATAGCTAGTTCTTGATCTACACTGTGTAATATCTCATATAGAATAGGGTAGCTGCACAGTGTTGTGTATACCTAATTTTGCTAAATAAAAAAAAAGTCTGGTAAATTTTAAAATAGAGGTCGATCTCGAATCCATTGTTGATGTGACGACTTATATTGAATTTTGTAACTAGCTCATCAAGATTGTAACTTGCTTAGCTAAATGAATTGTGGAGTTCAGTCCCTGAGCCCATTATGTGCCTCTGTAACCCTTTCCACTACCGCCCACAAGATGGGTATGGGGTGCATAATAAATGAACTAAACTAAAAAAAAAACTTTTGAATGTTTTTTTTAAAGGTGTTTAGGGGTAAACACGTAATACTAAAAAAAAGTTATTTAATAAAAATTGAAAAAGCTCAAAAAAATAACAGATGAATATAATTAAAAGATTGTAACATTAGATTATACTAAACACTAATTGATTGTAAAACAAAAGTATTGTAAACTATACACTTAGCCACTGAACTCTGGTAACACTCTATTGAAATAACCCTTGGAATACTAGTTATTGAAACACTGGCATTTTAGATACAATGTACTATGAACTGAAATGTGGTGTACCACAGATGATTACACCCGGAACCAAATAAAATTGAAATTAACATTAACATAAGTTTATTGAGGTAAAATACACACAAAGGGATGAGGTAGTCAAGACCCCGTTCAGTAAGGTTAATACAAATGCTACCAAACACAGAGAACATTTCCTACTAAACTACACAGAATTACTAAACTAGACGCCGCCCACCATCCTGCCTGATGTTTAGCTATATCAAGTAATGAGGCAAGAAGCATTGCTTGGCTTTGAGAGTCCTCTTCTAGCTGTCATTAATTACTGACCGGTTGTTAACAAAACTGAACTCAGAGGAAAGTGGAAAGTTTTAACATGGATATATTTAGAACACATTATGATATTCACCAAACTATAAGTCCCTACCCTAAAACTGGCAATGGTTAAGACATCACACATGGAAAATATCAAAGACCACACACATTACCTTCTGGGTCCTGCTCTACAACCTGGGGTGAATTCACTCTGCTTTCGTCAGCACTTCAAGGAGTCAGCTGCCCATGGTGTGTGTAAAAACACTCAAGATGTACCATCAAGTTTGCTAAGACTATCAGGATTAATCATAACATGAAGCAAGCTGACTAGGGTGTAGCTAGGAAATATTCCAATTAACTCTAGATGAATCTGAGGTCACATGGGTGACCTTACCAAAGAGGTTCCCATAGTGAGTCATGAGTGTACTTTCTCTGGGGGTTACAAGATGATAATGATGATAGTCATAGAGTATTACATTATAGAGTCATTAGTTCTAGCAACAGTACAGTACTTTAATTATTTACATTAATAACAGGATGAAAATACTAAGAAGTAATTTAGAAAAGTAACTGGAACATAACATAACTTAGAGTAATATTGTATAATTTCTGTTTAATGGGGTCAACACTTAAAAATAAACAAGGATAAAGAAGGACATGAGTAAACACTTTATAAATTAAATACAAAAATTAGATGACACATTGAAGAAAAGACATTTATTAGTAAATAAAATCTTAGATAAGATCAACACAATAATAACAATACTTGGGATAATGTGAGAGTAATTAATCACATGATACTAAGTATATGATAATAATTACATGACAATAAGTAAATATTACTAAGAGTCCTTAAAACTGGTTGGGAGACATAATTTTTAACTATATTTGGGTTGTCATTCCACAATTTGGGACCCTTGATTTGCATAGCATTTTTGGCTTTGGTTGAGTCTCTAGAAATATCAATGAAATATTTGTTCCTCGTGTGGTGACCATGAGTGCTGTTAGTCTTCTAGGAAGTGCTTATATGGTCAGGATTAGCATTGCAATTCAGAGTTTTATAGACATAGAGAACGGTTGAGAGTATGGACAGAAACTTGATATTTAACATGTTCACAGATTTCAGTAAGGGTGGTGTCTGAGAGGGGAATTTGTTATTGTTCTAATTGCTGATTTTTTTGAGTAATTAGGAGTCGGAGATAATTAAGGGTGGTAGATCCCTAGGCAGAGATACTATAGATGAGATAGTGTGCTAGTTTCCGAGTTTGTTAATTTACTATACACGCCATACTCATCTTGAGGTTATCTTGAGATGATTTCGAGGCTTAGCGTCCCAGCGGCCCGGTCCTCGACCAGGCCTCCTTTTTGTTACACATCCCCAGGAAGCAGCCAGTAGCAGCTGTCTAAATCCCAGGTACCTATTTACTGCTAGGCAAACAGGGGCATCAGGGTGAAAGAAACTTTGCCCATTCGTTCCCGCCTCCGCCGGGGATCGAACCCGGAACCTTGGGACTACGAATACTGAGCGCTGTCCACTCAGCCGTCAGGCCTGCCCATTTGTTTCCCATCCCGAGGGCGGTGGAAAAAATTAAAGGCACATATATTAATGTACTCGGGAACTGAACCCCCAACATTCATGTATCTAAGCAAGTGACAGTCTTTATAAACCAGTTACACAGTTTAATATAATTTATATCTATGGTGAGCCAGTTACATATTTACTAATTCTGTAACCCACACCATTCAATGGGCGTCAGTGAAAAATATATAATAATGTGCATGCACTACCTTTAGTTATCAACCGTTTGATATTTGGCTAAGATACAATCTGTATATGATATACATAATTAGTACTAACATGTTATTTATTTATTTATTTATATACAAGAAGGTACATTGGAGGTTAAGAAAGTTCATAGTAATGATGATGATTTTACATTCTTGTAAAGTCACTAGGCATGTATTTAATTATCTTAAAGTAAACTATAATAGGTATAATATCTGAGCATAAGAGACAATACTTTAAGTTAATGGACAATGAAATCACAATACAATGATGTATATATGAGAAAGTATTGATCGAGGCAATATTATGGGATTGATCTTGCTGGGACTATATATATATATATATATATATATATATATATATATATATATATATATATATATATATATATATATATATATATATATATTAATTTCAAGGAAAAATTCAAACAGGCATACGTACATGGCTAGGCTACACTATCTTTTATATATATCAGACATCTTAAGATGTAGCATGGACAAGTTGTGCGAGAGAAAACTTTGTAAGGGTGCCAAATGTCTGTAAAATAAATTATACGGCAATAAGACAATATACTATACCAAGATTACATGCTGGTGGGGGCGGAGTCCCAACGTGTTGATTGTAGAGACTGATGGAGATGATGTAGAGAGATGTAGTCTTTATCTTCGTGTTGTGTAATGTTACAATATGTTTCAACTATTTCATAAAGAAAAAGAATACCCGTTCGAACTGTGAAGTGTGGACAGGAGAAGAGCGGCTTATTGAGCGCCAGAGATATTGCCAGGGCTTAAGCCAGCTGCTTCCTATATTCCAATTATGGTGTCCGCTTGTATTATGGTCCTAAGCCATCCTTCAGTGATTCAACTGGGCACCGGCCGCCTCATAGGCAGCGGCCAGGATCACCGAGGGGTAATTAGCGTGGCGCCAGTACCGTGATTGGTGGCCCGAGGGCCTCTGTTGGATACGTACCAGCCAATCGTAGGGGTCCGTTCTCTCAGTCGATTTTCGGCACCGCGGTGTGCGGGCGAAGCCGGTTTTGACTCATGGGACGGAAGAGGATATATCCATCACAAGCTGGTCTTTTTCTCTTTCCGAATTCAGAATGGATTTCCGTTCCATTGGTACTTTGAATCTATAAGCACATATGAAGAGGAGAAACGTGAAAGACTTATATTAGCTCATGTGAGGCAGTTCCTATTTATATCCAATAATATTCAAACATTTATCTTCTTTTATGTATTTATTTGTGTACACGAAAGTACAGTGAGTTGTGAGAGTACATATATATAGTTGTTGACTAAGTGGTACATTATCTTCGGGATGCTCCCGGACGCAGGTTCGAATCCTTGTCACGGCCCTTGTGGATTTGTTCATTCTTATAAAATCACTAACATTCATAACGTGTCAGTAATCAGAAACAACCCTATTTCCAAACAAATGTTAACCTCACTATGTTCTGATAAATTATTTAGCATGTTATTGATTTCCCTTTAAAGAGGGCATTGATTACCAACGTGGGTAGTTATTAATGCCTGAAGGCATTAATACATTAATGCCTGAAGGCATTAATGCCTGAAGGCATTAATACACCGAGAACGCCAATAAAATTTAATGGACCTGAGACAGTGAAATTTACACTTGCTATTCCAGCTATCATATCATATTTGCAATTATGTAGGAAGAGCCACATATCAATGGGTCATCCTGGCGTTCGGCGAGTGCTTTGTCATGGGTTCGTATCCTGGCCGAGGAGGATTTACTGGGCGCAAATCCTTAACTGTAGCCTCTGTTTAACTCAACAGTAAAATAAGTATTTGGTTGTAACAACAATTCTTCGCGGCGGGGATCGTATTCCAGGGACCTGCCCGAAATGCTACGCGTACTAGTGGCTGTACAAGAATGTAACAACTCTTGTATATATCTCAAAAAAAAAAAAATAATGTCTGCAGACTTCAATAGGCGTTACTACTGCTAGACGGCTACAAGTGCCTCGATCGATGATACAAGCCCTGTCTGCTGTAGTGGTGGTGCAAGAACCACCTGATCAATATAGTCAACTTTGCCGAACAGAATTATTTATGTACTTAACATTGCTAACATCAGTGAGTACATGAGTTTCAACGCTTCAGGTTTCATGCCATGTGTTCTAAAATTATTGATAACTGAACGTTTGACTTTTAGTGTGTCCTATAGTTCTTGTTCACACAGTTTACAGTTGCAGTGTTCACTGTTAAGAGATTCAGTATACACTAGGATATCACAATAGCGTGCTATATCTTTGTAGAAATCATTGGTGCACAATGGGTATCGAACCAGCGTTCTGAGTCACCCCAGACACGCGCGTTCAAGTCATGGGGTGACCCATGATGCTGACTCAATCCACATCCTGCTATAATGATGTTTTCAGTCATTATACCTGCAGGCACCTCCCGTATGTAATGATATCCTAGCCTAATTCTGGCAATTATACAGCATCACATTGGTGAATATTTTGTACTGTCTATACAGCTTCAAAACGGTTAACGTAACACAAACAAGGAGAAACGGTTTCAAGCTCTACAAATTACAGAAAATATGAGACGCTTTTTCACCCACTAGATTATAAACCAGTGGAACTACCTACCCGCCGAAGCGTATATGCCAAAAAACTGTTAAATTTTGAAATCCGCCTTGAAAAAAATTATCAGACCAAATTGAGGAACCTTTGACAAGCCGTCGACTTCCTGTCCTCGTCGAGGCCACTAGAGTATTAGTGTTCCTCAGGTAAATTCAGGATATAGTTCTCAGTTCTAAGGATACCGACTAAAAATAAACAGATGACCACTGACGTCACATAGTTCACTGTTTACATCGTTATTGTGAAAGTGAACACCCTTATAGTCGAATGTATACACCTTCAGTAGTTAATGAGTCTATTTCAGCAGCATAATCGTAATTGAAATCCATTTGATTTGATTTTGATTTGATTTGATATATATATTGATCCTTAGTTTACTGTGCAAGTTGTCTGCCTTTATGAAACGTAACTAAGCTTGGGTTGGAATTCCCAGAGGTGTTTTTATATCTCATAAAGCATCCTGTTTTCACTGGAGTAGGTATATAAGCTGCTAAATACGATCTTTGAAGCATATATATCATAGCAAAACAAAACACACATGGTATGTTTCTTTGAGAATTATTTTCAATATTTTCCCAAACAATAACATGTAAGTATTCACGAGAAGGGATCAGAACCTCATTTCTAAATCGCTATAATTACTAACCTTCAATAATAAGCAACACTTACCTAACCTAATCTAACCCCTCCTAGCAATCCTAGGCCTAATAAACGATATCTTAGGCCTAATATAGTATAATTATATGTGCTATACTAAGGCTAGGAATTTTAAGATTGGTCTTTGGTTTTATTATCCTCACTATAAAATAATAAATAAAAAATAGTTTAATATTGGTGGTTCATCACTACATATTGATACCATTTACTAGTTATTATATATAAGTACGCCTATTTATAGCAAATAATTAAATTCTCTCAATTTTCCGACAATCAATGACAGCTACAGTTGAGCCAATTAGTAATTAAGACTCGTATATTACACCAACAATTACAACAGATGCATGGAATCATTAGCCAGCTTAATAACGAGTTTATAATCCAATAATACTTAAGTTAACCCTCACAGGCAGTAACACTATATGTCGCATAACAATGTATTAAAGTGTTACATCCTGGCAATGCCACTAATTAATTAGGAGGCAGTAGTTGGTACTACAAGTACTATGACTAGAGAAGGCTGGGCTGGGATTACAGAGGTAACCATGAATGGAGCTCGGAGTATGCGCAGACGTCAACCACGCATGCGCATTCCCAAGTTCCAGTGTCGCAATACACCACATTAAAATCTTGTAAAAAAACAAAAAACAAATATCCTACTCAATATTTCTCATCTTGCAATTTGTTTGATTAGCTAAAATTTATTATTTATCTTAGAAGGTTTGATTTAAATAGCGATCTGTGGGAGGAAATGCAGGAGAAGTTTTGTTCCGAGACGAAGCCAACGTTATGAGGGAGGTCTGGAGCGTTGGGCGTGTCAGTCTCCTGTCACCTGTTGAGTCGTGTCTACCGCATCTCCTCCTGGTAAAATGACTGACACGGACACCAAGACCGCTGCCGAGGCTAAGACCGAGGTGGTCGAGGAGGCCCCCAAGGACGTTAAGAGCGAGGAGGCGGAGGCGCCCAAGGAAATGAGAGCCGTGATACTGAACGGGTTCGGCGGCCTCAAGTGTGTGAAGATCGTGCGGCGGCCTCATCCAGCCCTCGCAGATGGCGAGGTCCTCGTCAGGGTCCAGCTATGGTCAGTAACCTTAGACACTAACATCTTAAATGTGACGTAATATGAACTGTATGAAAGATTTCACATTTTATTTTATTAAGCATGGTTGCCGAATTGCTGATGGGTGAGTCAGCGTAGGTGGTTATGGATTTTATTACAATGGGGGAGGCGGAAGACGAGGGGGGGACTTTAACAGCTCTATTCTCTATGAAGTCTCTAACTTTACTAGAACTTTGTCTTGATCTGGCATATAATGATTATAATTTACGTACAGGTGCTTGTGGGAAAACTTTATTTCCCTTTTAGAGTATTAAAACTAGACTATGGCAATTAAACTGTAAAAGGCTCAAAACTAAGTGTGCGTGTATGAAAGTAATGTATTAAATACAATAAATATACAATTTGTATAGATTACTATGGTGTAGTTTAGCGGGTGACTGAAGGGCGTGGTCAGACGCGCACACGGTGATTGAAAGATATATAACCAAGTATACTTGGGTACAGCGGGGTGAGCTTCCAGGACGTGATGGTGCGCCAAGGCTTCACGGAAGCCCCGCCCAAGATCCCCTTCATCCTGGGCTTCGAGTGTGCTGGCGTGGTAGAGGCTGTCGCCGATGATGTCAATAACTTTAAGGTGTGGCACCACTCTCATCATTACCCCCGGCAACCACTACATTCTCCACCCAAACACATTTTGCCCTCTAGTGTTTAGGGTTACACATGCATGCACAATGAATTACATTCACTAGACTCATTAATTTTCCTTGGATAATTGTCATATTTCTTGTATTCTTCAATCTTAATTGATTAGTTTTTAAGGTAATTTGGGGTCACTGATTTGGCAGGTTGGCGACAGAGTGGTTGCCTTGCCCGACCACCGAGCTTGGGCAGAACTGGTGCCTGTACCTGCCAAATACGTGTATGCCGTGCCAGAGGCGATGCCTCTACAGGTGAGGTCACGGTAACTTGTTCAAATTTGATGTAATTGGCTTTGTCCCAGTGTGTGATTATGGAAAGTTTTAGATAGTGTGGCAGTTCTATTACTGCAAAATTGGTAATCTGCATATACAGTACTAATGATAAACCCACTAATAGTACACTGGTCTAAAACTTGGTTAATTAGCTTAAAGTTAATGTTTATTAACTAGGGGGGGGGGGATATTAAATGTTAATAACTGGGTTTATTATAATAAACCCTCTAGATATTTAATCTAGTTTTCGTACCCATACGTGCCCACTACATTCTTTAAGATTGTTTTTTCTTTCCAGGAAGCAATTGCTGTAACAGTGAGCTACACTGTGGCTTATATGCTAATCCACGACTTGGGCAATATATCTTCTGGCCACACGGTTCTCGTTCATTCAGCTGGTGGTTCTGTGGTTAGTATTTCTCTACTTGTGAACCTTGGCACCTTCTTTTAAATATCTGAGCATGTAAAGGATGAGGGAGGGAAAACTTCATTAATTTAGCATGCTTTTACTTTTGAAAATTAAAGGCAAACTACCTTTTGTCTTTTTAGGGGCAAGCTATATGTTCTCTACTACGTAACATGGGTGGCATCACTATAATTGGTGTGGCTTCAAAAACCAAGCATGAAGATATTAAAGATTCTGTTACCCACCTCATTGATCGTGGCAGTGATACTCCAACTGAAGTACGCAAGTAAGTTGTGGAATTGCCAAGGAGGAGCATTGGCTCTGAAGTTTGTTTGTAAAAGTTCACTAAAAATGAAATGGTTTAGTTTGTTAAAGCTAATTAAAATACAGGCTGTATCATAAAATTGAGATTGTAAAATGTTTAAATTTTTGGTACTCCAATTTAATTAAATTTGTGTACTACTTGTAGGGTGTGTCCAGATGGTGTTGATATTGTATTGGACTGCCAAGGAGGAGAAGAGTGCAACAAGGGTTATAGTCTTCTGAAACCACTAGGCCGGTACATTCTTTTTGGTATGTACAACATGCACTACCCATTAGTATGGCTTTTAAATCTTTAAGTTACCCTATTTCAGTAAGATTGAATAAATACTAGTCTTTAACAGCATTCGACGAAACTTTTGTGCTCCTAGAGGCTAACTAGGAATTTGACTGTCGGTTGTCCTTGTCAAAACTAAATGTCTAGATCCTAGTAGAGATTGAAAAAGACAATAAATTAGCATATGATTGATTAGCCTAGTTATCACTTGTAGACCAGCATTCTCAATAGTTACATTAAGGCACTACATGTCTTGGAAAAAGTAGTCTGAAAAATCAAATTTTGATCCATGACTGTTCCCTTTTAAAATGCTAAATATCATAAAGCTTACTTTTGAAACTAGATATCATGGCAACATATTTGTTTTATTTAAAGAATCCTACAGTTTCAACTTTTGTTATATTTAGTGTAGATGGGCAAAGTGAATTCGTATGCTTTCAGGGCCTTCCAGTATCGTCACGGGGGAGACAAAGAGCATCCTTAGCGTCATAAAATCGGTAAGTGCAAGAACTCCCTTTCCCCCTAAGCTAAATTCTTGGAAAGTAAGAGTACCAAAAACCATTTAACATCTTGATAAATTCTCTTAAGTTCAAAATGCCTTTATGCTAATTCATCGGTTGTACATGTTGGTGTTGATTGGTGCATGCTATACTAAAATACGTGAAACAAAGATTGTTGGCTTAACCTTTTTAATGTTGCATAACTAGAATTTCTTTTCGTTTAGCCTTTTTAAGGATGTTTGTAAAGATTTTTCTTTACTTTTTGTGCATTCTGAAGTAGCTAGATTCCACCAAATTGAATCTAAATTGAAGATGGCAAAACCACAAAAGATAAGTTAGGTGTGAATATGTAACTTTAGGTACTTAATGATCTGCCATCTTCTTGGCTCAACCCTTTACATAAACAAAGCAAATTTTTTTAAAGTATGCAAATTTTAAATGTGCTGAACCTTTGCTCTAACAGTGGCGGCAGGTGGACAAGGTGTCGCCATTAAGGCTGTATGAAGACAACAGGGCTATCTTCGGCTTCAATCTCCGTCGTCTACTCTACCAGCAGGTAGGAGAGGGAACGATTACCTTTTACATTGTGTTCAAACAATACTAGCTGAATTTGGTATATAGAATGGTCAAATGGCACACTTTCAAAGTAATAAAGGCAACATTTGCATTTTAAGAAAAATTTGTGCCTTCATAAGTTTTATGAAAGCCTTTACCTTCCACATAGTCTTGTTTAAATTTGCTTGACTATAATTTTCATATAAACTCCTGGGCATCTTTCCAGGCTGGTGGCCATGAAAGGGTCAGGTGCGTTGTTGAGGAAGTGTACAAGCTGTGGCAGAGTGGGGTTGCAAAGGCGTGCATAGATTCTACCTTTGCGCTTGAAGATGTGAGTAAAATGTTTCAAATGCAGGCGATGAGTCACAATAACCTGGCTGAAGTATGTTGACCAGACAAAGTGTGTGGTAGATCATGAAATTGTGGACTCTTAACTTGACAAGTGGTAGCATTTTATGATTTGTAATGGACTTTATTTCATTACAGGTGACTGAAGCCATGATGAAGATGCATGAAAGACGTAATGTTGGTAAACTTCTGCTGGACTTGTCTATGGAACCAAAGGCTGTCCCTACCACTCCAGGCAAAGGAAAGAAGGAAGAAAAGAAAGATGAAGGGAAAAAGGAAGAGAAAAAAGAAGAAACGAAGAAGGAAAAGAAAGATGAAGGCAAGAAGGAAGACGATGAAACTAAAGGTGAAAAAGAAACGGACTTGGTAAAATCAGACGAGGTAAAGGCTGAAGGCAAATAGTGAAAGATAAGCAGCATAAATAAGGTTTTGGTAAATGAAAAGGTATGCCTATCTAGAAAAGCAGATTAGTGACATGAATTTTAAAAGGTGCAAAATGGTTTTTGAGCAGTAAACTAGTGTAATTTAGCATAAGCAAATGCATAAAGTTTATACTTGATAATTAGCCACAATTTTTAACTAGGGCTTCATCTAAGCAATGTAATTAAAATTTACAATGCTTGTCCTGTGTACTCATTGTATGAGAAATATTGAAACTAAAAGCTTCACTTTAGGCTTAGTACTGCTCAAAACTAATGAATTGGAGGTCCAGTAAGTCTTCCAACTTTATAAAATGCCCTGTAGACTTTGCAATTATTAAAAGATCATAAAATAGTCCATGTAGGCCAGGAATATATATATCTTGTCCAATAAAGAATTTGAAGATTTGCACTATAGATTTTAAAAGAACCAAAGTACAGGGGTAAAATTTGATAGTTCACCTTGGCTGTGAATACTATACAGTGTATAACTGAATAAATTAAATTCCCAAAGAATGGGCAGAACTTACCTTTTTAGCATGGGTATGGTAATTTTTTTTTTTTTCAGTGCCATAAGACCAGTGAAAGTTGAGTGGGCTAAAAATGCCCAGGTTAATATTATATCCTATTATTGGAGCCACTTGATATAACCATGGTCTTGTATTAAACTCTCTGAACAGTACTGTTGGCAAATATTGACAAATTTGGTTCCTATATTAAAATAACCTTCATCTATTAAAATGGTATTACTGTAACGTGCATTTTTCAATGTCCTGATTAAAGTTTAATAAATTTAAACTATGGGCTATATGCTGCTGCTTAAATAGTATAATTGTATTCATATTAATGTTGTTATCCTAGGGAACTTAATGGTGTCTGGTGATTAAAATGTATTGGATATTGATTCTGGCCTTAGTGCCACAAAAGTAATTTGAACTACAGTAGGGCTGCAGGAGCTAGTCCCCAAGTAGTAATCTACTGTATTAAGATTACCAATAGTTAAGCTACTGTAAGTAATTATCAAAAGGCATCAAACTAGGAAGACTATGTAGCACAATCAAATGAGCGGGATAACCGAAAGGCATTTAATATCGCTTGATGCCAGTAAGAGAAGCCCAAAGTGAACACCTATTAAAGGCCTAGGATTGTCCATACAGGGACAAGTGACTCGGTGGGTAAGCTGCAAAGATGTTCCCTACAGAAGAGCTCAGTGCAAAGGCCCACACACCAATGTAGATGTAATAGGTTATGTTGCCAGATGGTCTATAATTAAATTCCCAAACTAGTACCTAGGTACAGGGTTATTTTTTATTAACAAACGTCCTTCCCTATCCCTTTTTTAGTTCTGTAAATTTACTTTAATTATTGCTCCTCTTGAGTAATTATCACTGGCACAAAGCCACTGATTTAATTATTGGAAAAGGGTCCTTAAATTGTTAACAATATTCCTTCTCTGAATTAATATGGTGGATTGTTTTCCCACATTACTATTATAAAATTAAATAGGAAACCTAGAAGGGAAGTTATTACTAAAATTCCTAATTTAAATTAGGAAATTACAAAACCTCTAGAAAGAAGGGGGGGGGGGGGGTAATATATTGTCAATCTCTAAAAGTCCAAACAGTGTGAAAAGTCCAATGTCCTGATTTTCAGGATGTTGGTGTTTGCTTACTGACCATCCCTTGTCATTTGTCCCACGATACTCCTTGAATCCAATAGGTTTATTCCTCGCCCTGAGCTTTTCTCATATTGGTATCCCTAATGATATTTGGCACTTTTCCGACTTGTAACTGATAGTGCTACATACATTAGTGCCTTTTGATAATGCCTTAGTCTATCGATAGTTTGGTCATAACATCTTTAAACACGGGCATTAAACTTCTTATACTTATCAACTGCTTAAACAATTAAATGTTTACAGTGATTGATTCTGGTAAATGGCAAGTCTTTCTTCCATTAATGCTTTTCTTTTAATTATTGAAAGCAAATGGCTGATTCCCTGAACCCAGAGAGGCATTTATGAGCACGTTAAAGCTCTCATGACAAACTGCGCTTTTGACTACACTACAGTATTGTCAGGAATGACCCTTGCTATTGGCACCCTTATAAAAATCCTGCTCTTTTTAAGTCTTGTTGCATGGTGCTTTTTCAGCTCTTGTAATGGCATCTACAATAACTTGAATCCTACAAGGGTCACTCTTTGGATTGGCCCTTTTTTTGCTAATTAATTTTTGGTGTTAGTCTAAAAGTCACTCCATAATGCATGCTCACAGATGTACTAGCTGGGCCCCTCCCCCCCCCCCAAAAAAAAAAACCTAATGGATGACCCATGAATAGAAAATAGGACAGCCAGTAAATTTTATGAGCAGCTATGATTCATAGTAAATCTTTGACAAATCCTCTACATCAAATGTGATGTTATCTTGAGATGATTTCGGGGCAGCTAATGTACTGTAATTCAATGAAGACTCGCCGAGAAGTAAGTAATTATCAAAAGAAGGCACCAAACTGGGAAGGCTATGTAGCACCATCAAATGTGCGGGATAATCAGAGGGCGCTAAATATCACCAAGGATGCCAATACGAGAACAAACACATAAGGAGAACGATATCAAAAGTATCCGAGTCATCAAGAATACCATCGAGGGACAAGCGACTGCGGGGGACGGTCAGAAAACAAGACACACGCTCATCCCGGAAGTCAGGACAGTCAACAAGGATATGCACAACCGTAAGAGAGACAATGCAATTTGGACAATAAGGGAGCAGGGGACTTGCCGAGAAACTACAATGATGGGGAATGTCCTCTGCTAACCCTCTACCCCCTCTGTGTACAATGTGTTGTAAATTTGGCTACTCTACTTCAGTTTGCATAAACACAATTTGTTTTCCCTCTAGAGTCTGGCCAGTCATGCCCTACCAAATCACTGCAATGTGAGGGCAGTCAGCATTTGTCATGAACTGAAAGGGACTAGATGGACCTTTTTAAACATAAGGCATACATTGTAGATTACCTTTGGCAGTGATGCATAATGTCTAAGACTTAAGATTCTTTGAGAACTCTTGGCTGAAGCACCAGTCTCCTGCCACATCTAGCGACTCAGTATGTACTGTACTTCATAAAGACCAAACCCACTTGTCTTTCTATCTACACAACAACTTTTCTTTCCCCTCCCAACATAAATCTTGGTCAGAAAGATACCATTGCCAGATACCCTTTTGGAAGGAAGGAGGTAATAGACACCTGGTCACATCAAAGTTCCTGAGCAATCCCACTTAAAGTACAGTAAACATCTTACATGACACTAAGGTTAATTTGTTCAGTCTTTCAAGATCCCAAATCTTTTGTACTTCTCTGCCAGTTTTCTCATTTAGCTTCTCAACTTAATTTTACCTCTTGAAACTTTAAGTGACACACATGATTATACCTCTAATCTCATCTCAATCTCAATCTACATCAACATGGTCAGACAATTTTTCAGATACTGTATACTCATGTGAGAGTAACATTTCCCAATATGTCTGCTAGTAGTCTATCTTCACTCAACTTTACTAAATGTAATGGGCAATAATCAAAGGGCCAAGCTGGAAAAATGCAATGGGTAAAATATTTTTTTTTTAAAGTCTTTCAAATCTTTTAATGCTTGTAATATGCTAATTCTGTTTAGCCTTCATCTTCTTAACGAGCACAATAGTTTATTAATTTTAATTAATAATTTTATTATTAATTTTTAAAAGGTTTTTGAATATTGCTGTGTACACACATTCTTATGTATGCTAACTTCAAATGTCACGAGTCACAAGTATAAGGGTTAAAAAAATTACAGTGGGTAGGAAACCATCATTGGTCTACAAAAATAAATTTAGAAACTTACTTGCCTTAGAATCTGAAGGAAAAATGTCTTGCATTATAATAAGCCACTGCATTACCAGAAACACCAGTTTTCAACAAGAGCAAACATGCCTAACCTTTAATGGTTGATCGACATATTAAACGTGACCATATAATGACCGATTATTTGCGGAATGCAGTTATGACACCGAACCAATTCTTGATTTAAATAAATTATAGAAGAGTTTACCATTTTCAGCTAAATAAAAAAATTCATCATTGTCACAGGCTCTGAAAAACATGCACACAAGTAAATCTACAATTTATTATCCATACACTTTATACATGACCACTGAAACTCAAATTTGAAGCATGGAATATTTTCACAGAGCCGAGGTGAAGCTTGAAATTTAGGCAAATTTAATGCCCATGCTGTGCTGCCTCCTTCGCTGCCTTATCCGCAAACTTTTGTACATTAGCTGGAGAGCATGCTGTGAAAAAATGATAAAATATGACTAGTACTGTACAGTATATGTATTAAATTATATCCTAATTTTTAAAAATTATTTTCAATATCACACATGCATGTACATTTAATTAATGTTGAAATATTTGCACAGATCTGATTTATATCAAAGTTTACCCTTAAATAGCTCTATAAATATCCATGAACACACAATTATAATAGCTTATAGAGTTTAAAAAATCAATTTAATTTCTTATCTGCTTTTTATATTATTTCAGCAACTGAATTTCTGTACTGCATTATCTCTATAACAATATGCATACAAATCCTTTTTTACATTGAAACTTTTGTGACAGTGAAAACTGAAGACAAAAACCATTAATACTACAGTATTGTACTGTACCTAGATACAATACCATCACAGTTTATCAATGGAGGTATCCCTAGTCCCTATGATAGGTAAGGTAGGTATGTTACACATGCACATAACAAAAATATATATATTTTATTTCAATTCATTAAATATCCATTATTCCTAATCAGCATATAAACCATTCCCAATGACGGTACATAATTCATAATTTATGAATTAAATTACAAAATAGGAAAACAATGAAAATTTCTTCCTAAAAATATACAAACCGAATCTTTAGTTTTGTGATTGTTATCCAAATACTGTACTAATTTCTTTAAGAATTTCACCAGATGTACTTCCTGCCTTTTGTATGCTAATTAAGGATAATAGGTAAAAAGCTGTATATTTTAATTATAATATATAGTAAACCATTACCGAGCATAAAATCGGTTCCTATTATAATAATAATACTGTATGTGGCTGTAACCAAAGTGACTATTTGGTCAGTTACAAGCCATCTATGCTGACCTCTGATTATATTCCAGTTAAGTACTTGCTATATATTACTCTTTACCACTAAGATCTTCCAGCACCTGCAATGTTCCTGTAATTTACCATAGTGTCAATGGTCTTTTGCATAGTCCAAGCTGTACACTTACTGGCTGGAAGGTGATGCAGGCATGGATTACATGTGGCTTGTAAGGGCCAGAAAGGAAACTGGCTCAAAATATTTCCCAATATGACAGACAATCACTAAAGCCATCTAGGACTGGGATAAATAACCAAATACCCACCATGACTTAAACTCTTAGTGTTATGGTTACACACAAAGCAGAGGACAGGCCCTGTCAGAGGTACTGTACCCTCAAAGACTGAGACCAGGCAAGTAAGGGAAGCAGGCAGGCTGGCCGGGGCCACAGGTGACATGGGCAGCCACCTGCTGGCAGTTGGGTACATCTTACCTAACTGTAGTTACAGGATAAGAGTTATGCTCGTGGTGTCCTGTCTTCCCAGCACCGTCATACAACGCGTTGAAATTACTGACCTCCACCACCTCACCTAACTTTTTCCAACCATCTACCACTCCGTTTACAAAAGTGAATTTTCTTATATTTCTCCGGCAGCTTTGTTTCGTTAGTTTAAATCTATGACCTCTTGTTCTTGAAGTTCCAGGTCTCAGGAATTCTTTCCTATCAATTTTATCAATTCCTGTTACTATTTTGTACGTAGTGATCATATCGCCTCTTTTTCTTTGATCTTCTAGTTTTTGCATATTTAATGCTTCTAACCTCTTCTCATCTTGTCCTTCAGTTCTGGGAGCCACTTAATGGTATGTCTTTGTACCTTTTTCAGTTTGTTGATGTGTATACAACAGTGATCAATTACCTCCATGCACAATTACCTAATTTTCATATTGCTTGTTTTTTGTTTTTTTTGCCAATACAGCATTTAATTGATCTCCATTTGCCAACATTTCCTTGCACTATAGAGGGCACTAATCTGGCACTGGCTTCCGGTAAGCAAGAGTTAGTCTCAAAGGTCTGGTGCATCTCCCTAAAGCTTTACTGGACCAGCACCTAGCTTGCAGAGCCAGTAAAGGGGGCACAAGGGGAAAGCCTCTCTCATAAAAGTTTATAAACTTAGCTCTTAAAAAAGTAGAGTACTGGTGCAACTGAAACTACTAGGAGTATTCCATGGCATTAACGTACAAGTTTATGTAACTGTATTCCACTTCTTCATTAACACACAGGACAGTACTGTACATTTGGGAACATTTCCTTACACCTAATAGCACTGTTCATCTAGCAGTAAATATGCACACTGGTGTTAACATGGACTGTGTATGCAAACTGGCTGCCTGTCCCCCGACACAATGAATTATTGTAAATTATATTGACAATGTAAAACCAGAATGAAAAGGAATGAATAGGCAGTATGTGAAGACTGCCAATTTGTTTGTAATCTTACCAAGTTGCTGGATCTTGTAGAACAAAGGGAGGCTAAGTCCCACTCCAATAATGTAATACTTGAATAGCCATACATTCTTGATGTGGTAATTATAAGGGAAGGAAACAATCTTGGCAGAGAAGGTGTAGGGGTACTTCATTCTTCTGTCACTCATCGTGTTTGACTTGAAGCGGTCAAAAAACTGATCCAAAAAGCCTGATGCAGTGCTGAAAAAGAACAAGTATTTGTAAGAGTGAATCATATGCATGTGTGAGGTGACATCAAATACTGTATATAGCCACAGGCATGTTCAGATTTGGTGGATGAATGACCCATTAAGACCCTAGTAGATTATAGCCAAACATTAAAAAAAAAAAAAGACAAATTTAAACTTTGCCTAAATATAGCATACAAAATAACTCATGCCTTCAACGTGTCAGTATGAAGGTTTCTTCATAATGCATACATGTGAACATAAGTGTAAATGATGGTCTAGTAGTAATTATCAAAAGGAAGATTCCAAGGGAAGAATATATAATATATATTATATATACAGTACTGTATAGTAAAATCTTTTAAATATATGTGGTGTCTGATTGGAAAAGAAAAAATGTGGCAACCTTATGTATAATGAATCTTTTACAGTACAGTATAGCCAAAGGAAACATATTATTCCCCCATCATTTCAAGAATTGTTGCACATAGCCTAGCCAAGAATGCAATGTTTACTAATTTCTTTTTTAAATAAAAATGCTGTACTATATGCATATTTGCTAGCTAAATGTATAATAAACAAGCCAATGCAAACAAGAAATGTAGCCATTAACATTTTTATTTCCATCATTCCTGAAAAATTTAAGGCTTACAAAAATTTATACTAGAACCCAGTGTATATATACACTCCTTTCAATTTCTGTCAGAATATTGCCCAAATGGCACTTCCTGTAACTGGTAACCAAATTCAGCCAGCATATTTTTACCTAAAGATTAACTATACATGAATAGCCATTCCAATTTGCAGTAAAAAATAGTTCGGTGTATGATTATTCTAGCATCAAACTAGCACCGTAATATGAAGAGGGGATGAGCTACACATTTGAGCAGTTATAATCAAAGTTGGTCCAATGGAATAATTGCAAGTGGAAGTAAGATTTATACACTTTAAACAGAAAAACAAATGAAAATGTACATTTAACAAATATGCACCGTCCAAGAGTTCATAATCTTCAATAGTAAGACTGAATACAGTCTTATGATTGAAAGATTATGAAAGGTGTATGGAAAGACTTCATACACAGTCTTCAATCATGAGATAGAAGATTGTGATTGTGTATGGAGAGGGTTGGTTTATAATTTGACAAGTGGTAAAAAGAGTATTCTAGTGAATTTAAGGATAAGGGAGAGGAAGACTAAGATGGATAGACATGTGAGAATATACAAACAGCATGAACAGTGCACAACTCTTTTTAGCTAACAAGGCTAGGTAGAAACGGCTTTTAACGAGAGAATTTTTTTTATACTATATTTGTATATACCAACTCCAAAGTTATAATTACACCAATGCATATGCTTCATCATATGAACCTGAGGAGTAATAATGTGCTTGATTTACTGGTGTGTGGTGACTTTGTGATGCTGCCGAGCATGAAATACGGCAAATAAATAGGTGTAATTTTGTATAGTGTTATCTTTTCCTATAGTGCACTATCTTCAGGCTGATACCTCTACACCACATGAAGCAAAATGGGTAAATAATGCTGAACACCTGTATGAAAGTACTGTAATAGGTAAACAATGTTAACAGTTTTACATATACTATACTTACTACACCCTAAATCTACCATAGATAATATAATATTAAAGTACAGTAGTGTGAGGAGTAAACTGTAGAGGTGGGATCTAAACTTGTTCAACATTTTATGGCTGCTGCAGAAAAATGGGTTTTGTACATAGTGTTCATGGCAATTTCTTCATAACTTGTTTATGGGTTACTTCGCTCAATGGTTACATTACATTAAGTGATCAAGGCCACGAGGCAAGGGAAGTGTAAAGTTCACAGGTGCAGGAAGACTTTACAGGCATAGCAATGGCTGCCAAAAAAGCAACCGCTCAGAACAAAGATCAAATACTCTTACAACACATGTAAAAAGTTCCAAAAGCCAGACCATTTTGATCTATTCTTTCATACATCTACAATTTATCACTAGACTAACGTGTGTGCAATAGACAAGTGAAAGCAAAAGTAGAGGAACAAAAATAGTGAATACAATTGCAAGGACAAAAATATATGATAGGTCAGAAATAATTTTTTTCAGCTTAATATACAATAGTCTCTATACAATAAATACAATTTGAACATGCAGATTTTTTTTTTTTTTTTAAATAAAGTACATAACTGGTCAAGAATGTAAATACGTTTCGGCTAAATAAGTGAAAGATTACAAAAGAATATTCTGTAGTACAAAACACGTTTTATCCCACCTCTTAAATTCAGCTTTGCCAGCCATTGTCCTTGTTAAGTCTGTAAGTAGTTACAAAATAATTTTTATCTACTGTACCTAGTGATGGCATCAAAAGTCCTATGTACGACCTTTACACATTAATCAATTCAAGAAAACATTTAAACATTTTATGCATGATAAGAAATGTCTGACATTTCACAATTTTATACCAAAATGTTATCCAATGCTTCCTGTATTGCGTACTATCACGAAAATAAACTATCTAATGAAACATAAGACAAGATAATTACCAGAAGTGTCAAGCCATTACAACTACAGTATATGGCACTTGAAAGTGACGAGAATAAGGATTTAGGCTAAGACAGGGCAAAGGAAGGCAGGAAACTATCAGGAGAAAGTGCCAAGTCATTACAACTATACAGCACTTGGTCAGGGATAGGGATTTTGGGATGGATGGGAAGGAAGAAAGGAATTATCAAGAGAAAGCGCCAAGCCATTATGGCTATATAGCACTTGGAAGGGGTCAGGATAAGAATCTGGGATGGGAAGGGGGTAAGGAATGGTGCCCAACCACTTGGACGGTCTGGAATTGAACGCCGACCTGCATGAAACAAAACCATCGCTCAACCGTCCAGCCCAAGTGGTTGGGCGATGGGGGGGGGGGGGGGGGGGGGGGGGGGGGTGTCGGAAAATCCGACAGCATTTAATATATCATACAGATAATAGCTGTGTTGTATAAACAAGTTACCCATAGAAAACGTAACTTGTAGTGGAATTACCATCTAAAGAAAACGGGATATCATCACCACATACTATTATAATTCACCACCTATTATGGTGGGAATTATTCTTAAATACATTAGTCTTTGGACTTTACCATCATAAAAACATCTTATATAAATTAACTTAATTATCAATATTAAAGTAGAGTAAATGTGACCCTTCTATCACGTTCTGAAATCTGGACAATGTAAGCCAGGCGTCAGAGTGAGGAGGAGGGCAGCCATTGTTGTTTATTGAGACCAGAGGCTCACACGGGAGCAAATTCGGCTCCTGTTAATTTTACTTGGACGTAGTGTTATGGAAACCAAAGGTACCATCTCCATTGTCAACACGCTGTCTACAAATTCAAGTTAAGTGTCTATCCGAAACCCGTTTATCATTCATTTATGGCCATTAATGTCAGGATATAGGGTGGCCCGGTTAGAGCACGTGGAAGCCTCAAACTAAAGGTAATTAAGCCAGGTCTTCAATGTTCCATGTACTGTATAGTGTTTTCTCTGATATACTTGTCATATATAGGATTCTGGCTTCACAGCTAGCGCACTTTTGACAGGTCAAGACGAGGATGCAAGATTTTGTGCACCAGTTACTGGGTGATATGGAAGCTACCTCAAAGAGGATAATTTGGTGTCTACACCCTAGTTATACCTGGTGGACTAACCTGCTGTACTATAAGATAAGGAACCTCATCAATGTATGTAGCTATTACTGTAGTTTGATTGGCTGCATATATATTAATTTAATAACCCCCCCTAATGTGTAGAGGATCGATTTGTGAGATTATGAGATTATTGCAGAAATACAGTCCACTTATCATTATACAAATTGGATGAACCAGTTAACCAGTGGATTCATTAAATATACTAGTGCAGTGTGATTTAAACAAAGCCAGTCAAAGACAGCGGCGAAGCCTCGTGGGAGCTCAGGAGCCTCCCTCAGCCCAGTTCAGCTTCGTCAGCGGTTTCATGCACACCCACAGATATTTGGTGGCGTGTTATTTCGTGAAATGACAGCGCTAATATTGAAACCAGCCAAATTAGTGACTGTGTCTTCGCGAGATTGTTCACGGATTTCGTGGTGTTACATTTCGCGAGAGATTATCCACGAATTTTGTGGAGTTTATTTCGCGAGGTCACTAATAATATTTAATACTTCTTGATAATATTAGAAGTTTCATAGAGGCTAATTAAGAGGCTATTATCAATAATTGTGTATATTATTTCTCCAAAATAGAGAATTATTTAATATATATTGCACTAGTGATCACAGTATAATATTTGCTAATTGCCAACCCACAACAGGGTAGGATATTTACCATTGACTAGTTGAACTATTATTGTTCATCCTAGTCCCATTATTACCATAGTCAGTTGTACTATATTCAACAACTTAACACCATTAATGAATGGTCCAGACCCTATTTTGGGTGTAATTTTTATCAACTCGAGTTGAGTTGTATATATAATAATTTACTTATGATCATTACACCTTTGAGTGATTAATTAGTGTCTCTACCATCCTAGGGTGATATAGAAGAGCTAACCTAAAGGTACTTCCAGTGACACTGGTTTATCACTTAAATCATTAGTGTGTATGATTGTGTATATATAATGTGTATTAATTTTAAGTGCTAACCTCTAGTAGAGGTAGGATTATTGCCTAGTGAGTGCAGAATTTGACCCTAGGCTACCATCAGTGCTTGTTCAGTATTATGAGCAGCCCAAGTACAAGTCCCACAAGGCTTCACCAACGAGCCAGTATGGATAATGCAGGGAGAATGAAAAGAACCCTTGCAGGTCTTAAAGGCCACTTAACAAGACAGATCAAGAAATGTGAAGATTTGTCACAACAATCAACAGTTGATTATGCTGACCTGGAAAGCTATTATCAAGCAGCTGCAGGTAAATTTGAGCAAATCAAATGTCAAATAGCAACATATGTGGCTGAACTTGCCAACACCAATTTATCAGAAACAGAAATAGACGACATTATGGTTGATCTTGCGAATTATGAAGATCACACTCAGGCCACGTTACAGCCTTATGTCAAATTAATTGCCCAGAACAAGGCAACAGCAACAATAACAACAGTTGCATCTAATACGAGTCAAGCAGAAGCTCGACTCCCTCCAATTAATTTACCCACTTTCTCAGGAAAAGATGAGGAAGATTGGGACGAATTTTGGAACAAATTCGTTGACCTTGTAGACTCAAAACAATCTTTACCAAAGAGTAGTAAATTCTCTTATTTGCAAGGCCAATTATCAGGTGAGGCTAAAACAGTAGTATCCCATCTGAGATTAACTAATGACGGCTATGATCTGGCAGTAAAACTCCTCAAGGATAATTATGCTGATCCAGAAGTAAGAACATCACATTTAGTTCATGAGCTGTTGCATTTACCCCCACCGGAGGCTTCAGCTGATTCACTCCAAGTCTTCAAGCTGGAGGTAGAATCATTGATCAATGCCCTCAGCCTGACAGCAGATGCAAACGGGGCTGAGTGGGTCTTGAAAATAATTGTCCAGGAGAAAATACCTAGGGACATATTGAGACAAATGAGTGCTCATTACAATAAAAGCATCTTATCCATGAATGAAATATCTGAAGGTTTAAAGTCAGTAGTTCATCAATTACGAACACATGACAAATTAAAACCACCAAGTAAACCCTCAGAAACCAATAATAGTAAACCACAGAGTTACAAAGGTACTCCAAATCAATCTAGACAATATAATTCAACACCAAAGTGGAACAGTGGCAGTGTGGGCGTATATGCAGTGGGACCCTCCAAGCCTATAGTTACTGTGTCACCAAAGGGTACTGGAAACTATGGAACATGTTTGTTCTGCAATGAGAAACATTCAATGTACCACTGCCCTAATTTTCCTGATAGTAACGCCCGTGTTGAGCGACTCAAAGATTTGCAACATTGCACGAGGTGCCTCAGGAAACATAACATCAACGACTGTGATACCCAATTACACACCTGTAATAGGTGTAACAAAGGTCAGCACCATGCAGCATTGTGCAGAGACACCAAAACAACGTCTCCAAACCCCAAGGTGGAAGATAGCATTCCCACCTCAGTACAGTACTGCAAGGTGCAACCAACAAAGAGTGTCCATTCGGCAAAGTCTAAAGGTAATACGACTTTGCCTACTGCCCAAATTACCATCCTGAATAAGAGGGCCAAGGTCCATACCCGTGGGTTGTTTGACCAAGGATCCCAAAGAACATATGTCACTAAAAAGCTGGCAGATGAACTACAATTAAGGCCTGTAGCCCAGATGTCATTCAACATCTCAGGGTTTGTAACAGATGCAGGACCTCAAGTCTACCAGGTGGTACAACCATCAGTACGCTTAGGCAGGTACGTCTGTCGAGTACAAGCCATTGTGGTGGACAAAATACCAGTAGACCTACAAGTTCAAGGTCTGAGAGCAACAGCCAAATTCCTGAGAAATAGAGGAATAAAATTGGCAGATAATATTAAGTCTGATCACCTCACTGACTTCGGTCTCCTTGTTGGGACAGACTATTGTCATCGATTCATCGGTAGCCCTACTAAATATCAGGGTATAACCATGTTAAACTCTGCAGGAGGTAAATTACTCTCAGGCCCAGTATCAAGCCTGAAGAGACCTATGCCTGCAGATAAACATTACCAGTAGAAATCTAAATTTGTCAGCTGATTATATTTCTCCAGTAGCATTATACTAAGGAGATTACAGCTGACTATACCAACAGAGGTTGATGTTAGTATCATCATTTAAAGCTGGAGATGATTTCATGAGGCCTCAGTGGCAAATCAGTGAACAGTAGCCTAAAACAGCTACAAGTCACTGCGACCAATGTCACTGAACCCACTGCAGTCTCAGAACCATCCTTTACTTTAATGATGAGCTATTCAATCTTCTGAATCAATTAACTAAATTAAACCCTAATAAATCTGATGACTGATTTGATACATTTATTATTTAATCAAGATGTATTCCATGGGCCTCAGTGTTTATATATCAGTGACTAGTTACCTGAACAAACTTCAAGTTATATCTAATGTCACTGATCTCACTGCAGTCCCTGAATCATACTTGACTGTAGTAATTGATCACATCCAGTCTTCTGGGTTAAATAATATATAAGGCTTGAATATTAGCCTTTCAAGAGTTGACAGGGAAATGAAATCGCATTAGACTTCTAACCCCTGCAACTCTAGTACGGGACATCCGTCCTGTACGAACAGACGCACAAATGTGTGATTACTAACTATAATTTGAAGGAGGAGTATCGGTGTTCGTCTGTTCTAAAGAGGACTTCGACCCGTGAGCAGCCCCTGGGGAATTATGTCGGAAAATCCGACAGCATTTAATATATCATACAGATAATAGCTGTGTTGTATAAACAAGTTACCCATAGAAAACGTAACTTGTAGTGGAATTACCATCTAAAGAAAACGGGATATCATCACCACATACTATTATAATTCACCACCTATTATGGTGGGAATTATTCTTAAATACATTAGTCTTTGGACTTTACCATCATAAAAACATCTTATATAAATTAACTTAATTATCAATATTAAAGTAGAGTAAATGTGACCCTTCTATCACGTTCTGAAATCTGGACAATGTAAGCCAGGCGTCAGAGTGAGGAGGAGGGCAGCCATTGTTGTTTATCGAGACCAGAGGCTCACACGGGAGCAAATTCGGCTCCTGTTAATTTTACTTGGACGTAGTGTTATGGAAACCAAAGGTACCATCTCCATTGTCAACACGCTGTCTACAAATTCAAGTTAAGTGTCTATCCGAAACCCGTTTATCATTCATTTATGGCCATTAATGTCAGGATATAGGGTGATCCGGTTAGAGCACGTGGAAGCCTCAAACTAAAGGTAATTAAGCCAGGTCTTCAATGTTCCATGTACTGTATAGTGTTTTCTCTGATATACTTGTCATATATAGGATTCTGGCTTCACAGCTAGCGCACTTTTGACAGGTCAAGACGAGGATGCAAGATTTTGTGCACCAGTTACTGGGTGATATGGAAGCTACCTCAAAGAGGATAATTTGGTGTCTACACCCTAGTTATACCTGGTGGACTAACCTGCTGTACTATAAGATAAGGAACCTCATCAATGTATGTAGCTATTACTGTAGTTTGATTGGCTGCATATATATTAATTTAATAACCCCCCCTAATGTGTAGAGGATCGATTTGTGAGATTATGAGATTATTGCAGAAATACAGTCCACTTATCATTATACAAATTGCTATCGAAGTATATAAATTAACGTAAATATAAATTCATATAAATTAAATAAATATAAATCTCACAGGTCGGTTCCCACAGGGGGGAGAATTGTTCCAAACCATTTGGCAGGAAGGATGACTGTCACTCTACAGTTCAGTTCAAGATAAAGTGAATAAATAATAATAATTTAGTCATGGCAAAGTACTTGCCCAAAATTACTGTGCATATTAATGGCTTTAGGCATTGTATGCACTAGCTCTATCTAAAATCCCAACATTATGTTTGTAACTCTAGTATGTATGTACTTTTACCTGCATAAACATTTAATTTGAGTTGATTACATCACAATTTTTTGCAGGAGGGGAGGGGGGTGGGGAGGACGTTGGCACAGTGTCAATGTGTTCTTGGACTACCACCTCCCAATCCACCCATGTTGTACACGTACCCAATAGCAATTACTGGGACAAATTGGGTGAAGCTTAACCCTAGCCACCACAGGAGGACATATTTCCACCAACGTACATATTTGAGGCCATTTCTTCACCACAGCCCAAGGCACCCTACAGCGCCTTTATAACCTCTCAGATTTATCTATAACCACTCTCAGATTTAAAGTCAGCAAGCCCTAACCTCCAGCTGGCATTACCACATTAACGTTAACACTTAAAACTTGAACATAAAAATAAAAACAGACTAATATATAAAATCTAGACCCAACCGTACCAGAATCAGCTGATCGTCTGCTACCACAACACACCTTATTATCACAAAACTAGAGCCATACCAACGCAGTTCCCTTAAAAATAACAATATACGTGTCCAATCTACTCACATTAGCTATTCAATTTCATAGCTAATAGCAGTTTAAACAACAAATTGAACAAAGTTAACATAGACCAAGTTTACCTCTCCGGCAGCCGGTTGCTTGGTTCAGGGAGCCGCGGCCAGGGTGCAGCACCCGAGCATGGCGCCGCTCTCGTACATCTCTCTTGTATTTTTGTATTCATATATTTATTTATTTATTATTGTTTATTTATTTATATACAAGAAGGTACATTGGGGGTTAACAGAGAACCTAGAAAACCTAGAAACCTAGAACCCAGAGAACCTAGAAAGTTGAATTTACATTCTTGTAAAGCCACTAGCATGCATAATCGGGCAAGAATTTCAATTTCATCCAATACAGTATAATTCATTGACTATGTGACTGTCATTCATTTCATACAATACATAGAAACAATAGATAAATAAAATAAATAGATTATATTGTATAAAACAGTAGGGTATTTGTAGGAAACAAAAGGCCAAGTTGTTCAGTGAGAATCTGCAAGATCTCGGAATTTCATCTCATATATAGATTTTGTATTAATTTAATTATTGAAAAAAACACAATGAATGGGTTTTGTAACTATATTTATGATTAAACTGTAGTCTCGCAATCAACTTCGGTGTTCCTCAGGGCAGCATACTTGGCCCTCTCCTCTTTCTCATCTACATTAATGACCTTCCAAATGCCTCCCAACACCTCAAACCAATTCTATTTGCTGACGACACAACCTTCATTTACTCCAGTCCTGACCCCCTTGCTCTAAATGCCACAGTAAATACTGAGCTAAATAAAGTCCATCTTTGGCTAACTGCCAACAAACTCACCCTTAACATTGACAAAACTTTCTATATTCTGTTTGGCAATAAATCCTCTAATCAAATAAATCTCAGGATAAACAATACCCAAATTTGTAACAAAATAGATGGCAAATTCCTTGGCGTTCACACTGACCACAAGCTGAATTTCCAGGGTCACATTCTAAATACATAAAAAAAAGTTTCAAAAACTGTTGGCATTCTTTCCAAGATTAGATATTATATACCTCGCCTTGCCCTGGTGACGCTCTATTACTCCCTCATCTATCCAAATCTCAACTATGGTATTTGTGCTTGGGGTTCTACTACCCAAAATCATTTATGTCCTCTGATTACTCAACACAAAGCTGCTATTAGGACAATATCCAACTCTGGCCCCAGACATCACTCGGTACCCCTACTCAAATCTCTGAATATGTTAGATATTAAGTCACTGCACATCCTCTCATGTGTATTATACATATATAAAACGCTGAACTGTAATGCCAATCCTGACCTCAAAAGCTTCATTGAAGGTTGTAACAGAACCCATGAGCACCACACCAGAAACTAATACCGTTTTGATATTCCAAGAGTACGACTTAATCAAACTAGAAATGCTCTACAAATCAAGGGACCCAGAATGTGGAATGACCTTCCCAACCATGTTAAAGACTGTACCTCTCTTAACTAGTTTAAGATAAAAACGAAGCACTACCTAATAAATTCCCTGTAACCTACCTTACCCCTATATTGTCAACCCATGTCTGTTATTTAAACAACGCTGTTTGTCTACCTAATTGTATTTGTGCTGCTTTTTCTGCCATGTTCCCAACTTTTTTATTTTTATTTGTTCTCAACACATTTTATACTTTAATCTCAATTAGTATTAAGTTTTAGTCTTTAATGTTTTTCCTGCCCGAAACGTATTGCGTAATAGTGGCTTTAGGCATTGTATGTACTAGTTCTATCTATAAATCGATCAATTTTTGAATAACCACTTGTATGTATGTACTTTACCTGAATAAACATTTATTTATTTATTTATTTACATTACAATCCTCTCATGGTGGTGTGAAAAATACAATCCTCCCAGGCTCTCGTCCCCCATGGAGCTCCCAGGCTCTCAGCCTGGGAGGGAGTTAAGAACAACAATTAAAGAGAATATCCAATTATAATTAACCCAACAATTAATATGAATTACAATTACAATAAATTCAACAACAATTAACACCGTATATACGACAAACATCCTAACCAGACGTTATATGATGATATCATCAACAGTAGATAAAAAAAATAATTGCAGAACTTCAGTTACCTAATACCAGCATTGTATAAAACCTTATCATAAGCTACGGGATTTGTGGATCAGTTTAAAGGGAATTCGGAAGTAATAATAATACAGCTGATGCCATCTGTCGGCAGAAAAGAACACTATCAAGAAGTCATGGTAAATAGTAGCCATAAGATACAGCTTATGCCATCTGTTGGAATCAAATTGCACTATTAACATTTTACCCTTCAAAATACACCTAGCGCCATCTCTGATTTTTCCAACGCACTATAAATAGCCAAACAGCAGCCCATAAGGCGGGTTGTTGTGTTGAAGTAAGAAGTCCCCCCCACCCCCACCAGCTTCCATGTCATTGGTAGACATTATTTGTTGACATTCAGCACAGCCAATCACAGGAAGGGATCAGTTAAAGGTGCCATCCACTTAATAAATCATCTTTGTTCTGCTTACCAGTCCTGCTTATGGCATGCTGTTTCAACTTTAATCTACCTAAAACGTGAAGTGTTAATTATTTAAAAGTATTAATAAAATGATAACTAAATATTACAGGATATAAAAGTGTTAAAGAAATCTGGCCTGACTACCTAACTTCTCCCGTCTGCAGTGGGTGTTGCCTGACAATAATAATAATAATAATAATAATCTATAACATCGATGATACGATGCTCCGCCCTCTTATTGAACTACATTATTAAGTTAGATGGAAATTTCTGTCAGGGACAAAACATATTGTGCAAAAGGACGTATTTCTTAGTTTGCATTTCATTCATAGAAAGAGTGTTGGCATTCCCTGCAACAGCCAATCACAGGAAGGTATTTGCTACAGCTCGCCGCCTAGTGTTGAAGTCCTCGGGAGTGTTCAGTACACCGATCTAAAAGAGCTTATGTAATAAAGCTTATACCATTTTTGTAAATATCTTCTCTGATATGGGTATCTCTCTATTCGTCTACATGTTTATTAATACTTTACCTGAAAATATAAAGTTGTTACACAAAATTGCTAAATTTTGCCATTAAAAAGAGCTCATGCCTTGGGGTTTGTAATAGTTTTATGGGAGGAATGTTATACGTTGCTCCATTTTTCTAAATATCTTCTGATATGGGTGTTGACTTGTGGTTCTATTCGTATACATTGTTGTTTGACATTAATACTTGACGGCTTCTCTCCAGTTCCTTGTGGATGTTATATAAGTCGGAACAATGAGTCAGGGCTCTGCGTATAAATGCGTTTATTACACTAGTCTTATATCTGTCTGGACATTCAGAGTGACCATTCATACACATTCCAATGTTTGCGGGTTTAATATAAACTTGTGTGGTGAAAGTGTTGTCTTTGGTTCTCACGTAGACATGGAGGAAAGGGAGTCCACCATCGATGCCTAGTTCATGGGTAAAGTTAAGCACTGAGTTTAGGATAAGTTGATCCTTTAATCGTGACAGTTCCTGGAGGTCTTTCACAAATACGAATATCATCAATGTATCTGCAGTACTTTTGTGGATGAGGTTTTCCTAGTGGGTTTGAAGTATTATTTATTATTAATTTATTATTATTTAATTTATTATTTCTAGTAAACAAGTCCCCAGTCTGAGTGCGTTCAGAAAAGAGGACTCCTAGTAAAGGCCTCATGGCTACTCCGGCTGTCTACGTATACATGTCTCCCCCAAGGGAAGACTACAGGAGTAACACCCTGGATAATAAACACAAAGAAGCAGCCCAGCAACATAAGTCCATAGAGAACATCACAATCCGGAGAGCAGATAACACCGCAGCCTTCGTCCTCATCTCGACTGATGAATATCACCAAAGTAAAATAAATCCTCCAAGATGATGAGACATAATTCAAGAGGAATACCGCCAGCAAGCCTAGGGGCCGGCCCGGGCTGCTCTTGGGGCTAGAAATAGCCTAAGCTACTTTATCTCTTTGAGATGTATTTTCTTGTCTCAATAAACGTACTTGAACTTTGAACTCAGTCTCACTACATAGGTAGTTCCACCTTGGAGAGACCTCGGTATAAGTCTAACATGTATATATACATTGGCTGCCTGTCCCCATGCACAATGATTTATTATTATTATATACTGTATGCTAAAGCGAACACAGTACAGTTTCGTCATAGGAGGTTCCTAGATTGGAATTCACTACCAAATTTCAATATATCCAAGTATTTTTAGTGTGAAATGCTTTTATTATATGCATAATTTGTTGTTTTAATAATAATATGGACTGACGTTTAATTTATTTGGAAATACATTACATCTCAACAAAGACAGACCTTATATGATGATATTATCATAAGTAGATAACACCAATTAATTGCAGAACTTCAGTTACCTAATACCAGCATTGTATAAAACCTTATTATAAGCTACGAGATTTATAGATCAAAGTTTAAAGGGAATTCAAAAGTAATTTACAGCTGATGCCATCTGTCGGCAGAAAAGAACACTATCAAGAGGTCTGCTGGTAAGTAGTGGCCATAAGATACAGCTTATGCCATCTGTTGGCATCAAATTACACTATCAACAGCAACCCATCAAAATACACCTAACGCCATCTGTTGCCTCTCCCATGTACTATCAACAGCCAAACAGCAGCCCATGAGGTTGTTGTGTTGAAATAAGAAGTCCCCCCCACCCCCCACCAGCTTCCATGTCATTGGTAGAAACTCTTTGTTGACATTCAGCTCAGCCAATCACAGGAAGGGATCAGCTAAAGGTGCCATCAACTTAATAAATCATCTTTGTTCAGCATACTAGAACTGCTTATGACATTCTGCTTCAACTTTAATCTACCTATGAAGTAAAGTGTTAATTATTTAAAAGTATTAATAAAGTGATAACTAAATATTGCAGGATATAACAGGTGTTACAAACCAAAGGTTTGGCTACCTATCTCCTGACGTCTTCAGTGGGGGTTGCCTCACAATTAATAATAATAATAATTATAATTTATTTATTTTTATTTATTTATTTATACAAGAAAGTGCATATGGTTTATGAGAGTACATAGTATTGATGCTTTTTACACTATTGTAAAGCCACTAACACGCATAGCATTTCGGGCAGATCCTTAATTTAAGATCATTTTAAGTAGGTAATATCTGGCAAAATGAAAATTTTTTAACTATAAATAATAATTATAACATCGATGATACGATTCTCCGCCCTCCTATTGGACTACATTATTCAGTTAGATGAACATTTCTGTCAGGGACAAAACATGTTGTGCAAAAGGACGTATTTCTTAGTTTGCATTTCATTCATAGAAAGAGTGTTGGCATTCCCTGCAACAGCCAATCACAGGAAGGTATTTGCTACATCTCCGCCTCCTATTGAAGTCCTCGGGAGTGTTCACTACACCGATCTCCCCTATGGCAGTCTGTTTTATCTGTATATCCAAAGTATGACTCTCTATTACTATAATAATTCAAAATAAAAAGTTATTACACAAAATGGATAAATTCTGCCATTAAAAAGAGCTCATAGTTGATTTTGTAATAGAGTTTTATGGGAGGAATGTTATACCATTTTTCTAAATATCTTCTGATATGGGTGTTGACTTGTCTATTCGTGTACCCTTTATTTCTTAATACTTGACGGCTTCTCTCCAGTTCCTTGTGGATGTTATATAAGTCGGAACAATTTGTCAGGGCTCTCCGTATAAATGCGTTTATTACACTAGTCTTATATCTGCAGGTAACCGTCTACGACCCATCATCAACCAGATCCATACGCCCACGTATAATCTCGCTAAACGACTCAACACTATTCTGAATCCATATATACCTAATAACTACTACAGTTCTATAACAAATGTTCAAGAGATGTGTAAATATTTCTTTCAAACTGATCTGCTACCTTAGCCAAATATCCCCCATATAAATTGTCATTCCACAATTTGTATGGGGGATATAATATCTGAGGTATTTAATATCTGATTTTGGAGAGTATACCAACTGTTTTAGAGACTTTCTTAGTTATGTGTTGTATGTGGGTGCTGAAGTTGAGAGTCTTGTCAAGGAATAGGCCAAGAAACTTTCAAGTACATTACTGAACAATTTGGAGGATATTGATCCGGACAATTTATTCAAAAGGTCAGATGTAACACAAACAAGGATCAACGGTTTCCAGCTCATCAAGCCACAATGTTGGACTGAGAACAGGAGATGCTTTTTCACCCACAGGGTTATAAACCCATGGAACAGCCTACCCGCCGAAGCCGTAATATACCAAAACTCTGTTAACATAATAATAATAATAATAATAATTTTTATTTAGGCAAAGGTACATACATAAAGAGATTTTACAAAGTTTGTTGGCTTTATAGATAGAGCTAGTACATACAATGCCTAAAGCCACTATTACGCAAAGCGTTTCGGGCAGAAACGTTACAACGTTTCGGGTTTCGTTAACTTTTAAAGTACAGCTGGAAAAAATCATCAAGGGAAGTGGGGGGGGGGACCTTCGACAAGCTGCCGGCTTCCTGTCCTCGTCGAGGCCACTAGTGTTAGTGGCTTTCAGGTAAACTCAGGTAAATCCTCCTGAGATATGTTTACGCACCATACACTCCTCCGCACTATAAAGATATTCCTGACAAGTATGATTTGTCTCATTTGAGGACAATGTATTATATTAAATTATGTCAAACAATTCTTTATTATTATTCTATCTATTTTATCTTATAAACAAAAATTTTTATATTCTAGAAAATTTGGTACGATCATAGTTATTATCGTACACCGGCCATTTCCACTAACTTTCACATAGCTTCTGAATTTTATATTTTATTTCTTTATTAATATAATTATCCTTAATTATATTTCTTTGATATAAACCATCAAAGCCAAGCTTTAAATATAACACCAGAAAGTTCACAGAATAAAATTTTTTGAAACAATCTTAATTTAACACGAAAGATAACTTCCCTCGAGTTGGGTGACACCAAAACATTGCCGAGTTGGCAGGAGTGAGAGAGAGAGAGAGGAGTGTCGTGTATTTTGTCGACCCAGGCCCCCAACACCGCCATTTGTGGCCCCTTCCTGCTGCTGCTGCTGCTGTGTCATGTAGTGACCGCCTGACGGAGTACTTCGTCGACAGACTAAAGATGTCTTGGCTGGGAGTGAACCTCAACGACAGCCTCAGCTCCCTCAAGGGCCAGCTGTCTAATCTGACGCGTGAGGTCCTGTCTGAGGGCCTGGAGGACGTGGCAGGTAAGGTGGGCAGGACCTGGCACCTGGGTGAGGTGGGCACTTACGAGGGGCAGGAGAACAAGGGTAATGGGTTGGGCAGGGACAGAGGGAGGGGCAGGGACATGGGTAAGGTTGGAAGGGATACAAGGGTAGGGGCAAGGGTAATGGGTTAGGCAGGGATAGAGGGAGGGGCAGGAGTACAAGGTGAGGGGCCAGGTATAATTCAGGTATCGGGTATATAATTCAGGGCCAGGTATCTGGGTGATATTCTCACAAAGGCTCGAGTTAATAATAACAAATGTAAGGCTTTGCTCTGTATTTATTTGTTAATTCTAAACATGGTTCGACCTGAACAATTTCTGCACAGGTTGTGATAGTATCCAGTGAGTGCAGTTGAAGTGTGCAGTTTCTTTATTAGTTATATATTGCTGCATACAATAACAAGACAGGTTAGTGACTTGTTAAAATGTACCTGGTACCATTTAATCACCATAATCTATATTGCCAAAACTATTTTCCTTCATAAAAATGTATAAATTCACTTTCAGGCCTACAGAGAAGGGTGACAGTTAGTCCCAGTAATCAGAAGTATTCCTTATGAAGAGATATTTAAAACTTAATTTACATTTTCTAGAAAGAGAGAATAAGGGTTGATGTGATTGAAGTATGTAAATGGATGAAACCATATAAATAAGGTGAATAATTGTGCAGTTTGCACATAAGAAAAACTGCACCCAAAATGCATGATTTAGCCAAATTGCTGTCACATTTTGATTAAATTCATTAAATCATTTGGATTTATTGAGTGGATTGTAGCAGGAAAGGATCTTTGCATGCTCTCCAGGTAAGCAACTTCTCCAGCTCTGACTTTGTGGCTGTTAGTGTGCAACAATATTCCACCCTAGACAACACTAGTGTCTTAAAATGTATCATCACTCGTATATATCTCTTGTTTGAAAGGTTATTGTTATCGTACCTGTCATTTTCCTTGCAGTTGTCTAGTAGTTGTGGCATGAGAACAATTAATTTTATTGTGGACATGCTTCACCCAGCTGTAATTTTACAGGTTATGTGCTATGCAGTAATCTATATTCTGTTTTTGTTTTTCCATGTTCATAAGTGTGCAATTCTACAAAGAGCTGCAAAAATTCTTTGTTTTATTTTTAGATGGTTGTTCATTATGTACTATATTCTTTATTTATGTAAATCCTTACTATTTGAACCATTTTCAGATAATGATACACATCTATTAGTCTCCCCAGACCGCATCAAGGAGTTGGAATCCCTCTGCCAACTTCAGAAACATGAAGTAAGTTCAGTAATAATAATGCATACAGATTATTATGTACAGCACATGTGTATATATTTTGTTTATATAAACTTTTGTTTTGGAATGTTAACCTTGGTTAACAATTTAAATTTTTTTGAGGTTTATAAATGTTATTGCATCTTTTAATTTTGTATCGTGAAATTTAGCCAAAATATACTTTAACTATGTATAATAATTTTTAGTTTGATTAGTAATGTAAAGGCATTGTGTTGTATATTTATTCATTTGTCTTTTACCATTACCATCTCCTTGGCTCAGTAGTTGACCTCAGCAACTGTGGTGTCATTTAGTTGCACATTAATCCTGTCCTGTGTGATGGCTAAAAGAAACTGTGCCTTGTTATCTAAAGCTGAAATTAGAAAGCCAAGTACAGTACATGTATTGCCTAAGTTAATTGGTATGGTGTTTTTTTTTTTTATAGCCACATGGACATATACAGGTAATGTGCCCTTTGCTGGCATGGATGTTAAGTCTTTTCATTTATGCTTTGTGACTAGACTACAAAAATGTGTGTACTGTTGCATGTCCTAAAACAATCGGGGTCACTAAGCACTTCTTTATAGTTGGTGAAATGGAGAAAGGGAGCCGGTCGACCGAGCAGACAGCACGCTGGACTTGTGATACTGTGGTCCTGGGTTCGATCCCAGGCGCCGGCGAGAAACAATGGGCAGAGTTTCTTTCACCCTATGCCCCTGTTACCTAGCAGTAAAATGTGTACCTGGGTGTTGGTCAGCTGTCACGGGCTGCTTCCTGGGGGTGGAGGCCTGGTCGAGGACCGGGCCGCGGGGACACTAAAAAGCCCCGAAATCATCTCAAGTTAACCTCAAGATAACCTGGTATGGCTAAAATTTGAACGGGGTTGAGCTTTCACATTCGGTTTGTCCCTGAGGTAAAAATCCGCTATCACAGACTAGATTCATGAATGGTCAGGCAAAATGGCATTCAGGCACCATTGCTGCCAGGATCTTTTATAGTATCCCTTACAGGAAGGCATTGGAAAAAGCTCATTTCAGTTTGGAATAACAGTGAGGTACATTCATAAAGACTGGAAACTTTACCAAATACATACTTAGCATCACAAATGACTGCAAAATGAGGCTTCACAAACTCCAGACAAAATTAAAGCATTACATAGATGATTTCTGAGTATTGGCCTTCATAGGTTGGTTACTTAGGTTTGAACTTTTCTGGTTAGACAAAGCTATTGTAAACAATTGTCAACTCGTGAGAACAGGGTGTGGTGACAGCAAACATTTAAGACACTAAGATGATTGGCATAAGTCTGCTTGGTAAAGTGTGCCTTAATGCTGAACAGAGGTTTTGAACTCCTGGTATGATCCCTTTGGCCTTGTGCATTGCCAATATTGGGTTTGGCACTGGCTTCCTCACATTGAGGTGTTATTTATGCTTTTCACCTTGTTTGATGCCTCATTTTGGAAGGTACTTATGGAGCAGTTACTAAGAGCAGGGCTTGTTTCTTGAATTTTCAGCTCTTACAGTCTCGGCTCTCTGCATGCCGACTCGTAAGAACATGAGAATAATGGAAACTGCAGGAGGCCTATTGGCCCATGTCAGGTGCCCCTATTTATACCCAACAAAACATTCATATTTGTCTAGTCTTTGCTTGAAACAATCCAGCAGTCCCATGTCTATTGTGGTCTTGGTAATTTGTTTAAGGCCACTATGGACCAGTAACTGGGTTCTCGATGTTGTAACCTCTTTCAGTGTATCTGACCCAAAGTCGGTAGTATGCTTTCAAGAACTGGCTGTATAATGCAATAAAGAATGAGTGGGGATAAACAAGACACAATTCCCTTCACCAATATATTCGCCATCACCTTTAAATAAATATATAAATAGACTATTTCTACACTTATATACAGTAGTGTCACTTTCACGCAGGACACGAGCGTTTGCAGTGTTCGTCAAGTCCAGTGTTCATCAACTCCAGTCTTAGTACCCTATGCACTCTTACTGGACAACACTGGCGAGTTCATCTTTCTACACGGGCCAGTCCACCCGCACAGTATCACGATGTGCCTACACCCCTCTTTCCACTCTCCAGCTACTCGCTGGCAGAGGACACGAGTAACACACTGACAGTGGTCTCCAAACGAACTCACACAGGGGTAGCTAACCCCTAGCCGAAGTGTCTAGCAGCTTGCTAGCAGCACTTCACAAGGCACATCACTGTAACTCTTAATAGCCAATCCCGGGGTACGCCGATCCTCCACAACACTGCATATACAAGCAGCTAACACACTGCTTAGATTGACGGTGGCTTACTTAGTCTTCTTGCAAGACCAGGCTAAGGGTTCGTGGACTGCCCAAGGTAAAAACTGCCTTCTTCAGTACAATTATCTCCACACGTCACTTCTGTGGACATAAAAAGTCATCAATTAAATGGATGGTACACTGGAGAAACCATGAGGTAACACTCGTTCACCTGGGAGTTGACATTATACTCGTAGCATAACTTGGATGGCGCTGATTGTGCTTCAGCGCATGTACCCACCAGAGGTCATCCACGTTGACCTCTCTTGCTAACTAGGGCAGGAAACCAGAGCCATTTGTTGCTGTCATGCCAACACCAATACTATAGATGGCGTTGTCCACGTAGTGTCCAATTTCAGGGAACCTGAGGTGCCGACCCATAGATGGCGTCGAAATTGCCACTCCATAATTCAATGAAGGTGGTGATACCATAACATTGTTTCATAAACTTCAACCTTATTCCCAAACCAATAATTACCCAGGCATTTATTAAATCTCGACTTGACCAATTTGAATCTGTTGTTTTGTGTTGATCTGTATTTTAGCACCTTACTAAAATACCTTATTGTATTTTAGCACCTTACTAAAATACCTTATTGTATTTTAGCACCTTGTTATACCCTGAATAGGTTTCTTTTTGTTTTGAAGGGGACATAGTTCATCTTGTCATATCAGTCTGCAAGTCGAAGCTTCAGTGTAGGAAATGTATTTGGGTGTTTTGACTTCTGGTTCCTATAAAAATTCTGGGTTCCTATCCTCCTTCTTAGGCAGTAATATCCAAGTTACTTTAATCCTTTTATGCAAGACCTAGCTATTGCAGATGGTGACTGGTAGTTAAGTTCTTCTTTTTGTCCTTCATGAACATGCAGGAATCTGCACTGCCTTTGCAGAGGCCTTTGGTTCCTTCCTCCTACTTGTATGAGCCTCCTTTGCTTGCCTAGAATTGAGAAGCTGGTAGCATCAGAACCTACTCATTCTCTAAGCTCTGGCCTGTGGTTTGCTGAGGTTTTCCAGGTTGTGGAAGGAGTTTTGTATGAGGTTGATGATTCAGGATTTAATCAGGTCTCTCTTAGATACCTCTTAGACTTGTGCCCCAAGACTGGAAGGTGTTTTTTGTGCATGTTAGGGCCTTACTGTATCTCCTTAGCAGTTTAAATAGTGAATGTTCTGGTTTTTATCTCTAGTTCTCAGTCATGCCTTCTGTGGATGTAGATGAATCATCTTGTCAAAAGTTTCTCATGCCCTTTTGCATCACAGATAAAGAAATTGAAACTTTCATTCTTTCAAAACGAAAGCCTTCGAGCTGAACTTGATTCATGTCAATTGGGTCTGCGTCTGCTTCTGGTTGTAGTACAGGGCATCTTATTATTCTGGGCTAGTTGGCAATAGCAGTTGTTTTGAGAGAGAAGACATGTTTTGTTTTCAGGAAGGTTGCCTCTTCCATCTCTACCAGAGACCAAAACCTGGCCCCCTCAGAGATGCAGGGAGCAGGGGATTTATAATCACCCTCATTGAAGAAACAAACCCCCATTAAAGAACAGAAAGCAAAACAGACAACTGCATGTTTCACAGAATTTGCTTCATTGTTTGTTTACCAACTTTGCAAATGACTCGACCAGTAATTAGGTCATACCCCCTCTAGTTAGAGCTAGCTCACTGCCAGGTGGCAGCATCAAGGGAGCTGCCAGCTCCCATGTTAATAATGATCGATCATTTGCCTGTTGTCTGACAGGTCAGACCTGCTCTTTGGGTCTCAGATTTTTTAGAGAAGTGGTGGCCATCCTTTGGACTCTGTCCTATTTGCTTGTGAATAGTTTTGAATGTTTAATGTTTGCTTCAGATGCGTGTTTACAAGCCTCGCTTATTGTGTGGACTCCGGAAACTGTTCATCTAGAGCTGCATGTGTTTGACAGCCCTTCCCTAGGCGATCATTGATGATGTCCCTGCCCTGATGAGGTTGCTTCTCTGGTGGGTTCGGGTGTTCTTCCCATAGAGGCTGGCCTCTTTTGAAGGCCCGAAGGTGGACCTCTTTACATTAGATTGGAATCGGCAGCTTCTGTCCTATGTGGGTCCATTCCCTGATCACATGGATCTCGCTGTGGATGCCTTTGTCTGGACATGTTGAGGTGGGGAGGTCCTATGTCTTTACCCTGTAGATTGGCTGTTTCTCCCAGTTTCATTAAGACTGGAGCCTTATGATGGTAGGGTGATCTGCATCTTGAGTCAAATACCGTTGCATTTTAGCATTCAGTCTTGGTGGAGTCACTTTTGTTGGCTTTCAGCTTCAGTACTTCCTTGGTCTTATGTTTTTTAAACTCTGGCCTGTACTTTCTCCTCCAGAGCAGTCCTGGTCTCTGGATAGGGTGTTGGTTTATATTTAGTCTCCTTGGTTCTTGTTGCATCTTCAGCTTGTGTTTCACTTTTCTAGGCTTTGTTTGTTGGCCTTTGCTGCCAGTTTTTTGGGTGTGGAGTTGCATACTCTCTGGAAGCAGGGGTGTTGCTCTTTCAGCTCTGGTAGACTGTTTCTTTGTCTAGTTGCTGCCGCTGCCGCCTTTTTCAGCAAAGAATGAGTCTGTTGGTTTCCAAAGGGATACTTTACTAATTGATTCTTGGTGTGTTCACCCAAGGGTGCATAATTTTTGTCTGATTACTGCTGTTCGTAGCTGCCTGTGTGTGGCCCATACGGCTTCTGGGGACAAGTTCTT